GAGTTTACTGATAATGACGTATAACCGTTCTAAAACTTGAAACCAAGATTCTCAACTTCTTCTTGAATTTTGGCTTAATCTGGAAAAGAACGTTAAATCTGTTTATTGTTTAGAAATTCGGCGAGATAACTGATATAATGGAGGACCAGGCTACCCCCTCGGTTATACTGAAATACAAAACAAGAAGATTTGCAGAGACTGCTATGTCTTCCGGTAAGATACGAGACAAAGGGACTGTAAGCGCAATTATAAGTGACCCTTTAATGTAAAGATGGCAATGTCCGATTTACAAGGATTCCTTAAAAGCTTTGTCGGATCAAGCATGAATTAGAAAGTTTTTTAAGTTAACTGAGCTGAAAACTTTAGATTGGAGGATAATATCGAAACTAACCTAATCTTATACTTCTATCCTGAAAAGTGTATAAACTTCAACCAATCAGAGAAGCCGGTAAATTTGAAATTTTGGCCGCCATTTTCGATTAATATATAAAAACGGGAGAACTCTCTAATTTTAAAACCGGTTTTTAATTTTTCTCCACTATATCCGAGAAAGAACACGGTTTAAGAAGAAAATCAAAATGTTCATAGGATACTCTGAGCTGAAATCTTCAGAATCGATATCGGATATCGAGATTAATTATTATTATTCAAATCTATTTATTGATCAAAAAGTACATAGCAAATAACAATAAACTTTATATATATATCAACGATATGTACATTTTGATTTTTCTTTGATTTTATTAAATGTGCAGACGAAAACAACAAAAAATATATCAGTAAAGATTAATAAAATAAAAAACCGGTGCCAAAATAGCAACAATTTAAGAAGCAGCAATTTAAGAACTGGCAAAAACATAAAGGAAGTTTCAGGTAAGCATAATATTAAAAGGCAACATTCTTTGAGACGGATAGAGACTAATATCGAGATTAATGCTTAATCCTCTCGATCCTCTCTTTTTCTTAATATCGAGTCTAACCTAATCTCGTACTTCTATCCTGAAAAGTGTATAAAATTCAACCAATTAAAGTTGCGCATATGAAGCCGATAAATTTGAAATTTTGCGCGCCATTTAAGATTATATTCAGAAACGGGAGGAACTCTCTAATTTTAAAAACCAGTTTTTAATTTTCTCCACTATATCCAAGAAAGAGCGGTTTAAGAAGCAAAACAAAATGTTTATTGGATACTCAGATTAAGGAATCGGGATTAAGGATATCTCATTCTTAAGTTTTCAGCTCTGTTTTCTGTATGGTTTCTCTGTAAAGGGACTTGCGTATTTCTTGCTTTTAAGCAAGACTGGAGAAATTCTTAGAATTATACCATTGTAAATCAGACATTGCTCTATTTGCATGGAGGGTCACCTGTATTTATGCTCGGTCACTTAATTTTGTTTTCAAGGTGCGGTCTATTCTGTAAAGCACTTAACGGAAGTTTAAAGTCTAGTCTCGATTGATTGATTGATTGATATATGTTTGTTTCTGTGCGATCTAAATGTAAAGTCAATACTCAAATGTTGTTCAAACTTGTTTCTATATTCAGTCCTAGTTTCGACTATAACTTCTACTTGCTCTTGGCCTGGGTTATGGCGCTTTGAGGTGTTCTTTCCAGTTAAAATGTAATTTACCTATTCAATATATATAATTAGGTAAGAATTTCAACGACCGTGTACTGCAACTCTCATGGTACAACCAGGGTACACCTGATAGGGAAGCTGAACCTCAGGTTAGTTACTGTGTACACTTAACACTTACAGTGCTAGAAGTACACCTTTATACACACTGTACAGTGTATACTGTAAAGAGTACATTACATTTTTATGTACAATGACTCTCTACAGTACACTCATCATTTATGTGCACAGTGTACACTCCTTACAGGACATTTGGATGTACAATTTACAATGTACTCTGTTGAGTTGCTGTTGACATACCTTTTTTCACACTGTACAGTGTACATTTTGTACAGTTCATTTATATGCACATTGTTTATGTACTTAGTATGCTTTACTTAACATTTTTTGAGTGTGTGAGTGCTAAATAAATCGTTGACATAATTCCTATCTCCCTCAATATGAATATTACAAAAATGCTAGACCACATTTTGGAAATCTCGTACATAAATGTTTTCTGTGTAACAATTACCGTGATGATAGATAATATCGTGTAGACGACCAAAAGTTTTGTCTCATTATCAATGTTTTTTGTGTGATACCCTCTTTTCTTAAAATTTTCTTAAAATGTAATAACTGTACACTCAAAGTTAGGGTATGTTGAAGTTTATCACTTGATTTCCATATTTTGGGACATCCAGTAGGATAAATATTTATCTACTCTAGTATACTGGAGAAGAGGAGGTGCCTGATGACGACTATACTCCTCCTCAACATGATTATCTTCCTCCTGGTCTACAGGAACATGAAGACAGTCTCTCACAGGTAGTTCTGTGCCTTCAGTTGGTTTGTTTTTGGGTCTTTATTGCTTACATATTCTTTCATGGTCAATATTTAGCAATTCTTTTTATACTGTTCATTCTCAATATTTGTAATTCTTACACTGTATCAAGTGTTCATCCTGGATTAAGTTGTATGCAAAAAACGATTAAAAAACTATTCGAAACGGATTGCAACAATGAACGTGTCATAACGATCGTTTTCGGAACGTTTTTGCACTTTTTATTTAATAAAAGCAAACTGTAACATAATTCAGTTTGAACTATCCAAACAACACTACTCACAGGTTGGACCTTAAACCTTTATTTACGGTTTTAAAGGGACTGTCAATTGAACTTGGTTAGCCCCACTAATTTGAAGAGATGCAAATACCCTACTTTTACTTTAACGTTTATATTCCAACAAGGAGAAAGATTGCCTTTTTTTTTCTTGGATTCTGTCAGTTTTAGGTTTTTCGAAAAGTCACTTTTATTATTTAAGAAACTAGAATTGAAGATAACCTTAGTTTGCCTTCTGAAGACTGATAATTTTCATAATTTTTCTTCATTGGCACAAAAACGTGCCTTGATACACAGTCACACAAGCATAAAAGTATTATTTTCGTTCCAAAAAGATCTTTGGGATCCGATATTTGGATATTGGTGACCCCTGGGACCGAACTTAACGAATTGGGCCCCGAACTACCTTTCGCTGGTTCAAATTACCGATTCATATCCTCCTAAATCTGGTGAATCAAGATTTAAACCTGCGGTAAGTTGTTCAGTGGCTTAGCTCAAATTCATTCAATCCGGTTACTGATTATCAAAATCATTCCGTTGCAGGGAAGTCTCGCTGAGGAGGAAGGTGAAGGTGATGAAGAACTAGGAGCCGAGGATCTAGGGGACGAGGAGGAGGAGCAGGTACATAAAGAGTTAACAACAAAGGATGACAACTTAAAACTACTTAAATATAATTATCTAAAATTTTTATCTGTATAAGGAGTCCATGGGAAATCCTTAGCAACTTGAATTGTATGTAATAGCCAAATAACAAATAAAGCAACAACAAAAAAGTTCTTGGATTTAAACTTTTTTTCGTGAATTTTCAAAATTTTACGAAATTAACTTTTTTTGGAGACACGTTTTTGAAATTTTGAGATTGAGTATTCTTAAACCTTTTCTGCCCTAATTGCGTCAGCCGTTTTGACATTTTTTTGTCAAACAGACGAGCATAGTATCTATAGTATAGATGAAAAAAAATAACTTATTGATTAAGGTCGAAGAGGAGGAGGAAGAGCTTAACGAAGGTCTGCTCGATGATGATGACGAGGATGAAGAGGAGGAGGAGAGAAGCTGGAAGAGGAGGAATGCTGACGAAGATTGAAAATTCTTCAATCGTTTATCGAGATTTTTTTATTGCACAGTTTCATCGTTTGTATGTATCTGCACTATTGTCGTCTCAAGAAAAAATGTTATGAATATTTTGAAATAAAGAAGAGAAAAAATAAATGAAAAAGAAAGAAATAAATGAAAAAGAAAGAAAGAAAAAGATAAAAAATAAAAAAAATCGATTTCAGAAAAAGCCATAAAAAAAAATTAAAAGAAGATGGCAAAAGATGACATATAGTTGTTAAATTAACTTGTAATAATGTCGATGCAACAAGAACGATATCTGAAGACTAGTGGACTCTCATGTCTTGTTTCAGCATGTGTAGGTAAATCTAATTTGTCATATCATAATTTGGAACTTGAGTTTTGTGAACCTCGGGATTAAGCATCGATCCCGATCTTATGTAAACCTGAGGATAAATTTGATTACTACTTTTGATATCCCGTGGTGGCCATACTTAGGAATAATGATCTTTTAATGGTCTTCAAATGGATATCAAGATCAAGCGTTCCAAGTTCTATGGTACTGCAAACACGTTCTTATCTCAGAATTGACGTTTAAACTCTGCCCCCTGAACCTTGGTGTTTTCCGATTTTAGAAAGAAGAAATTGACCCTTATTACTTACCTAACTGTCCATTTGGTCAATTATAGGGACAGGCCGGCTATGTAAGGTAGTTGAACTGAGTATGCAGTGTTATGGACAAATTTTTTAGGATTCATTTGAGACATAAAAAAAACACTTTTAAGATTTGTAAATCCTGAGTTTGGGCGTAAAGTCGACATTTAAAGTCGAACTTTTGGGTGGATAGGTTTTAGAATTATATTTTTTTAATTATTAAATAACGACGACAAAAAATGTGAACAAAATTCTTAAGTAAACTAATTAGATGTTAAGGAACAGGTTGAGAAAATTAAAATTAATCTTATCGAAAATAAGTAATCTTATTGAATTATTAGTTTCTATAATCTCTAATTATTCACAAATATTTTCTGCAGATTTTCTGAAATTTTTATTGAAAAGAGGACATATGAAGAATTTGTAGGAATTGGCGAATAAATTCATAGAAAATCAGAAATTCAATATAATGATGAAAACGAAATAATTGATTCTAGCATTGATTTATTGGCAAATTTCTTTAGAGAAATATGTTCCTAAACATCCAATAAGTTTACTATAGAATTTTTACTTTATTTTTCGTTGTCGTTATTTAATGATTAAAAAAAAAACGATTCTGAAAACGTACCCACCCAAATTCATGATTTTGAACGTCGACTGTGCACTTTCAAACTCGGTAATTATATATCGTGGAAACGTTTTAAATGAATCCTTAAGAATTTTTCCACAACACTGCATACCCAGGTTAACTACCTTACATAGCCGGTCTGTTCCTTTAAGTAAATAATCATATTTTCTGTTATATTTGTGGCAGTCTTTTTTATTCATTATTCATAGTATTTTAGACGAATTATTTTTAAAATTTGCTGTTTTTATTATGAAAGCGCGTAACAATTTTGTTTTTATAAAAAAAAAATATAATGTTTTTCTCCATTGAGATTATATGTGATTTGTGATAAGTGATTGCATTGAAAAAAATTAACCGGATCTGGATAAGTACTTAACAATTTCATTCTTTTCAAAAAATCATTTAAAAATCTATTTTATTCAATCTCTTTGGGTTAGGTATGAGAACTACAGTGGAACTGAGAAATGAAGCATTTGTTACAGGCAAGGTAAACAATATCTGATACTTGTATCCCTTTTTTTGGGTGGTGGTATGTGGGGGGGGGGGATGCTGTAGTAGTTTCTCGTTTCTCGTGTTGCGAAATTGAGATGTTTTTAGCTTCCATTATTTATCAATCGTTGGTCCGTTCAATAACCTTGAGGGCTTTATAATGATTTTAAAGGTTTGTAGCTTTAATTCAAATTTGAAGACTTTAATAGCACATCATAATATCCTAACTGCAAAAATTGCAAAAGTTTGGGTCGGAAGCTTTGTTTGCGAGCCGCAAGCTCTATGCTTGAGCCGCAGTGACTAGATGAAAATTTAGGTTGTGCAAAGTGATGGATTTATGAACATAACCTTAGAGGAGGTGGAGATGTTGGATCCGAGAGGTTCAATCCTTAAATTCTCTTCATTCTTCATCCCAAACCGTCTTATCAGGTAGCTATTCATTCTTCATCCCAAANGCTATTCATTAAACACAAACATGACAATTCACCTCATTCATTCCATTTTTCATGGCCAACATACAGTGGTCAGCGGATAAAATTAAGGCGACTGTTTTTTCTATTAAGTTTATTTCCAATTACAAGTTCACAATAAACATTACAGGAATCTTGTAATTAGCAGCTTCTCTTTGTTTCCATGTTTCCATCTTTATAATGTGTATCCCAGCTGTTTGAAATCAAAATTGAAAAAGAAAGTCGTTTTCATTGTATTGATTAAACGAAAACGACGACGAGTACGCTTGTTTGCATAATATTGATTTTACAGTGATAACCAGAAAACTCCGAAATAGGAAGACGACTTTATAGAAATACTTATGTGTATTGATGGTATTACAAAGTAAATTATTTTACTAGACACTTATTAAATCACTAATTAAATAAAATGTGTTTGTTTACACTGAACACTTTCTGTGTCCCAGACTTATTGTACTCTTTAAAGTCATAACTTAAGCCTAAAAGTCGTTTTCCAATTTCAGAGTTTTCTGGTAATCACTGAATTCTTAATCAAAAGACAATGTTCTGATAGTTCTAAGTTAGTGGTTTAAAAACAATATTAAGGAAGAACTTAAAAATTCGTCAAGAGCAAAAAGCCAGGAGTACTAGTTCCAAACATCATATCATTTACACCTATCTTCAGACCTGATTTAGTATATTCATCTCGGGTTTGGGGAGTGGGAGGAGGACACCCTCAGAGTCAAATTTGATATGATTTTGGTTTTAAACTACGTTGTACATTTTAACATTTTTTTTATTCGGTGATGTTCACTGGATGCCATTGCATTCTGTGGTCTTTAATTTTTTAAGAAATTATTTATAACATAGCTGGCCAACGGCAAGACCAAATTGGCTGACATTTTTTTAAAGAAAATCGATGGGTGCCCGTAGGGTCACAAAATTTTCTTTTGCATGTTCGATTTTTTATTTAATTCCACGGGCAACGCCGGGCACTTCAAATTAATTATTAAATTATTAATAACTTATAACTGTAATTTTGTTCTGTCCAGGTTTGTTCAAATCCCAGAGAGTATTGATATGATCAAAGCACTCGAGGACCAAACTAAGCAATTGACAGGTCAGGATTACAATTCATCATAAATGTTAGATTTTCCATTCACTTTCCCTTTTTATTTTAGCACAAGAGATTGTTAACTTGAAAGTACTTTATTAACTTTTTACCTTCTTTTCATGCTTTAAAAAAAAATTTTGATTGAAATTTTATCTTCAATGCTGAAAAAATCATATTAAATATTTTCACAGTCTTTATATCTCATTTTTTAATTGGATGTGTTAAAGTTATAAAATTAAGAAAAAAATTAAGATTTTCATATTTTTCCTGTTATAACAGTTCAATAGATGACTCGATACAAAATTCTCTATCTTCTCCAAGCCCCAAGTTAGAGAGGAAATGTGGTGCCCCTTTCCAAAATTTAAAATTATCTGAACTGACCCTTTAATATACAGGACGAGGCCGTGGACGAGGACGAGGACATGGAGGAGATATCTCTAAACAGAGGCAGAAAATCCTCGACAAAAAGGAACGACGTAGACAAGAGGATATCAGGTGGGAGGAAGGTGTATCTTTCGACCTAAGCACATCCGCTATACTATACGTCTGACCTACTTGCACATGGTTTTACAAATGCTAATTGATCATATGGCAGTAGCGCTTGGCCCCCTTGCTTATCTTCGCCGCAGCGCTCGGTCAAGAAATGGTCCTAATTTAACCCTTAAATAGTAAAGGTTGTTCCATGAAACATCACAGTATAGCACGACGACTTGAACGTCGTCTCTGATTTTTTATATAATTTGCTACATTAATTGTCAACCTAGTTTTAAAATTAAAATTGAGAGCTAATAATCACGGAATACTACTATTCTTGGAATTTTCAAAATGTGGTCTGCGTTTTTTGTGCTTTCAATATAACCCGAGATATGAAGAAATGCTTAGTGGGACACCCTGTACAGTGTACATTATAAACAATTGTCGTAGATCGGACATTGCAGTAGTTCGAAAAGTTTTTGCCGTTGGCCGGAAAACTAGTTGGTCAGAAGTTCAGTATGTCGCGTATAGAAGATTTAACATTACCAGTGGGAGATATTAAAATTACTTATTTTCTAAGAACATTATCCCTTATTATGAATTCCTATACATGACTATTGACTAATGAGGATGTAACTCTTTCAAAGTGATAACATTAATTTACGTAGTCGTTTAATCTTCATTCAGTAACCACTAGAATAGAAACCTTATTTCCCATATTCAAGGGGTGAACTTGAACGTATACTATAAATTGTATCACATCCTATTCCCACGATTTTCAATGTTTAATTTAGATTCGCTTTTCAAGTTTAATAGATGAATATATTGTTCTAAAACTTGGTAATCGCATATTCAATGACCATTGTTATCCATGGAATACGATCTCTTTTATATTTCAATATGATGTGGGACACCCTGTATTTTCAGGAATGCCATGAAGATGAGAACTGCTGGCGGCAAAATGGAGAAATGAGAAATATTAATATTTCATATCTCAGAAAATTCATTCTGAATAAAAATATTAAATCTTCACTGTTTCAGATGTAATATGGCTTCTGTTTCAATACTGTTCATAATTTTATGTTTATTGAACTTTAACTTCCTTTGTGCACAGGTAAATTTTAGGATTAACTAAGGGAGTGACTGCCCAAAGAAGAGGAGTGTCGATGATATATTGAAAATAAAGTATATTCTCGAACAGAAAATAATTACAATTAAGGTCCCTAGTAGTTTTATTTCTAAAATTTCCGCTGATTTTACATTTTTATTGGGACCTCTTTGAATCCATGTTTTGAATGTTTCAGTTACCACAAAATTAGGGGTGTATAATGTATATTACTTCTGAGAAAGAAAAAGGTTCTTTAACCAGGTCCCCCTGAGACTTTTTTATTTAGACTAGCTGGTGTCCGGTGTTGCCTGTGAAATTTTAAAAATTAAATTTTTTAATTGAATCTAGAAGAAAGTTTTTTTTTTTGAGTTTTTTTTTGTCATGCAACCCGCGGGTTGCCCCAAAAATGGTCTGCAAATTTGGTCCAGCCGTTTGGCCAGCAATAGGAAACGTATATATATGATCGAAGAGCTTTATTAGCTATGCGACATTGGAGAGATATTTTCTTTCCAAAAATAGATTTTTATCGAACGAAATTTGAACGTAAACTTTGCGATAATGTCGAGAATACATCAAAATTCGCGAAAAATTTTGGTGAATTTCGTTCAACAAACCCTTATATCTAGCTAAGAGAATATTGAAGAAGTACTTTTTTCCAAGTTAACTGTTCGTCAAATTTGCATTTCAAAGAACAATAATTTTGTCAAGTAGAATTATATAAAGTGTTGGAAGATAATAATTTTAAAAATCATATTTGGTTTCAGACAAAATACTTTAACCTTGCAAGGGGGGAGGGGTTAAATCTTCCTTTCTTAAACTCCATATACAGATAGTCGTGAATTATGTCATAAAACAGTGTTTTTGTTTTGGATCCTATTTTTTCTATTCTAATCAGTGGCGTAAATAAGGGTTTTTTTTGGGGTTATTTAACCCCCCCCCTAAAATCCTGGGGGTAATTAAACCCTCCTAGAATTCTGGGGGATACCCCACCTCCCTAGAATCCTGGGGCCCCTAGAATTTGTTTTTAAAAAAAGGTTGATTTTAAAATTGAATATCTTTAAAATTTGCACAAATGTGCAGATACTTCAAACTTTGAATTATTTTGGTAAAATATTCTAAGTTTGAAATATCAAAGGTTTACACTACTCGTCATTTTTTTCTATTCCATCCAAAAATAATCCGAATGTTTTTAAAAGTTTGTTCAATGCAAAACAATTGTGCACTGTAGTAATTGAATTCCATACAATACAACTAAGTGCTCTGCAAAGATTGTTGGTTATTTAATATATATTGTAAAAATACTTAATCTAATGTGGACAGAGACAGCCATGGGAAGGGGTTAGCTTAGCTTAGCTTCTTTATCTAAATTTTAAAATGTATTCACTACAAAACATTTTAGTCTGAATGTTTTCTCTTTTTTTCCTTTAATCACATAGATCTATGCGTAGGACAAAGCTGATATTGAAGTCCTTGATGCCGGCGAAAGTACCACAGATGATTATTCTGACGAAGTTGCTAATTCGCCTGAAAACAAAGAAGAAAAGGTGAAATTTCTAGCTATGTTACTGTTATTGTTTAGGTACACAGGGAGAGGGGGACTCCTCTAGCGTCTTCAAACAGTAAATTACACTAATAAAATAGTGTCAAATTGTGAAAAAAAAAATATTTTGTTCTTTAAAAATAAGATAAAATTTCAGTATTTTATTCTTAAGAAAATAGTCTCTCGCGCTTGTATTTTCAGTTTACTGTGAATAACTTTTTCACGCATTTTTTTGTTTTTTTCTTCTTAAACTCTTGAGACTTTAAAGTCGTGCAATTTTACAGCAACGAAAAGCGCGAAAAATGACACACATCTGCATTGTTCAATGTTAAGAAATGAGTGTAGTGCTTTTTTCAAAATAATGCGTGTAGTTAAAGGGAGTATTTGATTTGATAAGTACATCGTATATTAAAAAAAATATTTAAATGAAATTTAAAATTTTATACGATTGCATCTTATTGAATTCGTTATTTATAAGTTGTAATATCAGAGACCGAACTTAAAGAATTGGAGCCGCAGCTTAAATTTAAGCAACGGCTCAAATATGATTGGTTCCACTTAAAATTGTTTTCAACTCATAAGAGTTAAGCCTGGGCTCAATTGAACATGGTTTTTAGGGGATTTGAGACGCGATTTAAATTCATTAAATTATAACACTGAATGATTAATTTATAATTTAATTAAATTTTTTTACGATCTGAGTGGAACAATGCAACTATGTGAATATATCTGGACGCTACGCTCTCGGGTATAAGACGTTTTTAACCGTTTTTTTCCTTATGACGCAACAGATCAAAGTAAGATTAGTAGCGATTGATATCGAATTCAATTCTATATCAGCCTATACTCCCTTTCATTTTTCGCGAACACTCCCTTTAACAAACTTAATTTTGTTAATTTATTAAGGGTTTATTCCAGGATGAAGTATCCCTGAGTTTAGCGGAACATTTGAGAAAAGATCCTCAAATCCTTCAATTCTTTAAACCTAGGACTGAAATTAATTTTAATCCAGAAAAAAATATTAGTTTTAACGATTCATCCAATTAAATAGGAGCATTGAATCTAGCTTAACCGGTTAATCCTGGAAAAGATTTTACTACGTTTGGTATTATTTTTTATTGCCATAAAGACGTCAATTCAAATGAATCTTAAATTTATAGAGTGACTTGTCTGTTTCACAATTGAAATTGAAATTATTGAAAAATAAATCTTTTTTCTTAGGGGGGGGGAGAGAGAGAGAGAGGTTCTTGAGCATTTAAAGGGATCATTTACTTAATTGGATAATTTGTGGTTAAACTAAATAGCCTATTAGCTATTCATTATTTTCGTCTTTGTATAAATGTGTTCATTTGTCAAATCATGTTTAAAAACGAAAAACGTTAATTTCTTACTCATTCTAAAATCAAAAGTTTTATATTTTACTTATACTGGCTGATGCATGATTTCATTGAAATTTGATAATTTTAGATTTTATTGAGCTGTTGTTACTGAAAAACGTTTAAATAGTGTCTACGGAAAGGTATCATACCTTTGTGCTGGAATTTTGAGCGATAAATCGGCTTTTTCTCCGGTCATAAATATTTTGAAAAGTAAGACAGATAACAATGAATAGCTAAATAGCTTAACATGAAATAACCCAAGTATGTTAAAGATTCTGAACAGATAGATTTGCAAAGATTAAATTCTAAAATTATACAATTGGTCTTTCTGTAGTGCTCTAAAGAATGTCGTCAACAACCCTGAATCCTTGAGTATCCTGCCCAGAAAAGTTCTAGGTAAATCATCAGGGGTGTATATTTTCCTAAAATATATTTTTTCTCCTCCCCCCCCCTTTTTCCCCAGAAGTGATATTACAGGGTGGCCAACATGTACGTGGTTTTTAAATTTTTAGTAAAAAATGTACGGATTGTACAGGTGTACGGATAATGTTTCAAATTCTACGGATTTTCAGGATTTTAAGCCCAGAAAACATAGATTTTTTCAATTTCACTAAATAAATAGTTAATTTTTGCATGAAAATTTTCTTTAAAAAAGCCGACAAAATGAAGTTTAATTTATTATCTTCATTTCGAATTATATTAAGTTGACTGTTACTTCAATTGACAATCAAAATTCATTCTTTTATCTTTTCGAGAATATCTTCCAAAAGTGTTCATTCGAGAAAATGTTCCGGAAATACATGGTGTTACACAAAAAAACTTTGGAGTACTGAGGGAAAAATTTTCGTTTAATTTTTTCATTAATCAAGTTGTCATTGAAACGCTAAAAATTTCATTTATTTCCAGGTGCAAATTTTTTCATTCTATGTCTCACAGTTTCTTTTTTTGTTAAACCACTTTGTAGTTTTTTTTTTTCTATCAGATTTAGATAAAATATTGTTGATGAAAACACGAACTGTGGAATGTACCGTTTTATAAAAAAAGCTAATTTTTCTTTTTTTTTATTTTTTAAAAGCCAGTTTTATTTTGAGATTGCTCCAGCTCAAAAATAATTATCGATTCTTCAAAATTTATTTGAAAAAGAAACCTCAGATTATCAGTTCACTTTTTATAAATCCAAATAAAACTGTTAATTTTTTCATAGTTTAAGAACAATCAAAAATAGATTGTGAAAAATTTAAAACTTAAAACTCCTGGCAATCTCTTAAACTCAAAGAAGTATTGTAACATAAATAGTAAATAGTGTGAGGCCCAGAAAGATGAGCGCAGTCACTTCCTGAACTTTAAATTTCTATTTTTCATTTAAAATTCAGATAAATCTGTAGTTGAAAAATTACCCGAAAAAAAAGCACAACGAGTCGGACTTTAAAAAGTTAAAACCAATCAAACTTGGTTTCCTTGTCAAGTTATACAGTATGCACGGCCTAATAAACATGAGAATTAAAGGTCAAAGATTACTTAGATAATACACATGGCTATTCGTTATTGCTAAATAAAGAGTTTTAAGCTTAAACAAATAAGGAAGCCCAACCGAATTTAAAAATAAAACAAACATCTTTATCATCGGTACACTGTACACTGTACAGTGCTAGTACAGTCATTTTTGTTTCAGATAAGATTTGAAGGAATGTGTTCGAATGTAAGCAAGGTCAACCTTTGCTTACATACGGACACAAAGGAGGATGTATGATTATAGAAATGAGAAATTAATTTTTTTAGCTTTTATGTTTTTTTTAATTTAGGATGTTTTCCTCTTAACTTATTTTTTTTTTTTTTTTGTATGGACTGTTCGGATTTTTCTCAAAGTTTTTGCCACCCTAGATATATGCTTGCCACAATATTTCTAGGGTTTTATTCGCTAGATTGGGGAAATTAATGAATTTATTTGGTAAAACGTATCGAAAAGATTGGATAAAGCTTCCTATTAATGTCCAAATAACCATCAATGGATAACCATGGAACGTGGAAATTTACTCACGACTTCAAGATTGTTTTTGTTAAGAATAAGCACTGTAATACCTTAAAAAAATCTTTAATATAAAAACATCTGCTTTAGTATATTTTATTTTTATATATATACAGTATTTTGTATAACTGTATGATGTGTCTGTAATATTTCTGCAAGATTAACAAAGGTTCATAAATATAAATCATGATTTATCATATATGAAATCGTCACTCAATTCTCGTGTATAAATTCGAGTGTTATTGTCAAAATATAGAAATAACTATTAAGAAGGAGGAGAAATGTTTAAATATCTTCAAAATATCTTGAATGTTGATTCAAATATTATTCCCTTTAAATTGATATTTTATACATTGCTTTTTAAAGAAGAATAGTATGAAGTTCTAAATGCAATATTCTCTATTTTATATAGAATAGGTATGATAATTATTTACACTACTGTACACGGAAGCTAAAAGGACTGTTTGAGTTATTTCAAGTGACCCTACATAAAAAGAGAGCAATGCCCAATGTTACCATGGTACCCTTAAACCTCTGTGTGTTCGTCAAGCACAGAGATATGTGTGTTTAAACTTATCGAAACCCGCTTGTTATCAGCTGCAACTTCAAGTGTTATCAGCTGCAACTTCAAGTGTGCGCTGTGTTGAGTTTGTTGTATATCGGACAGTGCTCTCTTTGCCATGAATCGTCATTCAAAACTACGTTGACAGTCCCTTTATGGGAATCTAAACTTAGTAATACCAACCATTAGTCTCTACTCATAGTATAATCATTATGATTGGTGGAGTCTGGCCTAAACACATGACGTTATTAATTTTACAATTGTTTAATTTCTGTTAATTTTTATTTCGAATTTGTAATAAGAATTGTTTTCTAGATGAAATAATCAATGACCCGATATTCTCCGTGACACTTCCTGTCAGCTCTCTTAAAAAAATCACGAAGCTTCTCAGTGTTATGAGTGATTCCAACGAGTTAGGTAAACCCTAATAAAAGGGGGGGGGGGGTTTAGGTTGTTGGCATTTTTTATTAAGCCATTATAGGATTGTGTTTAACTATTTTACCGTAATCAATAAAAACAAATGATAAACAAGCCGAAACGTAGAAATATTTGAACATTAGTTGTAATTTCTTTAAAATGTATTCCTTGGGGGAGGGTTCTGAATCCCCTTGGACATTATAGATCTAATTTTTCAATGGGGGGAGGGGCTTTCGCCTTAGCCCCCAAAGCCCCCCTCCTCACCCACTGTATTTTATACGCCTCTGAATACAACCGTGGAGGGAAAAAGAAAATGATGTATGTTATTATTGTTATTATATTGTTATTATTAAGAAAAATTTATTTTAATTTCATAGTTTTTTTTTGTTACTTATTCTTGTTATTCATGTCCCTGAAAAATTGTCAATTTCGTTTTAAAATCTTTTCAACGTTTCTAAAGCTTCTTGGAAAACATTTTACTAATATGCAATATTGGGAGAATGATTCTATTTAAAGTGTTTACAGTATACACTTTACATTTTCGACAACTTTGTAAATTTGAATTGGAGTATTTAAAAGTCATGTTATTTTTTCCGATTTTTCAGAATTATGATTTTCTAAAAGTTTTACATTGTTACAAATATTTAGTTTGAAAATGTGAACATTATACATTCTATTGTCTATATTAGATGAAGAGGATTATGATTATGATGTAGATCTAGGAGATAGCTCAGATACAATTACTTCATTTATTGGGTAAAAAAAGTTCAAACGAAACTTTTTAATTTTTTAGTTTCCCTATAGAATTGACTATAAAGATGTTGTTGAAACTCCAGGGGTGTATATAGTTCAGAATTAAAACACTCCCTCCCCCCCCCCAAAAAAAAAATGTTTTTAATGATTTAGGGAGGGAAAAAAACGAAAAATTTACATCAAAATGCTAGTTTTTTTCCATTCTTTGTGATACTTTTTACCTTAAAGTTTCTCCTAAAAATTATTTTTTTTCCGTAATGAGTTTCATGTCAGCCTTGTGTTGGGTCCCCTTTAACCTGTCCAAGTAACGTAGCAAGGACAAATATCACACTTTGTCTTATTTTTCTTTTTAATCTCTGTAGCACAAATCCGTTTTTGATATAGGAACCACTTTATAAAATTTCAATTTTCTGAGAGAAAAATAATTATATCTGATTTATCATTAATTTATCAGACAAAGAATTAAAAGGTACTGTTGTGAATCGAACTTGCCACACTTGATTAATGGGTCACTTGATCACAACGAAATCGTTAATTTAATGAACTTGAACTAAATTGTTAAAACCAAATTATTCAATGAGTCTCAACAATCTTTCTTCATTTTTTTACACAAACAAAATATCTATAAAATTTAAACACACAAAATATCTATAAAAAAATAAATTTTCCTTAACGTAATTGTCTGGTCTGTTAAGAAGTGTTATCATTTTTATGATCGACAATCGACATGATCGATCAATTATAATGCAATCTTAATTTTATTCAGAGATTTAAGTCCGGAGTTCCTGAAAGGGATTGATCCCGATATTATTGTTGAGTACTTTGAGAATGCTTCTCCAACTGATCTTAAGGAATCAAAACAAACCAATCAAAATTTTTCATTTTCTTGTGAATTATTTACTTTGTAGAAAAATATGTTTGAAATTTTTTTGGTCAACTGTTACATGGTAAGATAACTAAAACTTTGTTTTTGCAAATTAGATCAAATAAAGTCCTGATTATTAATTTAGTCACAAAATCTAATATGGCTTAAACGTGTTCATAAGATACCACCTCTTCTAGGGATTTAATCATTTGAGATGAAATGTTTGTTGTCTGATTTAGGCCATCCTTAACAACAGCAGTATAATTGCCAGCTTACCGGCCGAAACTATTGGTTCTCTTCTGGGGAAACTGAATCAGGCAAGACATTAGAGGGAGACTCCGTGAATTACAGTGTTATCCACAAAAGACGAGACTGTAAAGACGACCTGAATATATGACGATCCCAAGGTTAAATAAGATCTTCTACCTTGAATATAGTCTTCTAATGGTTTATTAAATGATCTAGCAAAGAAAGGAGCAAGCTCACAGTTGCTGGGGAATCATGAATTTAGAAGAAACAAATGTGATTTTAAATACACTAAAGCCGTCTCTAAAGTTTTATTCTTTGTGGGTAACCTTTATATGTTCTAGGCAGTGGTCAGGGTTACTGAAATTGTGGATTGAGGATTAGGAACAGGAAATAACATTTAGAATTAAAGGAAGGTTGGAGTATGTTTTAGAAGACACTGAAGATCGTAATGAAATTACAAATAATAAAGGGTAGGTAGAGAATGGTAGAGGGACATCAAGCATAATTTCAAGTATAAACTCTTTATACAAATACCTGATTCACAACAGTACCTTTAAAACTTTTGTCTGATTAAGCCTGAATTAGATATGTTTATAATTTTACGAAATATTTGTTTTTATTGTGGTTTCTTTACTCGCGTATTTCTACTGCAAGAAAAAAAGGAACTACAAGAAATAAACAGTTTTAAATCTAGAAAACAACTATATTTTCCTCATTATTGTTCAGATAACAACTATATTTTCCACATTATTGTTCAGATAATGGTGTAAAGGATACCTTTGTGAATCGAGCATTGCCATCTTTGTATTGAGTATCACTTGAAATTACGCTTACAGAGCCCGCGATTTAAAAGCTTCGGCTCGAGTCGTATTTCCTTAAACCAAACTTTAAGACCCAACTCTAACGACAGCTTGTGTCACGTGATTGACAGCTGCAAGATATTTGGCTCGACTTAAGGAGTTAAACCCAATGAAAATAAAACCGACCTTGATTGATTTTAGTGGGGAATAAGGCTCAATGTTGCGTCTTGTTCTCATAAAAACTGGGAATGCGCCAATTCCTACCATGAAAATCCGCCAAATAGAATATTAAACCGGTTCTGAAACTCTCAAAATATGACGATCTCAAGGTTAAATAAGATCTTCTACCTTGAATATAGTCTTCTAATGGTTTATAAAATGATCTAGCAAAGAAAGAAGCAAGTTCACAGTTGCTGAAAATCGTGAATTTAGAAGAAACAAATGTGATTATAAATTCACTACAGCTGTCTCTGAAGTCTCAGTCTTTGTGGGTAACCTTTTTATGTTCTAGACGGTGGTCAGGGTTACTGAAATTGTGGATTGAGGATTAGGAACAGGAAATAACATTTAGAATTAAAGGAAGGTTGGGGTATGTTTTAGAAGACACTGAAGAACGTAATGAAATTACAAATAGTGAAGGGTAGGTAGAGAATGTTAAAGGGACATCAAGCATAATTTCAAGGATAAACTCTTGATACAAATACCTGATTCACAATGGTATCTTTAAAAGTTTTGTCTGATTAAGCCTGAATTAGATATTCATGTTTATAATTTTACGAAATATTTGTTTTTACTGCATGAAAAAAAATAGGAACTACCAGAAATAAACAGTTTTAAATCTAGAAAACAACTATATTTTCCACATTATTGTTCAGATAGTGGTGTAAAGGATACCTTTGTGAATCGAGCATTGCCATCTTTGTATTGAGTATCACTTGAAATTACGATTACAGAGCCCGCGATTTAAATTCTTCGGCTCGAGTCGTAATTCCTTAAACCAAACTTTAAGACCCAATCTTCGACCCAACTCTAACGACAGCTTGTGTCACGTGATTGACAGCTGCAATATATTCGGCTCGACTTAAGGAGTTAAGCCCAATGAAAATAAAACCGACCTTGGTTGGTTTTAGTCAATGTTGCGTCTTGTTCTCATAAAAACTGGGAATGCGCCAATTCCTACCATGAAAATCCGCCAAATAGAGTTTTAAACCGGTTTTTTTAATTCAACTCTGTGGAAAATAAGATGCAGCTTGAATCCGAAAGCTCAAGTCGTAAATAAGACTCAACTACAGCTTAGACCCGAGCCGTATTTCCCCGAGATTTCTAAATGCTTAAGTTTTCAATGCAGGATTTAACTATTTTTAAATATGAGTATTCTAATTTACAAAAATCATTTTTACGTTTGTCCACAGAACCCATGAAAACAAAACATATTAGGAAAGTTTCTTTTTTAAATTACAGTTTCAGTTTCTTTTGAAAAACAGATATTTTAAGCTGAGTTAAGGTTTAGACACTTTTATGATTATTATATATATTTTAAGATTTTATATAAAAGTTTAAATTTCAAATTTTTGATCTCAAGAATATTAAGATTAAATAAACTCAAATTTTTGATCCTAAAAATAAATAGATTACATTTTAAGCTACAAGGATTAAAACTTATAAAAGGTTAAATTCAGTTTTAGATAATGCTTAATCCTATTTTAACTGAATAAATCAGAAAGAATTGGTCCAAAGTGTTAAATTTTTTGAATTTTCTACCTTACTTTAGGCTAAAAATCAGGCTTAAAAAACCTGTGCAATGCCTATCTATATTTATACCCGCCCAGTCATTAGATTTTAACTTTTTTTAGCTCTGGGCATAAGGAAGCAGATTGTACAAGTTTTGCGAATAAATTTAATTTGATTTGATTTGATTTGATTTGATTTGATTTGATTTGATTTGATTTGATTTGATTTGATTTGATTTGATTTGATTTGATTTGATTTGATTTGAGCTAAATAAGTGGATTTTGCAATAAATACTAGGAGTTTTCATTAATTTTTTCATTTTTTTGGTTTAATAGGATTTGCTGCTCCAGCTGCTGCAGAGCTCTGCAGTTAGTGATCTTTATAATTCCACGGCTGTAAACCTAACTCAGGTTAATTTTCTATATTTACTGCGTAACTTAGATAGTTATAGATCGATGAGCCAGAAATTTGGCTTTTAGAAATAATTTTTTTAAATTTTATTTTTGCAATTTTGTTAAGAGCTTATGATGTAACCAAAAATTCACCATTTTACAATTTTTATCATTGTCACAAAGAAAACTATGTTTTTTGATGCATGCGAAAACAATTTGTCATGTACACTGCTTTAAACTCAGTTACAATTATTGTTATTTTTTTATAATGGCTTCACAGAAAATGCGATACAAACGAAACCAACAACTCATTAAGGGTTGGTAAAAGACATTATATTTAATCAAAATTGATTGATTGGTGGTAATTATTTATAACTACTTTACAGGGAAGGGAATTTTACTGTACCAAGGATTCCCAATACTTATTGGTCAAGGGAATTGGTGGTTAAGTAAATCTTTAAAATTCCGGAAAAAGTATGATAAAAATGAAAATGTGCGAATTTTTTCGTAGCAGTTTTGCAGAGTGCGGTGGGTGGTAATTTTACTTAATTTTCACAAGGAGCGTTAAATAATGTAATGTCCCATGGTTAAGAGTATCATTTGTCACAAAAAGGCTTTACAATTCCTGTCCAGATTGAACGGGAAAGATTACGTGTGTGGCAAATAGATGTTGCTTCCCATATAGTGAATCAAGTTGATGCATCAGTTCTAACAGCACTCCCTGAGTTTATAGGTAACTAGCAGAAGTGTAATAAATATTGTTGTAACACGATATTCTGTAAACCTGAACTATGTTGTACATTAATAACTATCCATGTTTGTAAACTTCTACATAAAACTCATTATTTGAACTGCGTTTCAAATGAATATGTAGCATGATTAGTTTAATCATGTGATATCTAATGACGTATATGTTAATTATGTCTAGTTTAACTGTGCAAATACGTCCATGATTATCTTAATTTTGTGATATAGATAATGAGGTAGGAATTATAATTATGTCTATTAACTTTAACTTATAAGATATAAACCTCAAATACATCAGTTGATATAGAGACTCTGCTTTCATTCATGTGAGAAAATAATTTGGTTCTAGTTAAAACATACAAACTGGTATCGCGCCCATTGGTTTGGAGTTGATAGAATATGAGCTAGTGTCCAGTTGACATCGATAGCTCATGAGATATTGCCCGTTGGTTTGGCATTGATCAATTAATAGCTAATGTCCTTGTTGACATCAATAGGTGAAGAGATCTCGTCCATTGGTTTGGCATTGATAGAATATGAGCTAGTGTCTGGTTAAAGTAATAGACATAATTATAATTCCTACGTCATTATCTATAACACATGATTAAGATAATCATGTTACGTATTTGCACAGTTAAACTAGACATAATTAAGATATACGTCATTAGATATCACATGATTAAACTAATCATGCTACATATTCACTTGAACTGCGCTTAAATAGATACTTCTGAGAAATCATCCATAGAGATACAGTCAACTATGAAAGTTCTGCTTTGAAATTTAACATCTAATTGTTATTATTTTATAAGGAACAGCCTTACTTACAAGTAGCTCATATCTCTCAATAAACATTTAAATAAATTTGTACCATTTGTAAAACTGTTATAATCGATTCATTTATCATGAATCCCATTTCTAGTTAAAATTAATATTAGTTTTTATTTGATAAATCTAAATGAATACAAAAAGCTTATTACTATTATATGACATTTAAAAACATTATTATTCATGTTTATTTCAAGCAATATTGGGTTGCAGCTTTGACTAAAATATAAGGTTCCCAAATTGTAATAACAAGGTTCTCAGAAGTTGAAACTTAATATTTTTTGTTCAAAATTGAAATTCTTCTTGACATCACGGAACGTCCAAGAAGAATTGACCCATTAGATAATTATGGAAATAATTTAAAGCCATTTGACAGAGTAGGTTCTTAATCATGCAGTTCGAGGGAGGGAAAGCCACCTCCCCTGTCAGCTTTCAAACCTTATTTATCTATGTGCGGCACTGGGTGTCCTCGTAAGGCTTCTGATCCACCCCCCAAATATACTTCTGGGAATGTTTTTCCATTTATAATCGTCAATTTCTACATAAAACGGGTCTAATTCGATTATTTAAGCATGCTACTCCATCCATTGTATCCTTAATATCCATAATATGTTTTCTTCCTTTTTGACAATCAAAGTTCGGACAGGGAAAATGTTGTAGATTTTGTTTGATCCCCATATTGCTTCTGAACCTGGATGTTTGGAAGTAATATTGGGATCCTTCTGTTTGTAGACGAAATGCTAAGAAATTATATTAAGTTTAACTGTAATCTTACCTTCAGATTGAAAGAAATGGAAATAAGATTGACCTCGACAATCGACCTGTTCTTGTGTGCAAAATATATTTGTCCTGTATTGTAGTGTAAAGGGCTCAGTTTCATTCGCCATAATACTTTTGCCATTAATACTTTTGCCATAATACTTTTGCCATAATACATTTGTCATAAATAACACTTGCCATAAATTACACTTGCCATAATGATTACACTTGCAATAATTACACTTGCCAAAATTAAAATTAAATTTGGTAAGAATTAACAGACATATATATGTATATACCTTTTTTAATTACAAATTAAATACAAATTACAAATTTAATTCAGAGACAGTTCGAATTTAGGTTCGAAATCTGTTTTAAAACAATGAGAAAACTAAAGTTGGAAATTTTTTAAAATTAGAAAATTATGACAAAAGTAATTATAGAAAGTGTTATCATGGCAAGTGTTACCATTATGTCAAGTGTAACTTATGGCAAGTGTTACTTATGGTAAAGGTATTATGGCAAAAGTATTATGGCAAATGAAACTGAGCCATGTAAAGTGTCAAGTTACTTTTGTTGAATTCGTGAGAAATTTTCTGTCTGTTATTAAGCTGCGACTTCCTTGCCTGCCTAGCTAGCCTGGGAAATCATAGCAAAATTACAGCTAGATGATGTCTTAAAATCCAACATTTATTTATTCTTTAGTTCGGAGTCAGTTGTCCAATATGAAGGCTTTAAGTGCATTGCTTAACAATCCTTCAAAACTGGAAGCTCTGGTGGAAAGATATGGAACCTTGCTTGATGAGGTATAATTGCTTATTTATCTTGAAACTCCAGGATGATCATTCTAGGTAATAATGTCAAAGTGATTAATTTAAAACACCTGAAAATTAAAACCGAAGTTAAAATGTTACTTGCTAAGGTTTTTGTCACTTACTCAGCATAGACGAATGGCCAATTTCTTATTTATTTAACCATAGGTACAACTATAGGTCGTATCTATCTATCTACACCACTCTGGTAAAGCGTAACCATAGTGTGACTATGGTTCTACCTTTTGTAGAACGTCTAAGAAATTGGCCAATAGACATACAGGGTGTCCCACATCATATTAGACCGTCAACAGGTCTAAATTGCGATTTTCGGGACTAATAAGAAATTTTAATTAGAATAAATCAATTTGAAAAATAACATAAGGCTTATATAATAATTTTCTTGCGGAAAATGATAAGTTTTTCGAGTATTAAGGGTTTATTTTGTCGTTAAAGATTAGAGATAATCTAATATGATATGGGACGCTCTGTACATAATGTGGGTTGATAGTCCTAAGCCCAAACTTTTCAGAAGAAATTCGTCTGCTGTACATTATTCGGAATGCATAACGGAAACAAAAAAGCTTTAATAATTGAAAAATTTTGAGGATTTAGTGTTTTTTGAGTAGATAACAAAATATGAAGAAAGTGCTCCGGATTTTAGGAAAGAACACAAGTCAAGATAATATCTATGAGGAATGGGTGCAATTAGCATTGCTTAGGATCAATTTTGTTTTGATGCGGATCCTTACTCTGGATCCGGCCATCCATATTCAGGTTCTGAACATTTCTTTACAGAGAGTGTCTGGCATATCTACATGGTACAGTGGTAGGCAATTAAAGCAATACATTGCAGACGACTTTTTACTTAAAGGGAGTGTTCGCGAAAAATGAAAGGGGGTATAGGCTTAATGCGTTAAAAAAGCGCTTTTGATCGCTACTAATCTTAATTCTATCTGTTGCGTCTATAAGGAGAAAAGTGTTAAAAACGACTAATACCGAAGAAAGTAGTGTCCATACAAATTCAGAAAGATGCAACATGCGATTTAGACCGTAAAAATATCTATTTAATTTTAAACAAATCATTCAGATATTACAACCTATGGTCATCGATTATTATCTTTCGCCACATTTGTATATGGTTGATTTTTCATAATATGTTTTGATTTTATTTTTTTAAATAATATTTGGCTTGCAACTTGTTTTCGAACATTCCTGGAAAATATGAAAATGTCGTCTTCATTACCAAAAATTCTTGAAACAGGAATAAATGTTTTTATAAGTAACTCTCAGATCATAACAATTAAACATATTATGAAAAATCAACTATATACAAATGTGGCGAAAGATAATCGATGACTATAGGTTGTAATATCTGAATGATTTGTTTGAAATTAAATTGATTTTTTTTACGGTCTATGTCGTATGTTGCATCTTTCTTATAGGTTGTAATATCTGAATGATTTGTTTGAAATTAAATTGATTTTTTTACGGTCTATGTCGTATGTTGCACTTTCAGCTCAACTACCATGTCTAAACACTTCCTTAAAGATGTAATGAATGATATTAAGATTTGTGTTTTGAGAGCAAAAATGACTTTTTAGCAAGCTTAGGTTGATATTTTGCCCCTTGGACCTGGTTCAGTGTATCCACATATTTTTGCAGCTCTGAATCCGGATCCAGGGAGCCAAAATGTATTAGATACAACAGATCTGGATCCTGGTCCAGGGAGCCTAATTGTTCTGGATCCAATAGATCCGGATCCGGATGCAGGAAGCCAAAATTTTGTCGATCCAATAGATCTGGGTTTGGATCCAGGAAGCCAAAATGTTGCGGATTCGACCGATCCAGATCCTAAGCACTGCACTGGTGCACAGGTCCTTGAATATCTTGGATTATATATTTTTATTGTTAAGATCTCTCCTGAAACTGTTGTTGGTTTGGCTAGACAAGATAAAACATTGCTTGGTAAAATTCCAACCAAAGTTTTTATAAAACTTGCAACATGTGACGTAGTCAGGTAAAATTTGGCCAATATCTTAAAGGGACTGTAGGTGTAATTTCAAGTCGTCCTCCATTGGGAGAGTGGCGAGTTAGATTCACCACAGTACTTTTTGATAATTGTGGAATACTTGTATTGCAAGCCGTTTAATATTAAAGAAGTATTCAAACTTAATCTCCAGAAGTCACAGAAAAAAATTATTTACATTCAATTTTTTAAAAACCGCTTCGGACATTCAATGCTCGGTATTTTCAAGGTAAACATGTGATGTCAGCTGGGTTGAGTTTAAATTCGGGCAATTCGAACACTATTTAAAAGACTTAACACACTGAGTGTTTTGTCAGGTTTTAAACCTTTGCCCTTAGACAATTTAAACTATTGTAAATCGGGAATGGGGGATCTCTTAAAATTATGTATACAGTCCCTTTAAATCCTCGTGATAACCAGTAAACAGTAAAATGAAAATCGTCTTCGTTTTATCTTTTTATTAGAAATGTACAATTATTTGCAAAAACTCTTCAGCTGGAAACCCTGCTTAAAATGTTGTATGTTACGTGTAATTTGAGTTACTGCTGAAAGACGTTTGTTAAATGATTTATATGCATACCCAAGTACATCGAACACAAGGCAACCTACCATCGAAAAAGATTAACTTTCTAGCTGATAGTACGTCTCAGCAATCTTTTGCCTCTGCTTTTAATATTATTAAAACTTGCATTAATATATTTATATGAAACTTTTAAATATTAGCGGACGAAAATTTAGGCTTTAATGCCAGATGGGAACTTTACATGATTGCTGTATAACAATAGAGGGGGGTGTCAATATGTATGTATGTAAATTTCTATTGCAATTCAAAAATTCTTCCTAAGAAAATGTTCCTGGACTGCTAAATTATTAAAAGCAGACTGGGTCTGTTCCAATATAATTCATGTGTAGAGCTTTGTCAAGTCATCAAGTTTTTTTTTTGTTAGAATCTTCTTGCATATATTCGTTTACTACCAAAGTTTGATATCTGAATATAAATTATGTATGTAGAGGTTTAAGTGCTGAGTTCAGTGCATCCCAATTGGTTTCCAACATGACGGACAAATTTGTGGAGCTCCTTCTAAACAAACCAGAGATCATTGATTGTGTTTCAGGTCAATTATAACCCTTCCAAATTCAGTAATTAAAAGCTAAGTCTTGTTTTGTGCGTATCCAAATGATCTTGTAATTCCAAAAGAAAATGTTCATATTTTTTTGTTGCATTTTTAAAAAATAAATTTCATTTTTTTTTGGATTTACATTTCTTAATTATCCTTTAATCCTTTTAATCCAAGATAAGAACTTTCCCGAATAAAACAAAACTTATTAAAATTTTATTTTATTTTTATTGTTAATGCAGAATATCTTTAAGCCAAAAAAGTGTTTAACAGAAATTTATAAATTAATCCTTCTGAATCCCAATTGTTTGAGTAAAAAGGACCGATTTCATTGTCAATGAAATATTATAGAGAGAGAAGGTGATTTTTGAGAATAGGTGTGGAGAAAAAAAATTATTAACATTTCTCCGAAATAAGAATGATGATTTTCTATTGTAGATTTCTTGTATTTATTAATGTTCAGAAGAAGTTGTTATTAAAAGCCATTCATTTTGGCAAACAAAAAATCATGTTTATAAAGCTGTAGAACTGCAACATGAGACAATTTGGAAACTTAGTCATCAATTTTTTAGACAGCCTTGACTGTAAAGTTTCGCTGCCCCCTGGCCTTTGGGTTTACATCACCAACTCGCTTATGCTTTTTTGTAGCTCTAGACATTTATACTTTAAAAATGTAATGAGCTTGTTTCTATCCTTTGTTAAAAAGGGGTAATAGGCAAAACACTGTTAGATTTTTTTGCAGCGACACGAAACTAAAAAGAATTGTCAGTGTTAACACATTAATAAATATAATTTTTTTAATCGAATTTTCCTATCGTTTTTTCCTATTGTTTTGAAATGATTCGGTAGACAAACCAAGCACTTGAATTTCTTGTTTTTATTTAAAACAAACAGGAGAAGTTTTAAATAAATTCTAGCTAAGTCTGTGTTGTAGAAAGCCGCAAGTTGCTTTCTAGCAATGCCAGTGCAACAAGATTTAGATTTTTTTACAGTAAACCCCAATTTTCTTTATAATAAATACATTGCTAGCTAAATGGGAAAAAACCTGGGTTTTTTAAAAAGAAAACCAGCCCAGTGGGTTTTTTTGGTTTTACTGTTTTTTTTTGGGTTTTATTGTTTTTTTTGGGGGAGGGGGGGGGCTTTTTTGTGTGTTTTTTTAATTTCAAAGTATTTGAAGCCTACTAAATTCATACTAATTCATAATAATAAGACTATTTTAGGCATAGGTGTGCTTTGAAATATAATAAAGTTGTTATGATAATAGGGTATAATCATAACAAATACTCTTCAAATACAATAAATAATAACACCTCCCCTCTTCATAGGGGGCCTTTATATGGGGAATACTGCAATTTTAGATATTATAGTTCTATGAATTTCAGACTACTTATATTTTCTCACTTGGATACTTAAGAATGATGAAGGGATTTTATATCCTTATTCTATCGCAACATATTTTGAAAACTCCTGAGAGAAGAATATATGTGTCAATTTTAGTTCTGTAAAATTGGGTGTTTTTTTTTTGGTGGTTTTTTTCATGCCAACCCTGTTACCAAGCAAAACATAATTTAATAAGTTTTTTATAACTGTCATTGATTGCTGCCGCTTAAACCCTAGATAAAATACTTTGTTTATTAACCTTGGTTAAATACAGAAGTAAACCTCCCTGATTTTGTGAGAAGAGGATTTCAAGATGCTGTTCAATTGGATTTGAAGGATCCTCAAGTAAGTCTTGATTAATATCAGAGGCAGAATTCAAGGAATGGATTTAATTAGACCAACTCATTTAAATGTGTCTGTTCTTTAAGTACAGTTTAATCCACAACTCGAAATCTAAAGAATTTATAAAATGTCATTTTATAAATCTACTGATACTGGAATGCTGCAAATATTTAGTGTTTTAGTTATATAATTATATGGAGCTCTTTACAACTGTTCTCAAATATTTTATGGCGATTTATTTATTTTGAAATTACTGAGATTTAGGTATAATAGTCAAGACGACATTTTATAGATTCTTTCGTTGTCTCCAAACTTCTGGGTTCAACTGTATGATTTTTATTCCTTATATCTTGTAACTTGATGGTGTAAACCTTTTCTTCTTTGTCAGTTCATTTCTTTGATTTCTTATAGAAAAAAATGAGGAAATATTTTTCAAAAATCCCCTAAAAACTAAAATATTAATATAGTTTTTAAAAAAAAAACAATAATATTTTAAACAAAAGAAAACAAAAAATAGTTGGAGTTCATTTGTTTGATTTTTAATAGAAAAAAATGGGAACATTTCTTTAAATCCCCTAAAGACTAAAATAAATGTAATTCTGAATAAAAAATAATAATATTTTATACAAAAAATAATTTCAGAAGAAGAAGGATGAGACCCTGAATAAGTTAACCCAGTCTCTTCTCTCTGTACCTGAAGAGATCTTGATCAAGCTGGCAGGGAATATGGAAATCCAGGCACATTAATTCACTGCTATCATATTCTCAGCTCTAAACATTTTAAAAAGCATGTTGTTCTGTTAAGTGAACGTAGCTAGAATACATTTTTAGAAGTAAAACCAACCAACTTTTTTATTTATTTTAATTATTTAACTGACTTAGATGTATATAAAAAGCAAGAACATATTTCAAGAGCTTTATTCAGAGCAAGGTTGACCAAATCTGAAAAAAAAATTACATTTAGTGCTACTATTCTAGACATTTTGATATTAACATTTTTTAACTACCCTTTATCTTGTTTTGGTTTTTATCAAATAATAATCATTTATTCATAAAGAACGTTGTTATCAGCTACAAAAAAAAATAGTTTTTAAAACAAGTAATTTATCAGGATTTTAATTAATCACTTCTATCATTTCATTTTCTAATTGTATTGAGATCTTCCTGATTTAGCTGTTTATTTGTGAGAAAAGGAAGTGTTACCAGACATGGTCATAGTCCAGATGATAAACCAGAAACCGAAACTAGGTTAGTTTTAATGTAGATCAGTTTGATTTTGATAAACTAATATATTATGTAGTTAATGCTTTAATAATGAATGTAAAAAACTAAAGAAAAAATAAGATAATGCTAATTTTCTAGGGGGGGGGGGGGCATTTAAGTTGTATCTTTTTCTTCCAGTTATTTATCAAAAGGCTGTTAAAGTAATTTAAAGTGACATTCCATTTTCAACTATGCATGTCTGATTCAAAGCTGTAACCTGAAAACTTTTATCTATGTGACAAAGAAAGTTTTTATTCTTATGAACTCTGGCAACTTCCTTGATTTAGAATAACAGGATATCTTAATCAGCCAGGAGCAGGAAGAAAGCTGTTCAGGGTATTGCTGTGACTTGGAAATGCCACTTTTAAAAAGGGGTTAACTTGAAGTTTCTTCTTTAGTCCTTTTTAATAATGTATTTTTAGTGTCAATGCTGCCAAAGAATGTGATACTAAAAATTGCGAAATCCAAACCATGGCTAACAGGTAATATTCATTTTACAATTTTCTTTAAAAGATGGTCCCCACATCAAGAAAGAAAAAAAATCCGATAATTTTCTTAATCAAAGTCAAACTGTGCCCTTCGAGTGTTTTTTTTTGTTTCGGCATTTTGATAGAAAAAAAATACACAAAAAATCAGATTTATCTGTGGAACACTTTTTTAAAATCATTTTTTTTGATTTATCGTAAAAATCAAGTACATTTTCAAGTCTGAAGGCTTCATCCAGTTTATTCTGTGTTTTTCCCCATATATTTTTTAAACCAGGTCCTAAAATTTTGGTCCTTTTCTTAAAAAATAATTAGATATATTGTAACATATAATCAGAGCAGTACCAGGCAGTCAGGCAATTGACTTAGGGCTTTGATTTTGATTACAACATGTCTTTAGAGAAAAATCTCGAAACCTCATGCAGCCTATGGTAAATAAAAATATCGAAAAAATTTAAAGAAAGCTGAATAAAGTCTTGAAACGTTTAACTTTGGACCTGAAAATTCACTTGATTTCTATCATTTCTTAAAAATGGTTGTTCTCACAAAGGCCAGGGCTCAACATAGTTATTTCTAATTTTGGTGTTCTATTGTCTATTAGCCTACCAATGATGTCTGAATTGACGGATCTAAAATGCTAAGCTAAAAATCTGAAAATGGGCCCTTCATCTTTGTTTTACCATTCCGCAACCTTTATTTGGATTAAAAACTGAGTTAAATTTGGGTGTATCATTTATTTTAAATCAAAGTTCTTAGTCTTACAAAATTTGGACTTGGCCTTTATAATGTACACTTGTTAATGTATGTAAACCAGGAATGTTTTCGATGACGGCTGTTCTTATGTTCGCTCAGAGGCAGGACGTGTTCATGGNCCGCTTGTACACTGCGCATATTATTCTGTATATGCACTGTTCACTGTAACTACTTAAAAAGATGATTTCCGCTTGTACAGTGTACACTGCGCATATTATTTTCTATATGCACTTTACACTGTGACTTCTTTAAAAAATGATAACCGCTTGTACACTGCGCATATTATTCTGTATATGCACTGTTCACTGTAACTACTTAAAAAGATGATAACCGCTTGTACAGTGTACACTGCGCATATTATTCTGTATATGCTCTGTACACTGTGACTTCTTAAAAAGATGATAACCTCTTGTAAGTCAGTGTACACTGCGCATATTATTCTGTATATGCTCTGTAAACTGTGACTTCTTAAAAAGATGATAACCGCTTGTATAGTGTACACTTATTCTGTATATGCTCTGTTCACTGTGACTTCTTAAAAAGATGATAACCGCTTGTATAGTGTACACTGCGCATATTATTCTGTATATGCTCTGTTCACTGTGACTTCTGAAAAAGATGATAACCGCTTGTACAGTGTTCATTGCACATATTTTGTATATGCACTGTGGCTTCTAAAAATTCATATATTTAGAGATTTAGCAAACCTGTTAGCATTTCAGCCCGGAATACTTTCTGTCCTGGCTACTATGCCTACAGATGTTGGTAATAATATGATATTTATTATTTTAGAAATTTTTATTTGATATTATTTTGGAAATTTTTATTTAATGTTATTATTGTTCACTAAAATCATATGTACTTTTTCTCCAACATATTAAGAATAACATTTTTTTGAAGAAAATATTTTTGAAATGGTTAAATTGTTGCCGACCCCTTCACGATTGTTTTTTAGAAAAATTATTCCTGCACCGAACTCAATTTAAGACAAATATCAAACTTATTGAGTTTGAGTCCAAATGTAATTTGAGAAATGTTCTAACTGGATACTCCTTAAAATTGTGTGTACTGCAGTGTTAACATTTCTGCCAAGGAAATGTTAAACTACAAAAATCAGATTGAACTTAATATTTGTAGTGTGTACGTTTCTGCCAATCAATATTGTCAACAAACTACAAAAATCAGATTGAACTTAATATTAGTAGTGTGTACGTTTCTGCCAATCAATATTGTCAACAAACTCTGAAAATCAGATTATACTTCAACTTTTGTGGAGTCATCTTTATATTTCTTGATTTAAGAAAAATTTTCTTTTATTTTCCATTTGTTCTCATAAAGTTTGTATCACTATAAAGATGCTTTTACAGTAAAAGAAAAACCTACCAGGATTTTTTATTTTTTCTATTTTAACTGTAGTTCGGGCTTAGCTGGGCGTAATCAGGAATTTGTCCAATGGGGGGCTAGTCCCCATAGCCCCTCTCCCCCATGGACATGATTCTGTTTGTACTGTTCTTTAGATTTGCTAATAAATGTATCAGGCTTGATCAAATAAACAGGCGTTTTGGAAGATACTTTAGAAAATCTAAATTTAAGAAAAAATTAGTTATTACGAAACTTTATTAGGAAATAATAAGAAATGTTTTTTTTTTTAAATTAAGCACTACTTTCTAGCTTATGAGAGTTTCTCTTCTATTCAGAGTATAATATTTAATTAAATCTCTTGAACTACAGAGTGTTTCCAGAGTTTCTTTTATACAAGTCTTTACAGTTGATTTCCAGTCCAACCAAAATATCCTACCTCTGAACTTTTAATTGTTTTTTGTTTAGTTGTTATATTTTTAACTGGACACCTGGATCTGCTGGACATGATTCCAGCGTCTGCTAAGGGTATACTCAAGAGGGTTATGCAACAAAAGGAATTACTCAGGTAATGAATTAGATCGTCTACGAGATGATAGAGCAAATATTTTTAAATTCACGGACTATTGCCGAGTGCAGCTGCATTTGTTCAGTGTCTTTTTATAGTCCCATTCTTCAGCTCTGTTGCACAAGCAAATGTCAGTAATCAAATATCTTTTAAAGTGATCTTGACATATTTTTAATTGTCAATTTATTCATGAAGTGACATGTCCAATTCACAGCAGTAGTCTATAAAAGCTATGTCTGATCGTAAATTCATAAGATATCGATAAAAAAAATTTAGAAAATTACTTGTTTTAAATTATGGTTTCTCTATTTAGTGACTCTTACATTTCTGTTTCAGACAGAATAAAGAGAAATTAGCAGAACTTACTAATTTTCCATATAATTTATTAGTTAACAGTTTAAAGGATGTTGTTGTGAATCAGATATCACTACGTCAGCCCCTTAAACGGACCTAAAAACTTCTGAACAAAATCTCAATAATCTCCAATGAACTAAGGGGATACGCACTAAGAATTTAACTTTAAGAAACATTAACCCCATAAAGAAGTTATTGCTTGAAAATACTTTGAAGAAGGTGATTGACCCTCTTTGGAAAAAGAGGGAACAGTCACCTTTAGAAAATAACTAATACATTTGGAGGATTTTGAGTCACGAAACCTCTCAATATAATTTTAGTAACACAAGTACTGATTTATCCCACAGAACATGCTGTGCAATGGAGGATACATTTTGCAAAAATCTCATTCATGTGCTTTATTTTATCTCTCATTCCTAATCAATAAATCTAATTTGTTTTCAGAGCAATACCCATAGAACTCCATGTTAAGCTTGCGAGGAAAAAGATTGTTCAAGAGATCGTAGGAAACCTTATATCTTTTTAATATTTTTTATCATAAAGTTTTTTGCATAAGATTTAATCATAGTTTTAAAATTGCGTCTTATAGATTTTAGTTAGTTTTTAAATAAAAAATGATATTTGATTAGTACTGAATATCATTCTTAATAACTTTTAATAAGCTCCTTATTTCTGATTAATTCGTTAGAATTGAAAAGGTTTCTTTTATCTGCAAAGTTTCTGTTTAATCAAATGATTGAAGTCAAAATGGAATGATTTATAATATAAGAGTTTTTCAGATAAATATACTCTTTTGGATATCCTGGAAGCACATCCTACACTCATAGCAAGGAACTTGTTCACAGACAAATCAGTAAACTTTGTTGTGATAATTCAGAGTCTTTGAATGAAATACTTATGTTGTCTTCGTATCCTAAGAAATTATGAAAAGTTTGAATCTGAAGGAAAATCTTTAACTTTTTCTAAGCTGAGCTTGGAACTTTAGAATGGGATACCATTAATCCCAACTGCTTAATCCGAATATCCAATGCGGACACTTTGGATTTCTTGCTTAATTCACTCTTTTTTAGATATATGCACAGAAAAATCAAAAACCGGTTTTTTAAAATTAAGAGTCCTTCCCGTTTCTGTATATTAATCTCAAATGACGCGCAAAATTTCAAATTAACCGGCTTTTTATAAGCGACTCTGATTGGTTGAATTTTATACACTTTTCTTGATACAAGAACAGGATTAAGTTAATAAGCATTAATCTCGATATCCACAATTCTAAAGTTCCCAGCTCGGGTAACTTTTGTGTTAATCCTGAGTGCTTGATCTGTATATATACTATTGATGGTCAATGTATAATCTTTTCCTTTCAGTTATCCCTATGATTACACTGCGGATAACTATTAAAGATCTCGATATCCATAAAAAACGAGTTTCCAGCTTATAGTTCTTATCTTAAGCATGAAATAGATGCTACTCCTTCCAAAGATGAACTTTAAACTCTAAAATTCTATCCTCTCAGTATAAAACTTGTGTGCTCACTACCTTTAACATACTTTTTGATTAAAACTTGTGATTGTACTCCTGTAGATAATCTGTGAATACATGCCTAGAGTTGACCCGGAACTAATTGGACCCTATCTAAAGTTCCTTGAGGATCCTTGGTTCAAGGAACGGTACGCTTTTAGTTATGACATTTTATAAAAAAACGATTCCCCCCCCCCCCATCCTGTCGCATCATGTCTCTGTCTATTTTAACTTATCTTTGGCAGATATAAGTGCTTGCTTTAAGTGTTTCAAAGAACCTCTCTTTAAAAAAAAAACTCGTTCTTAGATATGCACATTCCACAAAACTAAAAAAGAAATATAAGATAGAACCAAAATATTTTTTCCCGATACTTTGTTATTGTTTATTATTTGACATGTATAGTTTTTTTAATCAAAAAACTTAATTTAAAAATGTTTTGTTTCCTGCCTGATTTCGGTAAAAATAAGAACTAGAATTGTTTTTGTCTGAAAATTAAAGTTTGTAACATTTTTAACACATTTTCGTTTTACAGGATTCAAGATACTTCATTAATTTATCGAACATTTCTTTATTACAGTCTGCCATGTGAGACAGTGCGTGCTGCAACTAATCATCCTACTCTACTCTCTTTAATACCAGATAGAAACCTGGCCCAGGTCAATTCAATAATAAGTTTTCAACAATAGAAAATTATTTAACATAATCTAAAGGGACAGTAGATGTAATTTTAGGTGAACCTAATAGTGGCATCCCTGATTAATAACTGTCAATGTGCCCTTTCAGCTTAGCCTGTAAAACCTTTCACCTTGTTTCATATTCTTCATTATAGTCATTCATTTTACATTAACTACAAAGATCTGTAAAAAAACTTAATTTATTTTAAGTAACATAAAAAATAGTTTTACTCTAAGAAGAAAAAAAGATGTTACTTCTACTTTCATGAAAATAGTCGTCTTTACACAAGTTTTTAAAGGTGTTAAAAGCAGACGAATCAATAGGGAATGATTTTGAGGGGGCAACTGTAACTTGTAGGGGAAGTAAGTGGAGTAATCCCTGCTATTCAGGGGTATTTACCTCCAAGATTCTAGGGGGGGGGGTGATTACCCCCAGGATTCTAGGGGGGAGGGGGGTAAATAAACCCAATAATCACCCTTATTTACGCCACTGGTGATACGCTGATTTATACATAAGAGACTAAAACCAAAAGTAAATCAAATAATTCCAAATTTGAATTTTTCAGATAATAACCTGTCGTCATATTGTCTCCTGCATTGAGAGAAAGGTAAAAAAAAATTATATAAAGATTGTACATTTACAAATCATAAACCTAGGCTAAAATTTCAAATTAAAGTGAAGTCATTTTGAAATTGAAGAATGGAAGTAGGAGAGCCTTAGAAGTCTGATTTGATTTTTATGAAACTATTGTGTACTTCATTCCTACTCACTTCATCGTGAATTTCAGAATGAACGTAATATAAAGTAATCATCCTATAATGTTAAATTAACTGTACATAATAGCACGTGTGCTATAACGTTTTGATTGGTTCTCGGATTTTCTCCAAAAAATTTAGGATATTACCAAAATATTTTTTTGAATTGAATTGAAAAGGCTTGATCCTTCTTAATACGTTTCGGCGGCTAGGAGCGCCGACCCCTATTTCATTGAATGATGGGTTGTCCTTTAATAATAATAATAATAATAATAAAGAGAAAATGTCTGTCCAAAAATTTTATAACACTGCGAACCGAAATAACAGTTATAATTTAAGTGGCATTTTTCGTTTCATTCATTAATCTGAACTTTGGCGACTTTCCTATTTTTTCTTGATTTATACTGTTTCCTCCTTTTAATATAATGCCATTTGATCTCATTTATTTCCTGTGGATTCTTCCAAATATAAAAAGAAACTTGGTTTTGTCAAGAGACTATATCTGAGGATATATTTCATAAAGAGACTGTAAGTGTAATTTCAAGTGACCCTCCATGCAAAGAGGACAATGCCCGATTCACAATGGTACCCTTAAAACCTTTGACTGTTAATCGAGTAGAGACATATCGTCGAAACCCTCTTGAGTTCCTCAAAATGCGACCGTGTACGCTGTGTACGTGTACTCAAACAGGTGATCTGCTTCTTGTATACTGGAAAAAAGATCGGCTGCTTCACGATAACAGCGTTTTCAAACATTCAACAGTAAAATTTTTATTTTCTGCCACTTTTGGAAAGTAATTGTTGACATTTCTTAGATATATGACAGCTTACAAACAAAGTGTTCAGCAATAAAAGCATTTTAGTAGACTAATGTAGATTATGTCCGACATTTTTTTTCAGTCAAAGGTTTGTGAATCTTTAATGGAAGGTCACTTGAAATTACGCTCACAGCCACACAAAAAAAAACACACTTTTTTTTCTGAATTTCAATTATGAATGCTTCTATTTAACCTTAAATAGATAATATAAGCTTTTCATTGGCTTACTTAGAAAAAAAGTCAGATATAATAATGAAATGTTATATTTTACAGGAACTTGAAAGACTTTTAGCAGTGTCTAACCTTGGTTCGAGGCTCAAACTTTCGACACTGGTAATTAACATCGTAGTATAATTCAAATAAGGAGTGCAAACTGCAAAGTACTTCATAGTATTTTTCCTGTAAGCCCTGTTTCTTACATGTAAATTCCCCATTTTTCTAGAACCTTTTTTCTTCTTGAGTACACTAGGAGACGCTGATTTGACTAAGAAAATAGTGCTTTCAATTTAACTTTAGTTTTTTGTTGTTTGTAAAATTTATCAAATGCATTAATAATTAAAGTGATTGAAATATGTCTATGTAAACCAATGTTTTTTTTGATGGAAATCGTGCTTATATCGATGTCAAATATCAAGTGTAAATCTGCAAGGGAACCCAAAGTGGAACCTCCACACTGCCTTCGGGGCGCTATGCACCAACGTGCAGATAGCGGCCTGGAGTCGAATCTGGGCAAGAGCACCAATTTATAACGCCCATGCATTTGGACCTTGACACAATGTCAAGATTTAAACATGATCTAGATGAGACCCATTGTTAACTCGACTGTCCATGACTTTACAAAATTTATAAACGTGTCCAGCAGCCCCTAGAGATAAGTGAATATTTAGATGGTGACGGCCAGTAATCTAAGATTGTCTCAGCTTTCACTCAGAGCAGCCCTAAACTTTGTTACTAAGCAGGTAATTAAGGTTAAAGTCCATTTTGCTTCTTGTGAAGAGACTTCGTATTTGAAAAGTATTTTGTAAAGTTATTCAGTTCTCACTTCTTCTGCTTTATGAGAAACATTACTGACCCATGCATGATGGATTTCGTTGTAAGGAAGCGTAACATATATAGAATTTGCATCTAAAAGTAAAAAGCTTTTAGAAAAACACTGAAAATATAATGCCCTCAACTACTTACAACTGATAAAATTGGTGAAAATTTTGCCCAAACAGGTTCTTATTTTGCTAGAAAAAAAATAATATTTTTCGTCGAAAAATGTAATATTTTTGGTCATGTTTTTTAAATATCAGTCGAACTTTAATTTCTCCTGTAACTTTTTTCTTATACCTTGAATAAAATAAATGTTAAGTTTGTTTAGGTTCCTCAGTCCAACTCTCAGCTCTTCTTCAATTAGAAACCTTAAATCTTCAATCTTTTCATGATAAACCAATCAATTATATTTAAAGAATATTAGTTTATTCATCAATGGAACTTTCCTTTCGTTAACTTATATTTCCTGAAAATGATATAGATATCTGGATTAGTATTTAAGGACCTATTAATGGTTACCAAAAAGAAATATCGGTTCTTTGAATCCTGAGAAGAACGGAGCAACCGTAATGAGCTGAGTACAGATTTAGTTCTCCTGTTGTTGTTTTTTACAAACTGGCATAATTAAACATAATTTTCTTGCCAAAATCAATTTATATCCATTAAGATACTGAGCATTTTTTATAATTAATATAATCTTATCTATTTAGGATGTTTTATATGAAATTTTAGTTTGTTGCAAAGTCAATATATTATGTGATAATTATCATGAAAGGGTCAGGGAATATCTTTTAAAAATAGCTTCTCTGATTGACTGTTGAAAATGTGTTACCCATGACCCTTGTTAAAAAACTTGGATGTATTGTATTTTCGTAAAAAACATCAATAATATGTGTGTGTACTGTGTACCATACATGAATGTAATAACACAAATATGTAAGGAAAAGATTAAAAATAACATTATTTTTTAGATTATTTATTAAAAATTAAATGCATTTTATTTTCAATTATCATATTTATATCACAATCTCGGGTCTTTATAATAATATATGCTATGACTTTGATTGATTAAAAATTTGTTACATTTTCACTTGCTGAAAATTAGTTCTCAAACATGTAATCTGCCACTACTAATTGTATTATCCTAAATCAAACAATAAATCGATGTCAAACAGTTTTAAAAAGTCAAAAAGATTATTTTAATACTGAAAATGTAATGTTGTTGATATTTCAAGTTAGCCTTCATTCAAAGAGTTTCCGATTTACAATAGTACTTTGTTAACCTTTATCTCGTCATCAAGTGGAAGATATAGTAGTTTTTATAACTGAAAAGTTATAAATTCTTATACGTACTTCCTTGTTACTATAATGCGGAAATGCGCAAGTGTTGTTACAGAGAAGCCAATTGAAAATAAGAAAGTTGCACCATTAAGATGATACATATCCCATGGATTTTTGATTAAGATTAAATGAAAATATTTAACTAAATATGGATAAATACCGGTCAATTAGATGGCGCTGGTCCTCTCCGAGAATTCTAAAAATAATTAAACATTTATTCAAATTGCACAGATTTAAGGTCTCTTATAGAGGATATTTATTTTGTTATCGTTTAGATTTTTATCGCAAAACCATAGCTAAAAGTTTTAAGCCAAGCCCACGCATGCCTTTAATGTAATTTATTTTGGTTTTAATATGTTGAATTTGGAAACTTGACTTAAAACCGAACTAAAAACCCAGGGGAGTAGTCAGAAATTGGTCGGGGGAGGGGGGTTTACATTTATTTCTCTTTGGGGGGAAGTGTAGATTCCATTAATCCAGGGGGTGTCTGAGATCCATACCCCCCCACCCCCACCCACTCTGAATACGCCTCTGATTAATATCTTTCATTACCTTAGAATTGAGTTCCATCCCTTCTCCCACGCTTCATCTTCCTTCTCCTCCATTCTCGAGACTAATCTATAGACCTCTAGGACTCCTTTCTCTCCAATCTCCCTGTACAAAAAGGGTGAACTGTTAAACATGAGAAACGACGTGGTGATGGCCTCTGTTCTATTTTTTTAAGCGCGGGTGAAAATCTTTGATGGCGGAAAAGATGGTTTTGATTCATGTTTTTATCGTTATATCTCAGTTTTAAGATATTTTATTTACGAAGAGTTAAAATTATCATGTTAGTTTGACACCCTGTAATGTGTAGTGTGTCCAATGCGAACAATGTAAATACATACGTACTTGGTTTTATTTTGGTTTGACCCATTCTTAAATGGTGTTTTTAATTCCTTTTTGTCCAATATATTTTACTTATTTCATTTATTCAAATTTATTGTCGATATAATAAAACACGACATTCGTATATATGTTCCCTCTGGCCAATCAAACGGCTGGACCGAATGGGCTGAAATTTTTTGTGAACACTCATGGGTAGCCTGGGGTGACAATGGCTAAAAAAAATTCAAATATACTTTTTCCCAAAAAAATTGACTTCTTTTTCCACGGGCAATAGCGGGCCTTTCAGCTAGTTCATCATATTATCTCATCAGAAAATCATTTTCAAAGAAGATGTCACACCAGGCTTCAAAATCATTTAAAGTTTACAAAATTATCCCAGAGGTTCTAAATGATCTCAGGTCTCTATCCCCTGCTATCTCAACAAAATTAGTAAACTTATCTTAAGCAATATTGATAAAATTGATGGAAATAATATTTTTCTCACCAATTTACCATGCTAACAGTCATATATCTCTGCAGTTCCTGGCAAGCTATATACAAAAAAATATATGACTGTTAGCTTGGCAAAGGTATGAGAAAAATATTATTTCAATTAATCAATATTGCTTGAGAAGTTTTCTAATTTTTGTGAGATAGAAGGGGAGTTACCTAGGACAATTTAGAAGCACCCCCCCCCCGTTTACAGTCCCTTTAATACAAATTAATTGACAGCTATCACATATCAACAATTCAAGACGATTTTTAAGGTCTTCTCTCAACTGTCATGTTTAGTGGGACACCTTGTAGATCGTCTCTCAACTGTCATGTTTAGTGAGACACCTTGTAGGTCATCTCTCAACTGTCATGTTTAGTTGGACACCTTGTAGGTCATCTCTCAACTGTCATGTTTAGTGGGACACCTTGTAGGTCATCTCTCAACTGTCATGTTTAGTGGGACACCTTGTAGGTCATCTCTCAACTGGCATGTTTAGTGGGACACCTTAACGTTTTATAGATATCAAATTAATCCTAAAAAGTTTTCTATAATTCTGCACTCTCAGTTCAACTCCCATACCTAACCAGTCACTCCATTTTAGTCTAGAACAATTTCTTCCCGAATCCAACTTGAATAATGTTTGTTTTTGTTATGGTTGAAACATTTATAGTATTATGTTTTCGTTGGTTCAAAAACCTTGTTCTGAAAGAACAACATATAATTTAAAAACATTAAAAGAAAAATGTGAATTCTTGTATGTAAAATGTAAATGGCTGCCCATTATATAGTTTGTTTTTACGTTTAAACGGATTAAGCGAGGGACCCCAATTTTTTATGGCAACTAAAATTATTACCCGAACGTGGGCGAGCTAGAAATTCTCTAAAAGTCTAAATCAAAAAATTCTGGAGTTAGTTTTTAGGGTTTGTCTATCCGGGGGATCGTCTTTTTCGGAGTTTTAAATTCAGAAGATTGACACTGCGACAAGACACCTTTCTACATATTATTTCAGCGTTGTTGTTGTTAAAAGGTCCTTTCCACAATCTACAGTAATAACCTGAAAACTCTGGAATAGAAGACCTGTTATATCGAAAGTTAGAAAGTCCAATGAACATAAAAAATATTGTGCAGTGTAAACAGACTCCATTTACTAGATACGTTATTTAATAAGTCACTAGTAATTCTATCAAATACACAAAATGTCGTCTTCCTATTCCACAGTTTGCTTGTCATCACTGTACACATTGTTACACTGTATTGATTCAGATCAAATTCAGATTCAATCCACTGTCATAAGTTTAATAAACGTGTCAGAAATGTAAAGTAAATATATTTGTTTGACAGAGCTTTTAAAACTTTAAGCTATTGTAATTCAAATTGCTTTACATATAGGGTGTACCACTTAAGATAGCAAATGAGAGACTATATAATTGCAAATTGTGGTATTCATTTGTCAATCTAGTATTTCAAATATGATTCTTAGAAACTCTTTTCATAAAGTTTTTAATTTTAAGAAACAGAACTGTGCATTTCATGTGTGCATTCTCAAAGTTACCAAAGATGCAGATTTCACTTTATTAAAACAAACCAAATACTTTTAAACTTTATCAAATTATGGAAAGCACGAGAAACTTTTTTTCTATGCACTTAATGGACTTGATTTGCTTGAGGGATTTTAAAATAAAAATGTCCAAGAATAGTTTTATGCCCAATGCACATTGTACGTTCAGAAGATATTCTAATTTAAAAAAAAACAGGATGAAATATTTTAAACCGTTATATGAAATTCAAATAAAATAATTTAAAGTTCTTTAAAAAAGAATTTAAACAATGCCGGACGAAGTGAGGCATTGTCAGACGAAATATTGGTAAATTTTGACGTCATTTGTGGTTGGACAAAAAATGGTGTGGTGACCCTACCCTCCCTTAATACCCTGAGTATTATTATAAAATAAAATGTCATTTTGAACCTCAAGAAGTATACGCTCTCCATTTTCATTAACATGCCAGACCATCCCATCATCTTCCCAGTCTTCATGATCATCCTCATCACCATCTTCAGTAAACTCTTTGTCAATGTTTTCCAGAGCTGCAATTAATTTAAGATTATCTCCAAAAGGGTTCATGTGTAATGCAAATTTGACTTCATAGTTTTATTGGAACATCAACAAAGATTGTAAAGAAAGGACGGATCTGTACCGAACAGCTGGTAGGACAAAGATTGTAAAGAAAGGACGGATCTGTACCGAACAGCTGGTAGGACAAAGATTGTAAAGAAAGGACGGATCTGTACCGAACAGCTGGTAGGACAAAGATTGTAAAGAAAGGACGGATCTGTACCGAACAGCTGGACAAAGATTGTAAAGAAAGGACGGATCTGTACCGAAGAGCTGGTAAGACAATGTTTGTCTTAAAAAGCCATGTTAAAACATTGAAAATAAAAATTACAGATATTTTTATTGTTTTTTTTTGTTTTGTTTTTTACAATCAAAATACATAAATAAGCAACGGAAAGTGTCTCACATTGTGTTGAAATGGTTAAAACACTTTACATTCAGCTGAACTAATGCACGACACCGGATGTGTTTCCTAACTAGTTTTTTTTATTACCTATCGCCCCTACTTTCATCACACAGTTGTCGGCAATTATATTAATACAATGAAGATGAATTTCTATTAAAAATATTCTAACACGCATTTTTCAAATTACTAGTTAACAAGTAAACAAAAAAAAGCTGTTAATTGACAGCTTCTCTTTGTTTAAATTTTCAAGAGTGTTTGCTGTTTAAAAGCCAGACAAATATCAAAATTAAAATATGAAGTATTGTACTGTATTGTATTGTATTGTATTGTATTGTATTGTATTGTATTGTATTGTATTGTATTGTATTGTATTGTATTGTATTGTATTGATGTATACGACGATTACTGTACCATACCTTGATCTCCAGTATACTCGAGAACAGTATTTTCCTCATCATTGTCAGAAGTAGACTCAGCAGGTTGAGAAACAATGGTATGTGTGTAGAATACAGTAGAAGCTTTATCTTCTTAATATTATTTAGTATTAATTCTATTAATGGGAGTGTACGGGAAAATGTAAAGGGAGTATAGACAATATGAAGCTGAAATAATGAATTTCTCCCAATAATCAGACATTATTTAAACTAAAGCGACTGTGAGCGTAATTTTAAGTGTTCTTCCATTTAACACTGTTTACAAGCTATTCAACAGTGGTAAGCGATTATATCAATATAATGAAGACGACTTTCGATTTAAATCACGCTGTTAAGCAGCATGGATGCACATGAACATAAAATTCAATAGATGTAGTTAATTTAAAAAGCTTCTCTTTGATTACTTGTAAATCGAAAAAAGCTTGTGAACAACCAAAACTTAAATAAAAAGTCGTCTTCATTGTATTGATATATTCGCCTACCACTGTATATTTAAGGTATATTAATATTTACTTTCTAGAAGTGGAAGAATATATACATTCACATTCGAATTTTTTAAAACTACGTTTAACAATAAATATTCTAGAGTTTCCAGGAATAAATGTGACGTCATCAGTGTTGAGTTCACATAGTACGCTATATAGCGTAAATCCCAATTTTATGGCTTTTACGCAGATTAAAGATATATTTACACTGAGATCTCTGTTCTCGGTGATCAGTCAAAGGTTTGAAGGGTCCTGTTGTGAATCGGGAATATTCCTCTTTATATGGAAGCTCACTCAAAATTACGTTTACAGTCCCTTTCACTTTTAAACAATTAAGCAGTTTACAGTCCTTTTAACTTTTAAACAATTAAACAGTTTACAGTCCCTTTAACTTTTAAACAATTAAACAGTTTACAGTCCCTTTAACTTTTAAACAATCAAACAGTTTACAGTTAACTTTTAAACAATTAAACAGTTTACAGTCCCTTTAACTTTTAAACAATCAAACAGTTTACAGTCCATTTAACTTTTAAACAATTAAACAGTTTACAGTCCCTTTAACTTTAAACAATTAAACAGAAATGCGGTGTTAATACCTCACATCGAACCGCTTTATATAGGAACTGAACAATTAACACTTGCCTCAAACTATTATTTTATAATTTTTTTTTAACTTTGCAACTTAACTGTGTAAATCTTTGATGTTTTAACATTCAAAGATTTGATCTTACAGAATTCCTAGTTTAAATTATCAAAGATCTGCCACCTCAGGTCTCAAAGATATTAGGATTAGACAATTAGAATTAATCACATTTACAAAAAACCGACAAGAGAACTATACTTAGAAGAACCTGTGAGGGTTTGCCATATTTCATCTTGTTCATCCTTGTGACAGTTGTTTCTATTCCTTCTTAATCCCTGATAATCATCTCCAGGAGCTACTTGAACTTTTTTATCCTGATCCTGATCTTGTGTATCCTGCTCCTGATCTTGTGTATCCTGATTCAGATCTTGTGTATCCTGCTCCTGATCTTGTGTATCCTGGTCCTGATCTTGTGTATCCTGATCCTGATCTTGTGTATCCTGCTCCTGATCTTGTGTATCCTGCTTCTGATCTTGTGTATCCTGGTCCTGATCTTGTGTATCCTGCTCCTGATCTTGTGTATCTTGATCCTGATCTTGTGTATCCTGATCCTGATCTTGTGTATCCTGATCCTGATCTTGTGATATATCGTGAGTAAAATTATACTGAAGGTCTGGCTTCAATCTCTCCGCATCAAAAATTGCTCTAAAATTAAGTACAATGTAAATAATACGTAATATTTGAATCCAATTGAAAGTATAATAAAAAACATGCCGCGTTAAATTACAAGACAAACAGAGAGCATACGCGTAACTTCTTGGGGCTTCTGCATCAAGGTTATTGTGAACGAAAATCCCCTAAATCTTTAAAAGACGACATCAGTGTTCTATCAATATTGTTATTAATCTATGGGTGAAAGGTTTTGTGCTTATTATTTCATTTTCAAATTAATAAAATGCCCACTGTGCACAGCGCAAATTCAGTTTTTTGTTGCTTAGGATTTTAGTTTGTTCAATTCAGGCATATTTGGTTTGGGTAATTATAGATTTGACACCAAACATTAGAAATCACTGTGGAACCCTTTTTTAAAGTTTTTTTAAAATCCATTTTTAAGAAATTTTAAAAATCATGTGTATTTTCAGGTCTAAAGTCGAACTTTAGATTCAAGGCTTTATTCAGTTATTCTGTGGTATTTTGATATATTTTTTAACTGTAAAAGTTAGGATCCCCAAAATTTGGTGGCTTTTCTTCCAGATTCATAAGACATGATGTAACACAAAATAAAAGCCCTAAGACAACTGCCTGGCTACATAAATTCTGCCTGAAAAAGTTCATTTGCGTTGTTTCTAATTTCTCATTAAAAATTAAAAAAATAAAATTCCGCAATTTTATTTTAAGTATCTCACATAATTATCAAGAAGACATATCGCGGTCTCTTGCCTATTAAAAAAAATACCTGTGTTTTGGATCCATGATTAGGTCAGGAATGCAGTTTCCGGTTTTCTCTACCTGGATAAAAAAACTTAAAAATGGCTAGATATGTGGATCGTTTAGTTTGCATTTTTTTTTCATATTTTGCATATTTGATTGAAGCAGAAAGTAAACCTTGGAGTATAACTATATAAATTTCTAAATTCTAATGTTTCTTTATAAAATCTGACCCCCCCCCNATTTGGTGTACTGTCCTGTTTTATGTATTCAGTTGGTTTACTGTCCCCTTTTAATGTATTCATTTAATGTACTGTCCCGTTTTGATTTATTCATCGGGTTTAATGTCCCGTTTTTATGTATTCATTTGGTGTACTATCCCGTTTTTATGTATTTATTTTGTGTACTGTCTCGTTTTTATGTATTCACTTGGTTTACTGTCCCGTTTTATTTATTTATTTTGTGTACTGTCCCGTTTTTATGTATTCATTTTGTGTCCTGTCCTGTTTTATGTATTCATTTGGTGTACTGTCCCGTTTTTATGTATTTATTTGGTGTACTGTCCCGTTTTATGTATTCATTTGGTTTACTGTCTCGTTTTTATGCATTCATTTGGTGTACTGTCCCGTTTTTATGTATTCATTTGGTGTACTGTCCCTTTTTATGTATTCATTTGGTTTACTGTCCCGTTTTTATGTATTAATTTGGTTTACTGTCCCTTTTTTATGTATTCATTTAGTTAAAGTATACAAATTCCGATTAATCTGAAAAAAGTAGATTTTGATCCGGCTTAACCTCACAGATATAATTGGGTTGTCTGTTCATTTTGAAAAAGAATTTTTGAACAATGAATTTAAAACTTTTCCATGAAATTCTGAGATGGTTTTATGTTCTCAAATGATTCCTCTTCTGATCTGTGACGTCAGGAATTTTAAAGTTTTACAGATTATCCTACATAGAAGGGAAATTCGAAAGAATAATCGGTACAAAAGTTAATTAGAAATTCATTTTCTTTAAAGTGTATTAAAGGATTCTTTTTTCAAAAATTCATAAAAGGACATTTTTAATTTCAAGATGAACGGTGAGAATATTGTCGTTGCTTTTCTCTGGCTTGAACAGCGTTTAATTCTGACATTTTTCTCCGTAGTTTCTGTAGAATAAATCTTACTTTCTTACAGAATCCACAATTTCAAACAATCAATTTTGATGTGAAAAAAAAAATATTTCATTCCATCTTGATCAGAAAAGGCTTTTATGGTAACATTTGCAGGAGTACAGGAGTACATAAGTACAACCTGGAAACCAAATTTATTTATTTATTTTGTTTGACGCAGTCTTATCTTTCATATTTATTGTTTCTTTAAATAAAAAGATTTAATCTTAGATTTACCATTTTCTTGTTTTCTATCTTTTAGTTCCCTTCGCTTCTTCAAGTTGTCTGCCCTAGTTTATGTACAGTGGAATATATGTACAATAGAATATATATATAAAGTAGAATCTATGAACAGTGGAATCTATGTACAGTAGAAGCTATGTACAGTAGAATCTATGTACAGTAGAATATATGTACATTAAAATCTATATAAAGCAGAATCTATGTACAGTAGAATCTTTGAACAGTAGACTCTATGTGCAGTTGAATCTATATATACAGTAGAAGCTATGTACAATAGAATGTATGTACAGTAGAATCTAAACAATGGAATCTATGTTCAGTAGAATCTATGTACAGTAGAATCTAAACAATGGAAGCTATGTACAGTAGAATCTAAACAATGGAATCTATGTACAGTAGAATCTATGTACAGTAGAATCTATGTACAGTAGAACCTATGTACAGTAAAATCTCTGTACAAGAAAATCTATGTACAATAGAATCTATGAACAGTAGAAGAAATTTAATTAATGAAAGATAAGGGTGGTAGGGTTTGCGCACTTTTTTAAGGTAAATAAACAAACAAAAACTGTACACTGTACAAGCAAATTTGGATTCTTGTTTACATTAATTGTTATTGTTTTCATTGAACCAGTTAATAATGTGTCACAGTATAAAATGTACGCACAAACTCTTTCCCCTATTTTTAGTATATTCAAATTGTCTTAAAGAAAAATTCACAGATTTTAGAATTTTAGAAATTCAAACACTTTCAATTTTACTTTTCGTTTAACCGCAATAGTTTAAGCATAATTTATTGTTTTTCTTGGTTTGGCGAGCTTTCTTATTTTCTTTTTCTTATTTGTTTAAAATTCATAATATTTTTACATCCAACTCATAAACATTTATAGCAGTATTCAAAACGTACTTGTTTAATCTTTATTTTTAAAAACCGATTTAATGAGTAAAGAATTAAAGCTCAAGATTTTACCTGATTTTCTTATGCTCATCCAAATAATGTTCCTCAATCTTTTGGAAAGATTTCTCTTTAACAAGCGTTCTCTGCTTTCTCCCTTCTTTAACCCTAAATCAATTAAGTCTTTTTTTCTTTTTCTCTATCCTTGCATGCCAGCTGCTTTCATGGAATTCTAGGGTTTAAAGGGACTGCGGAACAAATTTCATGTGACAAGTCATTCTCAAAGGGACTGTAAGCGTAATTTCAATTGACACTCCATGAACGAGGGAAATTCCTGATACAGCGGTACTCTTGAAACCCTTGACTGTTAATCGAGTAGAAAGATCTTTCTGTTTTAACGTCTAGAAACCCGCTTTAATTCCTGTAAAACTCGACTGTACGTTGAGTACAGTCTGAACTGAAACAGCTGATTTCTTACTTGCCAACTCGAAAGCAATAATAGCAAGTGTACTTACATTGAATGTAAACCCAGCTTTGCTTGGAGATCTAAACAAGTTTTCCAACCATAAGAAGAACTTTTTCGTTGTTCTAACGAATTATCCAATGAAATTTGATTTGGTTTAAGAGTTTTGATCGAACACTCAAACAAACAAATAGACTAACTTTTTTCTGTCTTCTGTCTTTTCATCTTTTAATCCTGAAGTGTATTTGACGTTATTACAAAGCAAATCACTTATTAAATAGGTCTGTTTGCACTAAATAGGTCTGTTTGCACTAAATAATTGCTGTGTCTCATTCACATTGGTTTATTTAAAGTCCTAACTTGAGTCTAAAAGTCACCTGAAGTAAACCGTATTATAATAAGCTACTAACATTTTTATACTAATCCTGAGGCCGAATTAAAAAAGTTTGAGCCGCGGCTTAAATATGGCTGGTTCCACTTAAAATTGTATTTAATTTTTCAAGGATTTAAGCTGGCGCTCAATTGAAACCGGCTTTTCGGGGATTTGAGACGTGGCTTAAATTCATTAAATTCGGACACTCGTAATCTTTACTCTGGTATTTATTTATACTAGGCTTTTATGTCGCTTCGCGCTCATCCTCTATTTCAACTTTTAACTGTGGCTCTATCTGTAAGCATCTTCTCTTTGTACAATACAAAACAGTAACAAAAAAAGTTTTAATAATATTTTTTCGTTGCATTTTCTAAATTTTACTAAAATCAAAAACTTTTGGAGTTAGATATTTGTAATTTTGAATGTGAGGACCCATGAATATAAATGTGAGGACCCTTGAAAAAATGTGGGCTGGATCGGTTCGGCCGTTTTGACGTTTATTAGATACAAACAATTAAACAAAAAAACAGTCTATCAAAGAACATTCATATAATATTTCAAGTCAAAGACGACCAGAGGTCAGAACTTAATACTTAATCCCTTCAAAGAGCACTAATCCGTATGTTTTGTTCCTGCGTCTTATCTTAGTGAAACCCTCCCCAACCCCCCTGCTGAGGATGGGTATAGAGCATGGAAAATTCTTCAGGACAAATCAACCCAAACCTGCCCCCCCCCTCCCCCTGCTCCAGCCGCCTTATCTAGTTTGCCCCCTACAGGGGTTGACCAGCCAGCTGGCCCCAGGATTAAGAATTGGCGGGATCTGGGTTCAGAACACAGAGAGGGAAAGAGAAAGAAGCCAGTTGTGCGCCAGCTCTCACAAGGAGAGGATGAAGACATTCGCCAACTCCCCACAGTGGTAAGAAGCAGTCAGTCCAAAGGAATAGAAACTGCTTGGACGGATTGGAGCTGTGGGAAAACAGGAAGCTGAAGGAGATTTGTTACCAGAACAAAGATAGTGCCAGAAGAGATATGTTGCCTGAGGAGATACCATGTTGAAGGTATCTAGCCAAGGAGTATCTAGCCAAGGAGTATCCAGCCAAGGAGTATCCAGCCAAAGGAGTAAGCCATCACTGAGTGCCAAATCTGTGTCTCTTGACTTTAGTTATTTATTCATTTATTTTGTTTCTCTTTTATAGATGTTCAACTACTTTGTTCTACTATTGGTGTGTGACTTGATGGTTACTAGAATATTGTTACCCCCCCCCCTTTGGGGGTATCTTTTCAAATATAACATTAGCGCTATATCATACAAAAGTTTTGACGTCTTAAGAATTACGGTTTTTTTTTAAATTAATTTTTACCTTTGACCTTGAGCAGGGTCCCAATTCAAAGAGTTCAGATTAGGAACAGGCTTAAGATAAAAACCAGGAACTTGAACTCTTCTATCTTGAAAATAAGGGTTTTCGATTCCTCCAATTTGTAAATAAGGGCGGGGGGTATTGTATCCGCCATCTTTAAAACATGAGTTTTTCCCTCCTCTCTCCCTTAAATAAGGGGTTTCGAACCCTTCATCTGGTAAAAAAGTTATCCTTTAAAAATGGAAAAACTAAACATAAGAAGACGATCGTTATATAATCACGTTCGTTTATAGTTCGTTTCTTGTATATATTTTTTCCCAGGGTCAAAATCAGAGATAAGAGAGTTTCACAGATCGATTATCAGCTAAAATATGCGATATTTTCCACAGCATGTCCTATTGTGTACAAGTACTGTACACGACCAATAAGCAAACATCTGTTTTCAGGGATATTTAAGGATCCTTTGGATACGAAACATAAAATCTTCAAAAAAAAGACTGAATTCATAAAGGTTATGTTTCATGCTTAAAATTGGAGTTTTTCTGTAAAAGTTGTAAAACTTAACTCCTGAATGGGTATTATGTTCAACAAGTGGCCGTGAGATGGAACTCTAAAAGCTTATCGTAAAAACGTAGCTTGTCGTGTCGTGTCAACTTAGGCCTACGTAGCCCACCTTGTGAAAGGAGATAAGCAGTCTGTGTAGTCTGTGGCCAAAATATAGCTTAGTGTAATAAAACCAGATGTTTGAAATAAACAATTTAAAAAATTAGGTTTTCTTACAAAATGCCAAAGTTTGACCCTGAGAGAAAATATATGAAAAAACCAGAAGCGAAAGATAAACGGACCAAAATGATTCACAACATAATCGATGACTTATTTTTTTTTATTAAGATTCTCATAACCTGGTGTTAATTTTCTGTCGTCTTCCATTCTTTTCAGCATCTAAGAAAAAAGTCTTTTAAAAAAATATGAAATTTATTTTAATCCCTGAATATTGAGATCAAAGCAAACATATTTAATCTCAGATACTAATAATTTTTTCAGTCTAATATTTTCTAGGGCAAATGTTTTGATTAAAGATTTAAACTCGATCTTTTCATCAAATTAACTTTAAAGTAAAATAAAATTTTCTCACATTTTAGTGCACATTAGGTAGAATAGGTATGTCGATATTTTTTTTATTTCCTAAAAAGTAAAAGTAAAACATTGGCTTAACAAAATCAGGTTTTATATTTCGTAAATAAAAAAAACGTTTAACATTTAAAAATAAGATTAAACCATATCTTGGAATTTATACCAGGGAGGGACCGAGTTTAATGATTTGGAGAACTACTGTTTCAAATCCTAGTCACTGATTCAAATTTAAACAGTCATAACCGGTGATTCAGAATTTGCACGGCGGTGCGACCTTTGTAATTCATAAAATTCGGTCTCATGTTATCCTAAGTTTGATAGATCGGATTGCCTTCAGACTATTTTGATACAATGCAATGTTAGGATTTTTCCTATATAGAAATTCACATGATAACCGAATTTTCGAGTTTAGGATCACTATAACTACTCCTAGCTCACAGATCAATCTTTTTCCTAAGTATCAAGTATCTTAATCGATCTTCAAAATATTACAGTGAGACACACAAACTGTGGAATAGGAAGGCGACTTTTAGACTCAAGTTAGGACTTTAAATAAACCAATGTGAATGAGACACAGCAATTATTTAGTGNTTTTGGATTAGAAACCCCCAACTGAACATCAAAACCCCAACTGAACCAAAACCCCCTAACCTGTACCCCAATCCGAACCAGAAAACCTCAACTGAAACTACTTATTTATAAATTAACTTCAAATTAAAATAAATTAAAGCAAAAGATTTTTTAAATGAAATAACCTGCAATTTTGCAAACAGCCTTTAAGACAACATTCAAAACGATTTACCAACTGTCATGTTTTTTGGGACACCCTGTAGCTTTCAAAAAATTGGACACGGTTTTGCAACAAACGAAAGCATCAAACAACAATATAGAAGTTAAACGGCCCTTTCTAAAATTAAAAACTATGTACTTAGCCACTTTTCCGAGTCATTTCAAAAGATTATTGGGTCACCCTGTACTTTACCTGGAGTTTCCTTCCCCAGATTATCTTTAATTAAACTCCTCTCAACAAATCCTTTCCTAGTAGAGATACTAATCATCTACATCTTAGTTAAAAAAATATTTTAATTTTTTTTCATCTTCACTTAAAGGGTTTCGATACTTGGGCTGATTAGAATTGTGTACGTCATCTTAATCTTAATTTGAGAGATAAGTTTGTTTTTACATTCACTTGATAGACTTCCTTCCTTTCGACGGAATAGAATCTTAGTCGTAATTTACTGATTCAGAATGAAGAATGGAAATTTTCAACCTTTTTTTGTATGCATGAAATGAGAAGATCATATTATACATGATCCATCAGAACGATATTTACAAGTAGGATTAAAAATGCACTTCTTCCTTTAAAGAATCATAATCAATAACTTATTTTTTTCCAAATTAGTGACGGTGTCATGTTAATATTGATGAATAAACTTGACAATTTTTTAATAAATATTTGTAAAAAAAGATGAATATTCTAAACCTGAGAATTGATTGAAGAGAAGGTCTCTCCTTAGGTTCTCTCTTTAGTAGCGCGCCGATCAGATTCCTTAAATCGTAACTGTACCTGAAAGAAAATATGAAAAGTTATTATAATATATGTACCATCCCAAGGTGTTGCACTTTGAGGCCCCTCTTGATGATTTCGGATTCTTCTCAGATTATTTATATGTATAGATCCCTATTTGGCGGTATTTGGTTTGGGAATTGTTAGTAGAGTTTATGAAGTAAATTGCATGCAATTGGAAAACTTTAAGACTTTTGGCACTTCTTCCTTGAAATGATAAACTTAAAGATCAAATGAAAAATTGAGCATTTTAAAAGTTAAAACGAAGGCTTTATATTTCCAATTTTCAATATAATTGTTGTTCAAACATAATAGAAACTTAATATATTGTTCCAAGGGCGTATAAAAGTAATTTACTAAGGGTGAGGTAACTAAGAACGTTCTCTTCATTTTCCGTAGCTCTAGCTCCTGTTATTGCTATAAAGGGGAGCAATTACTCTAAGGCTCACCCCCTGTAAGGACCTCTTTCTTGTTCAAACCCTGAAAACGAACTGTGTATCTAGCCAAGGAGTATACCCCCTGTAAGGACCTCTTTCTTGTTCAAACCCTGAAAACGAACTGTAATACAATTTACAAATATATATGTAAATATGTATAGATTTAAATATATACCTGTTAGGAACTGTAATACAATTTGCAAATATATATGTATATATGTATAGATTTAAATATATACCTGTTAGGAACTGTAATACAATTTGCAAATATATATGTATATATGTATAGATTTAAATATATACCTGTTAGGAACTGTAATACAATTTGCAAATATATATGTATATATGTATAGATTTAAATATATACCTGTTAGGAACTGTAATACAATTTGCAAATATATATGTATATATGTATAGATTTAAATATATACCTGTTAGGAACTGTAATACAATTTGCAAATATATATGTATATATGTATAGATTTAAATATATACCTGTTAGGAACTGTAATACAATTTGCAAATATATATGTATATATGTATAGATTTAAATATATACCTGTTAGGAACTGTAATACAATTTGCAAATATATATGTATATATGTATAGATTTAAATATATACCTGTTAGGAACTGTAATACAATTTGCAAATATATATGTATATATGTATAGATTTAAATATATACCTGTTAGGAACTGTAATACAATTTGCAAATATATATGTATATATGTATAGATTTAAATATATACCTGTTAGGAACTGTAATACAATTTGCAAATATATATGTATATATGTATAGATTTAAATATATACCTGTTAGGAACTGTAATACAATTTGCAAATATATATGTATATATGTATAGATTTAAATATANACGCTTACAGTCCCATCCAATTTTTAACGAATAAACTGACTTTTTTAACTTAATAAAAACTAGATTACAACTGCACTAATTGCAGGAAACAACCAATAGGAAGTGAAAGGATTGAATAATATCCGTACAGTTGTTTCTAAAGTCCAGAGGCGCAACTAGCCCCCCCTTTGCAGAATGGAAAACAAAATATAAATAATAAGAAAACAAAACACCAACATTTTCTTTGGCGCTTCGCGCATCATTTATAAAAGAAATTCTTACTGTTTTCTCCTTTTCAATTTGAAGAAAGTCAGTCGCACTTTTTTTATCATCTGTCAAAAAACATTTATAAATAAATGCCATGTTACTTCGTATATGGGTATTACAAAACATGACAGTTAAGGGTATAGACAACTTAGACCTAAGATATTACATATTATGATAATTATTCAATCGGTCTAACAGAACTTTTGCAAGCTCTATGAGAAGTAAAGGGATATAGCCTTCTGACTGGACAGCAATTGGGCAGAGGGACTACAGAAAGACTATAAAGTGGATTATGGAAAGACGACAGATAGTCATAAAGTACTCGAAGGAACTAATTACTGCAGACTACACAAACCAACACTAAAGGGACTATATAGTATCTACTAGAGGACAAAAACGACTACATAGTCGATGAATAACAAAAAATTGCTGAAGACTATAGTAGGGGACTTTATAAACACAGTGAATAAGATTAAGCCAGGGACTAACGGACGCTATTGCTAAGAAAGAGATAAAAAGATATACTATTAAATATAGGGTAAATTAGACACTGCAAGCTCAGAAGAAAAAAACTATTTTTTCGCGCTTCGCGCACTCCACATCCAAAGAATTGACTCATATCGTTTATTTTACAACTGTTGGAAGTATAATTTGTTTTAAAAGACAAGAACAAGCCAATAGTAATAGTATAAGAAAACTGCACTGATCCAAATCAGCAAAAACTGAAAATTCAGTTTTTTTACTTCAAACCTATACAACAAGACTTTATTTTTTTTATTTATACACTGGGGGGCAAGTCCCCTTCCCCCACCCCAACCAACCAAAAATAACATTTCGCCCCGCCCCCTAACAAAAATTCTAGTTGCGCCCCTGCTGAAGTCTAATCCAAAGTGGATAACAGTGTACTTAATGATTACTTCTTGATAAAGAAGTGTTTGTAACCGCATAAAAAAAGTGAATGGTCCTTAAATAACTTAATTCTTCAAAGCAAACAAGCTGGTGTATCCGGCTTTACCTAGGTTTACATATATTATTTATAGTCATAATTACTCCGACTGTTTATTTTCGCATGTTATTAATGGCATATAATTTTCAGCCAATTTAGTCCAGGCGTTTTGCCGGCCATAGCAAATATATATATAATTATATATTAACATATATATCTGATAGAAGAGTTTTATTATTATATTACATTTAAACCTACCTGAAAAGCATGTTTCAGAGTGGTGAGTTCGTACAGTACACAGCCTACAGCCACAGAGTATAGATATAAATAGAGAGGAATTAATTTTTAAAAAACCCGCCATTTTGTTGTACCATCTGCGACTCTGCGTACTGACACTTGCAAGTGTATGTCAGAGTAAAAAAAAATTATTTTTGAGGTCCTTACATTTGCGTAGATTTTAATTTAAGAGAATGTAAAGAAACCTCATGAAATAATTTATTTCTTAACAAAAATATTTGTATCTATAAAACTGACTCATGGCCCCATTCATGAAACCGGTTTTCCAATTTTGGGTTTCATGACAAAAATCTGTCTTAAGTTTCTTGCTCAGGTAACTATGTTATTGTAGAATCTGTACTGTGTGCCTAGAGCCCAGATATCAGATTTATTGTTGTACGGTTTGTTCTCACATATCTCAGGACTAAATAAATACCACATATATTTCACTTTAGCAGTATCAAGTTCAAAATCGGCCAAGTACTTAAAATAAACCATGAGTTTCCAGACATACAGAGTCTTTATTTTTCTTATCTGAAATAGTACAATAATACTGTAAAAGTACATGAAATAGTACAATAATACTGTTCAGATCCCTGAAATATTACAATAATACTGTAAAAGTACGTGAAATAGTACAATAATACTGTTCAGATGCCTGAAATATTACAATAATACTGTAAAAGTACATGAAATAGTACAATAATACTTTTCAGATGCCTGAAATATTACAATAATACTGTAGAAGTACATGAAATAGTACAATAATACTGTTCAGATACCTGAAATATTACAATAGTACTTAACAGGTACCTGAAATAGTAAAATAGTGCTGTACAGGTACCTGAAATAGTAAAATAGTTTTTTACGTGTACCTGAATTAGTAAAATAGTATTGTACAGGTACCTGAATTAGTACAGTGACACTGTACATGTACCTACAATAGTACAATAATACTGCACAGGTATATTTGAAACAGTACAACAATACTGTACAGGTACCGTAAATAGTACAATAATACTGTACACTTACCTGAAATAGTACAATAGTACTGTACATAAACCTATACTATAATTGTAGTAATAATAAACAATACTATAATTGTACAGTGTACAGGTACCTGAAATAGTACGGTGTACCAATCAATGTTCTTGCATAATCCACAGTCCCTTCAAGTATACGCGCTATTCCGAAGTCTCCAAGCTAATAAATACAATACAGTGAGTGTACAATTCGCAAATGTAATAAAACTAGAGATACTAAGTTAATGGTGAGGTAGCATAGAATTTTGATATTTTTTTTCAAAATAAATCTTTTAATACTTCTAATGTAAACAAACATGAGTGAATACGGTGAATCTTCAGCTAACGCCAGAGATGCACTAAATGTCTGTTTATCATTTGTGTTATTGTTTACAACCTTTATTATTGTTGTTACGCAAAAACTAGTTCTCCAGCAGTCCAAAAACGTCACAGCAAAGTGTACGGAAACCCTGTTGCCCCCTCCTTGTATTCAATTCTCCTTGGGCTAGGCCAGAATCAACATATAATAAACAAATATGGAGACGTTCTCGGTATAGTTTAGTAAAGGATTAGCGTACATCAATCATCACTCTATACACTATAACCTCGTTGATATTTATACATTGCTTATCTGATGTTTGTTTGTATCCAATCAACGTCAAAACGGCAAAACCGATCCGGCCCAACTTTTTTTGTGGGACCTCACATGACCCCAGGGAAGGTTTATGGATGAGCAAAATTTTAAATATTAGCATTCAACAAAATTCGATTTCCATTACATTTTAAAAATCCACGAAATTTTTTTATAAAATCCGCGTACTTTTATGTTTGTCTTACAATGTACACGAAGAAAAAATGCTCACAATTATATTAGAAGATGGGCGCGAAGCACTCTGAAAGCCTAGTAATATGAAAATAGGGTATATAAAATATATATGTGGTAAATTTTTATGCAAATTGATCAGCCGTTAATTAGATTTATGCATCTAATTAATAAATTTCATAATTTAGACAGAAATAATTTTTATATAAATTCATATTTTACATTTTTGTATTTGACCATATTCTTATGTGACAAAAATAAAAATACAACCTTGAATGCAAAGTAAAATGCGCTAAAAGCAGCTTTCTTTTCAAAAAACTGATTACCTTCTGTAAAAAAATCAACTACCAATTATGAAAAAAGCAGCTTACCTTTTAGGAATAAAAAGCAGCTTACCTTTTAGGAATAAAAAGCAGCTTACCTTTTAGGATAAAAAAGCAGCTTACCTTTTATGAAAAAGCAGTCTACCGTTTATTAAAAGATGCACTTTACCTTTAATGAAAAACAGTTAATTTACATTTATGAATATAAAAGCAGATTACATTTTATAAAAAAAAGTATCTAACCTTTTATGAATAAAAAGAACTGCGGAGCAAATTTGAGCAAAGAAATTTAGAATCAAACTCTCCTAAAGTTAGAAGGATTAAATTTGATTGAGAGCTGAGAAAAATCAAACAATTTTGAATTATTTGATTTTTGTAAAACGTAGAGAAATTAAATTACAAACATTATTGTTGTAAAAGGTTTAAAAAATGAATACGTGATAAAACATGGTTTTATTAAAGCATTATTTGCAGAATAGATTTTCGCACACTAAACAGAGATTTCACAATTATCATGCGCAATAAAATTCTAGGAATTTAAGATTTTGAGCTAAATCCTTACAATTTACAAAAGCTAAATTTTGGATTTTTTTGAATGGTTCAAAATTTAGATTTTCATGAATACCTGAAAATATACCCCTCTCCTTCTGTTGATTAGTGTATAAAGATCTCCCCCTAAACAAAACAAAAAGCTGGAATTTCTCAGTTTCATTTGCCATAATACTTTTGCCATGATACACTTGCCATAATGGTTACACTTGCCATAATTACACTTACTACAATTGCACTTGCCATAATTAAAATTAAATTTGTTTAGAATTAACAAACAAATGAAAAGTTTTAATATATATTAAATTTCAAGGGATGATATTTCTACACAAAAGAGTTTTAATTTGTTTCGCAAATTGAAAATCAAAAGAAAAGAAATTATATGGCACGGAGGAAGGTTGTGTATAGGCTGTTTTTCAAGGTTGCTTACTCTCGATCCGCTCCAATGTACGGAAAAATTAAAAGAAAAATCCGTAAATGACGTCACTAATTCCTACACTCCCCTCTTTAATCAGTGACGTCATTTACGGATTTAACTGAACATTACTTAGGAGACGACATTTTCAGTACATTGGATTGCATCTAGAGTAAGCAACCTTATTATACAACCTTGACACGGAGCGTCTCTATTGTCCCAGTATTAAAACACTGTTAAAATATCCCCTTACACGTAAACACCAGGGGGCGGAAACGTCATGTGTGTGTGTCTGTACCTAAAGAGTGTGTGTAAGGAATACCGAACCGAAGGCGTGTACTGTAGGTATAAACAGTACATAAGAATCTCGCTATTTGTACAGTCTAGGAGAGTACATGTGTTTATTGTAAATTGATTACTTAAAAATAAGTTTAATATACATGTAATATATTATTTACATATTTAAATCAACACTATAAAGCTAAATTTTCATGCAAAGAATATAATTTTATTAAAGTTTACAATAAACTACTTGTTATTTAAGCTTAATTATAATTGACAACATTGTTCTGCAATTTCCTTGACTGTAGTCATGTTGTGTGTCTACTGTACCAAAAGAGTGTATGTAAGGAATACCGAACTCGTCTGCAAAGCAGTGTGACTGGCTTTCTCATGCCAGACCAGCGCCATTTCCCATCCCTTTATTCCTATTTCCTGTATAATACGAACACAATGAACAATGTTTACCTGCACAGTGTTCCATCACAATGTTAATAAAACCATTTTCTTGAAAAGACTCCTGAAAATGCAGATAAAGTAATCGAGAATAGTATGAACTAGCTGAAGTGCCCGGCGTTGCCCTTGGAATTTTAAAAACTTAAAAAAACGAATTTTGAAAAATAAAATTTAAATAGAAAACCTCGATTTTTTAGTCTATGTTGGTTCCCTAAAAATTCAGCTGATTTGGTTAGGCCGTTTTTCAAGCTATACACAAAGAGAATAGAATATATATTAGAGTGGAATTTACTTGAAAAAAGTGTAAAACGGCCATTTTGTTGTACTGTTTCCATACTGCGGGTGTACTTCACATATTTATGCTATTTAACCCTTTGGGCCCTGGAACATCATTTCATAAAAAATCTAAAATTAATATTAAAAGAAAACCAAATTATGAAATAGGCTGGTTTCATAATTGACCAATTATCATATCACAGAGACTCTATGCCTTTCACTTTACAAACGATGATTTTCCGTTATAACTATAAATCAAATGATGTTTTTTATTCACGTAATTCATTATAAAGTTTATTTAACAGCTTTAAAAAATTCGAAATTTTAATGGAAAGTCTAGGGAACATACTGTATTAATGTACTCTACTGGATATAATTTGTGAACATTTACATGATTTGTACACATTTTGAACTCCCTTTCAGACTGAAAGGGACTGAAAAAATTCACACCGAGAGATTCTCTAAATTCCCCTCTAATATATATTTTATTCTCTTTGGCTATACATAATATATAGGATTATATAAATAAGAGGCGAGGTAAACCTAGATTATAAGGAGCATGAAGATATCCTCAAGCAATTGCCTTAACCTCGCACAACCTTTCTTGTGCAGTGCTTGCTGGGAGAATATATATATATATGTAAATAAATATATTACATATACTACTTGCTGAATGCCCGGCGTTACCCGTGGAATTAATAACAATTGAAATTTTTTTTTTGAAAAGAATCCTTTTTTCAGATTTTTGAGGAGAAAAAAGTTTTGATTTTTTTAATGTCCCCAGCATGCATGGCTTCCCTAAAAAAGTTCACTGATTATAGATTTAAGAGTGACGTCATATTAGGTTTTTATCAATTTATCTTAGGAAACGACCTTTTCCGTACATTGGAGCGCACCAAGAGTAATCCTGCTTATTACACGACCTGAATATACCTTGTATTGTACAATGCTGGGATGCTTGAGACTGGAAAGAAGTTGAGTTTCCTGGAACACATTTCCTTTCTCGGCTGAACTAAAAAGAACAAGCATTGGATGTATTAAACTTTAGTTCTAAGTGCATGTACAACAGGGAGTAAGGAATAGAAGGGAGATATAACTGACGCGGTTCGCCCCACCATATGATTATACATGCTTTGCAGACGAGTACTCCATTTGTATATGAAATGTTCAGAATAGGTTATTGTATACGCAGTAAATGTACATCAGACAAAAAATGGAGTACTCGTCTGCAAAGCATGTATAATCATAGGGCGAACCGCATCAGTTATATCTCCCTTCTATTCCTTACTCCCTGATGTACACTGTATACTGTACACTGTACACTGTACAGAATTGTAAACTCTGATTAATTTCAAGTACCGGGCCAAAGTTTAGCAACTAGAGCTAGCTGTACAGTTTACTTGCAGACTATGTAAGGCAAAACTGGACGGTACACCAAATTAACCAGCTCCTTATAGGGAGATTAATGTACAGTAAGGTACAAAAAAAAGACTTTAATGAAGACTAAAAAGTCTGTTAACATGACAATATAAAGGTTTACTTGGTATTCCACCCTAAATATATCTTTGCTTAAAGAATTGGTTCAGAGTCATTTCAATTTTAAAGGAACAGGGCCTAATTATCTTCCCATATTTTATTTTCCTGGAGATTATTTTCACGAACATAAAACTTCTTTCGAAACAAACAATGCTTTTATTCAAATGTGTGTGTTTGTTGTACCTGAGGTTTCGTAGGTTGATCTGGGACCGAATTTAATGAATTTGAGCTGCCTCGCTGAACTACCTATACTGCCGGTTCAAGTTTGAACCACACTGATTCAAAGTTAAAGAATGAGGAAGGATTACAATCGATGATTAAAATTCAAACCGGCGTTAGGCAATTCAAATTTGAACCAGCAGCGGTGTAGGTGCAGTTCAAATTTAATAAATTCTGTCCCTGCTTGATTACTGAATATCCCGGATCCCGTCTACTATATACTAGGTAAACCACACCAAAGTTTCCCTAAAAGTAGCAAAGTTATAATTTTTAAGGACCAATCACAAATTTTTCGTGTCTCAAACGTTCCTGGTCACAAACGATTCCTGCCACAAAAGTTTCGCACAACGTTTCTGACAACTTTTTGTAGGAGAAATAATTGTTTTGTGATAGGAAATGTTTTATGAAAAGAATTGCATCATTTTATGGTGTAAATGATTTGCGTAAAAACATTTTAGGTGGAAACATTTTTGCATCAAAATATGTCAATTATGGAACCTTCTGCGACCCGACTTCATCCTAGATAACTCATATAACTTCTCTGAACACGTTATATCCACTTATCTACGACGCTTCTTTTCTTATTAAATATTTTACTTGCTTTAAGAATGGTTGCTTTATGTTTGTCGTTATGTGAATTTTCAAAAGAAACAAACATTCGTTTCAGAAAAAGAAAAGATAGAAACGAACAGATGCTATTTGATATTTCCCTAAAAACTACTCGATAATTAGCAGTTCTGATCTACCCTTTAGGTTGGTTTCCTCTCCTTGATCGTATTAAAACTATTTAAAGATGACTATGGAAACGATCGTTGGCAATCAATTTGAAGACGGCTAAGGGTAGTCCTTAAAGGTCGTTAACGATCAGTTCGTTTTTCATAATAATTAAAAATTTGTTCTGTCCCCTACCCCGGCCCCCTTTTTTTCAAAACAAACCTATATATTGTACTTTTGCTTTGTTATTTAGTGTTTCCAATATGTTATTAAACGAATTTGGTTTATAATCAATTATTGTTAAACCAATTATCGAAAGTGCAAAACACTTAGTTAGGTGGCGCTATCTATCTATCTAACCTTTCTCCGTCTATAATAAAACAAGACATTCGTATATATATATTGCCTATAGCCGGCCAAACGGCTGCCCTGGACCGATTGGGCATAAATTTTTTGTGGACACTCATGGGAGGCCAGGGGTGTAATAGGCCAGTTAAAAAATTGATTTTTTTTTAAATAAAAAAAAATTCCATGGACAAAGCCAGGCACTTCAGCTAGTATTCTATATTGTAATAAATATAGTTAAGTCGTTTACGACACTTCTCATGGTTAACTTTAAGAGGTTACTATTATTTGACAGTTAATCATTAAAAGTAGGATATTCTCTAAGCCCAACGCGAAAAATACAAAAAAAGAACTGTGATATCTTATATTTGACAATTTTGATATTAAAGTAAAGAAGATTTAATTTTTATAAATGTTCGGATCAAAGGATAAACTGCAAAAAAGTAAGCACAGAGACATCCTTATCCCTGGTTCAAAACATTTATATATTTACTTTATTATAGAAATGAGACATTGAGACATTGAGGCATTGAGACATTGAGACATTGAGACATTGGGACATTGAAACATTAAGACAAATTGAGACATTGAAACACTGAGACATTGAGACATTGAGACATGAAAGAAATGGCCAATAAACGAAAGATAAATGAAAGATAAACAAAAGATAAACGAAATATAAACGAAAGATAAACGAAATATAAACGAAAGATAAACGAAAGGTAAACGAAAGATAAATGAAAGATAAACAAAAGATAAACGAAAGAAAAAAGAAAGATAACCAAAAGATAAACAAAAAATAAAAGAAAGATAAACAAAAGATTAACGAAAGATAAAAGAATGATCAATATTTTTGAAAATCTTATTTCGACTTTGATGTTATAAAATTTGGTGTTAAAGAGACTGTAAGCGTAATTTCAGGTGATCCTCAATACAAATATGGCAATACCTGATTAACAACTGTACTCTAGAAACCTTTATCTTTAATCATTAATAGGGAAGGTTTTTTTAGATTTAAAACGGTTAATTCTGATATTTACTGTATGTTTTCCAACAACCACTTTTGTAAAGAAACGACAATTGAAAGAATTAGTTTTCAAAATTATAAACATTAATATTTACTTCATACTTAATCAGAGACATAGTTTTTAAGGCTAATTTGCTATAATATCGTCTTTCTATTCCATTGTTTTATGGTTCTCACTGTACCTGTCCAATTTTCTCCAAAACTGTAAAATCCTCCATTGCATTATTTATTAATACTTTTTACCATTTTAGTCCTGATAAAAAAAAAAAACATAATTCAAAACATTATATAGCATGTTTGTGCTTTAAGAATGAATCAACGTAAATGTAGGTGTTCGAGGGAGGGGGTGCAGAGCAACCATGAGCCCCGCGAACTGATCTCCGTTGCCTCCTGATTCGCAGAATGACCTCCTAGCAAATCAAAATCATCTCCGTGACTCAATAGTCTCCAAGCCTACGCAACTCAGTTTTCACGTCACATCCAGTGTTATTATCTCCAATAATAAATATTTTGCTTTTACATCCACTAAAAGCTTTTTTCAACTTATCTAAAACATGATAAAGTTTTTCGTTGTTGATACATAAACAATTTGTAATAAAAAGTATACTTTAACTGAGATTAAAAATTCAATTTTTGTTTTGCTAAATTTCACAAATTCCTAAACATAATTATTGCAGCGTTGTATAAATATTAGACTATTTTACCCGTGAAATATAGACATATAAGTACCATATACTTAGCAACAATATAATATTTTTTTTTGTGAAATACTTGAATGATAAAATACAATAAATGCATAAATTTAACCATTTCACAAAAGATAAAGTGAGAACGAGAAAACTCTGGAAAAAAGTCTTTTGGCTTAAGTTCTGACATAAGAGGTCAATAAACATGATAATCAGCGATTGTGGATTGTAAATAGATCTATTTCAGTAAATAAGCTGGATCTAATAAGTGTACAGTAAAACTATTTGCTTGTAACAGAAATAAGACAGTTACAGAGATTGATTGAAACTTATGATATGCGATATTTTTCACAACATGTTCCATTGTGTACAAGTACTGTACACGGCCAATCAGTGGCCGTTCCTTCCATAAACTACATTTGTCGACAACTTGACGTCTCCTATATTGGTCGTCAAATGTACGGTTTTCTAGTTTTCTGGTTTTCTGGTTTTCTGGGTTTAAAAATGTAATATGTTTGGTTAATTGGTGCTTAATATACAGTGAAACCCTTAATAAAGAATACATCGGAAGAATTTATTAAATGTCGTCTTGACAATTTTTCAATGAGTTTTATACTATATTACGTAAATTTTAGTATTTGCAAAAGTAAATAAATAGCCATGAATATGCGGGAACAGTTTTAAAGAGTTCCATATAATCATTTAATTAAAAAACTAAATATCTGCAACATTCCATTATCAGAAAATGAAGAATACGACATTTGATGAATTCTTTCGATGTATTCGTTATTAAGGGTTTCACTGTAGTTAGATTTCTACATGATTTACCTGTAATATATAAAGTGATGTAAAATTTGTCTATCTTTATAAAAACCTGCAATAGTTATCATAAGTTTGAGAATTTGTGAAATTTAGAAAATTTATGTATTATTAGAAACTTTTGTATCATGTTGATATTTTTTGGAAAATGGCTTTTTGTCGATGTAAAATTCAAATATTTGTTATTTGAGAAAAAAATACTTGACATGGAGACTAACTTGCTGAGGCTGGGAGACGTATCATGAGCCACAGAGATGATTTTAATTGGGTTAGAGGTCATTTTACGAATCAGGAGGCTTCGGAGGTCGGTTCGCGGGGCTCATGGTTGCTCTGCACCACCTCCCTCGGTGTGCCTTATGATTGACCATGCCCTGTCAACCGTGATAATAACAATTTTGTTTTATCTGTAATTATTATCTGCGCATGAAAAAAAAAAATTGATTTATGAAAATAAAAACTGAAATGAATGTTAAAAATCAAATCTTCCAAATCTCATTAAAACATATTGTGTTTCATAATGTTTTTTGCTGTAACTGGAAAAATATTTTTATCTTGTTAATGTTTTAAGTAATTTTATTTTGATAGTTACAATTAGATTAGTTAATGCCTTTATTAAAAATTCATATATTTAAAAAAAGCAGAGTTGTATGTGAGTCGTAGTTGTATGTGAGTGTGTGTATGTTAAAGTTATTCTCATTTAAAGAGTTGTTTTCCCGATAAACTCTTATCTGAATCAAGAATGTAATGCAAGAAAAGTTAATTGCAGTTGCGTATACTCTGCGTGCATATCAAAACCAGTTCTCTCTGGGTGGAATTTATAAACAAGAATAAATGCCTCAGTGTTCGTTCAGTATCCGAGGAGGTTAAAAGCATTGAATTTTGATAATTTTGATAATTCATATAGTAGTTTCTTATGATTAGAATATTTCATTGATTATTTATGTGAAAGATTCATGTCAGGCTTCGACATCCGTCTTGTGTTTACATTACCGCCCAGAGACAGTACACTGTAGTACAAAAGATGCGTACACCTCTGAAAAAACTTTCCTTGCATTAAATCCTTGATCTGACTAATAAAACAGATACTGTTCAATTTCCTTCAAATTGGCTGTGCTGCAAAAGTCCTCAAGTCCCTCTGACAGGGAAACCACATGTGAAAATAATCAATTTTCATATCAGAGTGATTCGAAGGTTGCAAACTCTTTCGCAAAAACTAAATTTAAAAAAATGCTTTATGGTTCTAAAATGTACAAATCTAGAACTACAAAAAGAACTTTTAGTTAGTGAGTTAAAATTAAGGAACAAGGTGTTGCGACACTTCAAAATTGATCCAAAATTGCAGATTGAATCTATGTGAGGTTTCTATAATAAAGATATCTCCGTCAGTATCGCCAACAATGGCCTGTTTTTAGGCCAGTGACGCGAATCGGCCATGAAACTCTTCAAATAACACTCACTTAAAATTACGCCAATAGTCCCTTTATGTCCCGTGTTTATTGGTTTCTACGACGGAAAGGGTTATCCACAAAGGATGAGATTGTATAGATGGCTTAAAATTCTTCAAATATGACGATCTCAAGTAGGGGGGGGAGGCAACCCACACCTGTTTTAGCTCCAAACCACAAATGACGTCACAAAACGCTGCATTCGTCTATATTTAGAATACAATAGTACAGATTTCTTTCCGGAAGACTCTGAGGGAAAACAGGTGTGGATCGCTTTCTCCCCCCCCCCCCCCTATCCGAAGTTAAACCAACTCTTTTGTCTTGAATGTGGTCTTTAAATGGCTTATCTAATGATTTTGCAAGGAAAGAAGTTCATAGTTGTTGAGCATTATGAATATAAAGAAACAGGCAGTATAAATTCAGTACAGTCGTCTTTGCAGTCTCATGGTTTGTGGGATATTCTTGTAATAGAGTGAATGTAATGTTTGAATACTGGACAGTGGATTCAGCGTGAACTTGAATACTGAAGAATACAGGCTCTCAACACCAGAGAGATATCGATTTAACAATACAAAATATTAAAACTTTTTGTACTAATGTATTTTTACAACTGGTTCCACTACAATTTATGATGATTAAATAAAATTTTTATTATTCTTAAATGTTGAATTTTTTAGACTTGTTTTAATGATAGTGGATAAAGCCAAGCGATAAATAAAAAACTAAATGAATGATGTAAAGTAGTCATGGATGTTTCATCTTTTATGGGTAACATTGTACTAACTTGGTACTATATCCATTATCCAATTAAAAAACATAAAACAGATTGTCCATGAAAGGAAGAGACCGGCTATAGGTAACATATTTGAACCAAGAGTGCAGTACTAAAAAGCAAAAAATTAGGATTCATTTGAAATCATTGAAACGTTTTTACGGTGTAATATTTCTCAGCTTGAGCGTAAATTCGTTTGCAAAATTTCAAATAAGATTAATTTAAAATTATTTTAAAATGTAACAAACTTTCAGCATACTAATTTGTTTTTTAGAAACATATTTCAAAGCAGAATTTTGTGAGGAAATAAGAAATAAGATTATTTATTTTCGATGATACGAGTTAATTTTATTTTCTCAATCTGTAGCTAAACAAGAAGCAGGTGAACAGTAGAATTTATGTTTCATTTTTCGTCCTGGTTATCAATTTTTTCTGGTGAAATTTCTCAGCAAGAATTTACACTCTTACTTAGAAATTAAACACTTTCGGTTCAAATATGTTACCTAGCTATTAGATTGTAATTTGATAAACATTACCGTTTAACGAAGGAGGGGGGAAGGGGCATGCGGCTATGAGCCCAGCAACATCCTGTTCGAAACCAGGTAGTTAGCACTTAGCAGAACCCTGCCCTAACCCAACGGAATCCTTTTCGAGTCCAGCAAAAGACTTAAAAAATCTGGATTCGCAGATGAGTATATAAAATGACCTGGCGCTACCGCTATCCTTTAGAATAGATACTATAGAAGTAAGGCATAAAAAATTCCAGAAAAAATATTTGAATATTTGATATTTGATATTTAAATAGTTATGCAATGTTTTTTTTTGGATATTCAAGAAAACACTGCATAACTGCACAAGTATTATTTGTTACATCTATCACTCATCTCCGAAAACGGAGGCTTAGAGACTATTTTCCGGGGCTCATGGTGGCCCTGCAACCCCTCCCTCACTCTGTGCTCAGATTGAATGAAAGGATTATTTTTACAATCTTTATTCCAAATAGTACAAAAACATTAATACAATAAATCTATCACATTAAAACTTGCTTAAAATTCAGATTTTACCAAAGAAAATACAACCATAAACGAGAATGTTTATATTATTTTATCTGTGTAAAATGTAAAATTGGCATACATCAATTTTTACAAAATATGAAAGGGTTAAAATGGCAAGATATTAAATCCATTACAGATTCTTTAAAGTAAAAATAATTATCAATTAATTAAAAGGACTATGTGCAATATGGAAGCTTATAAAAATTACAAAATTTAATCTACATAAAAATTAAATACAAATAACGTTAAATGCAGATCAGATAAAACCTCGTGCAAATCTGTATGAATTTAAGTGAACCCCGAATCCTGAAATAAATTCATTTATTTTTCAGATAGAGCAGCGTAAACATTTTTAAGCGACAAGAAAAATTTGCCAAAATATTAATATTCGCTCAATATATCTATGAATGCCCCGCACATCTTCCAGTTTTTGACGCCTAATTTAAAAAAATTTGTTGCCATTTTTATGACACTTACTTCAAGAAAATTTAAAAGAAAAACCTATTTGCATTTCCCGTCTTAATATCTTAATTCATTTCTTTGATGTTGTCATTCACACTTTTATAAACCATATTTAAAAAAAAGAGTTTTGAAAAATGAAAATAAATTTTCCTGAATTTTCTCTCTCATCTATTTTCCTCGTCTCTGTAAGGTTTCCCTATAAAACAGAATATTTTCATAATTTGATTTTATTTATCTATCTATAAATTTGGCTTGTCTGTCTTGGTGTCTGTCTGTTTGTTTGTATCCAATAAACGTCAAAACAGCTGAACCGATCGAGCCCAGATTTTTTGTGGGACATCACGTGACCACAGGGAAGGTTTATGAATGATCTATTTAAGGTAAGAAAATAGGTTTAAGGTGAGAAAGTAGGTTTTAGGAAGGAGCATAGGTTTAAGGTAAGAAAATTGGGTTAGGGTTAGAAAATAGGGTTAAGATAAGAAAATAGGTTTAAGGTAAGAGAATAGGTTTAAGGTAAGAAAATAGGGTTAGGGTAAGAAAATAGGGTTAAGATAAGAAAATAGGTTTAAGGTGAGAAAATAGGGTTAGGGTAAGAAAATAGAATTAAGATAAGAAAATAGGTTTAAGGTAAGAAAATAGGTTAAGGTAAGCAAATAGGTTAAGGGTAAGAAAATAGGTTTAAGGTAAGAAAATAGGTTTAAGGTAAGAAAATAGGTTTAAGGTAAGAAAACAGGTTTAAGGTAAGAAAATAGGTTTAAGGTAAGAAAATAGGTTAAGGGTAAGAAAATAGGTTTAAGGTAAGAAAATAGGTTAAGGTAAGAAAATAGGTTTAAGGTAAGAGCATTGGTTTAAAGTAAGAAAATTAGATTAAGGTAATAAAGTAGGTTCAAGGTAAGAAAATAGGTCTTTTAATGTTATCTAATAGGGTACAGGTTCAGATAAAGACTGCAAGTAAATAGTATTGCAGAGGTCGTCGTGTATACCAAGACAATGAAGATGATACACTTAAACATAGAAACAAAGAGAAGTGGTCAATAAACAACTTCTCGTTGCTACTTGTAAACTTATGAATTAAAAATAAAGCCTGTTGGAAATTAAAATAGAAAAGTCGTATTCATTGCATTGATATAATGCCGACCATTGTAGGGTTTCGTCAATGTTCTTTCATTAAATTTTGTGATCTGTGATAGATTTTGCTCTTCCGTCAATTTGAAGTTACTGGTAGACGACATTTTGGACTTTACGAGACTAGTATTTTTATGTGTTTTTAGTGGGTTACCATTAAAAGTTTGATCATGAAATAGAAGTGGTCACTTGATTACCATGTTTATTGGGACACCCTGTATCTCTCTAACTATAAACAAGGCAGGCTAACCTTTGGGATTGTCTGAATACGGAGTCATGAACCCTTCTCCTGCGTCTTCATCTGAACTCATGTCATCATGAAAAGGTTTTAATCCACCAGATGGCTCTGCAGGGTTCACCGGCTTGTACCTAGACAACTATAAAGTAATTATTCAAGCTTACAATCTACACACATACTTTGTTTGTCCGTTTGTGAATTTACTGATCGGGCCCAAATTTTGTTTGGGACCTCACGTGACACCTGAGTTTGAATTTTCGAAACTAACATCTCCTTGTCACAGCTGATCTGACGGCATTCTGTCTACTACAGAGAGAAAGCTTGCTAAATAGTCTTTTATTGGTCGAATCAGAACCAATCCTGACTTGGGTTCTATCGAAGCTCGAGTTTGGGTTTTACTTGGGTTTAAGCTTTTAAAATCTCATCTCAGGAAGGATTCATGGATGCTCAAAATGAGAAAAATTTGTGTCCAAATGTTTTTGATTTTTGTAACATTTTGGAATTGCGTAAAAATTATTACTAAATCCGCCAACTTTTTTTGCTATTGTTTTTATGCACAAAGATGCTCACGGATAAAGCCACATATAAAAGTCTTACTTTTTTACAATGTGTACATAGAGAAACTGTTCACCATTGCATAAGAAGATGGGAACAAAGCACCCTGTAAGTCTAGTAATATCTTTAATTCACCAATCTTTAGAGTTAAGTAATAATATAGACGTAATTAGTTTTAACTTTTAGTTCTGAAAAATAAGACTTTTAGTGTGATATTCTCTGAGGATAATCCTGTACCATTTGCAATGTAATCCACCCATAACACTAAATATAAGTGTCCAGGGTTACCAGTAAAGAATGCGACTAAAAAACGATTGTAAAGAATTCACGTGGATAAAACGGTTCTGTCAATATTCCAGAAAGCTGTGACTTTCGATCACAATTGTTCTATATGACGAATAATTTCTTAGCCTTTTTTCTTAAATACTTTTTTGTTTGCATGTGCATTTTGAATGAAAAGTATAAAACAAACAAATACGTAAGTTTAACATTTGTTTAATTATAGACCAAAACGCGTACGATTTTAAATAAAAAAAACCGAATGCCTCTAACTTTGGTTAGTCCGGGATAAATTGCTCAACCCATTTTCTTGCATTCAAGGTTCCTTGCAAGCCAAAACTGGCTTATTCCTACGCTTAATCAATATCACTTGGTTAACCATCAAAATACTTAATTAAACGTAGGAACACAAGATCAAGAGTTTTGGGTCGTTCTTAAATTCTCATTCTTTGCGTTTAACCCTGAACCTAGCATGTTTATTATTTACCCTTTTCCAGCTGTAGGAACCTGGAGTACCCGGTCATATACAGTTCCAGGTCTATATACTCCACCTTAAAAGTTTGATAGATTAAAAAGTTTTCGAATCTGACAAAAATTGTTTTAGTATTGTTTAATGCCAAATCAAACAGATTCCACGTTCCAATCTCAGTTATTATGGATAATTTTAGTGAGACAGAGAGATAAAAAAATTTAAGGAAAAAAATTTGTTATGCTGAATATTAGATTTTCCTGCTTTTTTTTATAAAGCTACAAATTATGTCATGAGTTAAAAATACATTGTTTTCTACAGAACAGAGTGATATACATTAGCTATCATTTTTTGCCTAGAACTAACCTTTATTGGATTTCCTCTTGTATATATCCTAGAACTAATCTTTATTGGATTTCCTCCAATATATATCCTAGAACTAACCTTTATTGGATTTCCTCTTGTATATGTCCTAGAACTAACCCTTATTGGATTTCCTCCTGTATATGTCCTAGAACTAACCTATATTGGATTTCCTCCTGTATATATCCTGGAACTAACCTTTATTGGATTTCCTCCTGTAAATATCCTAGAACTAACCTTTATTGGATTTCCTCCTGTATATGTCCTAGAACTAACCTTTATTGGATTTCCTCCAATATATATCCTAGAACTAACCTTTATTGGATTTCCTCTTGATATCCTAGAACTAACCTTTATTGGATTTCCTCCTGTATATGTCCTAGAACTAACCTTTATTGGATTTCCTCCTGTACATATCCTAGAACTAACCTTTATTAGATTTCCTCCTGTATATGTCCTAGAACTAACCTTTATTAGATTTCCTCCTGTATATCCCCTAGAACTAACCTTTATTAGATTTCCTCCTGTATATATAGACGAGGAGAACTATGATGAGGATAATGTTAATGAGGAATCCGAAGGTAAGGAGGTAGTACCACCTAGTGGAGGAGAACACCTACACAAACAACATTAATTAAAGGGACTGTTTTGAATCTAACATGTCACTAAAGGGTACTGTTTTGAATCTAACATGTCACTAAAGGGTACTGTTTTGAATCTAACATGTCACTAAAGGGTACTGTTTTGAATCAAACATGTCACTAAAGGGTACTGTTTTGACGCGAACATGTCCCCCTTAAACTCTTTATTGATTATGACAAAAGTATTTATTATTACAATTTATTCAATGTTAATAAAATTGACTACTTTTAATATAAGTATAATTCGGGATTACGTCGATTTTAAATAGTTTAGTGTCCAATTATTTTTCTCTACTCGTGTAAATAAAAGTTTACACTAAAGTTGATAAACCCCTAAATTGAATACGTCATCAGTGAAGTTTGGTTTCTGATAAGCTTGACTTTAAAAAGGCAGTGTTTGAGAATAAGGAGAGTTGAAAATTTTCAATAAAACCTCCAGGTTGATATTGACGCCATTAATGCTACATAAACAAGAATTGATATAAAAACATTTCCAGGAATGTAAAAATCCAATATTCACCTAATTTTTTTCATTAAATGCTTAACTTTGCAATGGTATCAAAAGTCGAAATTAAGCATTATTTATTGGGTTTAACTTAACCATATTTAAATTAATGATTTACATTTTTTTATGTAAACACGGATAAACTCTTTTTTCGTATTTAACAGATTTATGGACGAGATATCTGAAATTTTTTGAAAACGAAAAAATGATCCAAAATTTTTTCCCAACTTCATTTCAGACATCGTGAAAATTATTAAACATTTATTTTTCTCAAATCATTCAAATCCGCAAAATGTTGCGATGTAAGAAAACCCTTTTTATTAGCATATAATTCATGGAAAGGTTACATGAACTAATATATACATCATGATAAGATTGAGATAGTTAGTTACCTGCAGAACCAAGTTCTTCTCGTGACAATATTTCTCACCAGGTTGGGATTTATCAAGCTCAGCATCACCGTAGCAACTCTCACACTAGGAAAAGGCGACATTTGAAAAGACGACATTTGCAATTACGAAAACGCTGACAACAAACAAAACTTAAGTAAATAACCTAGGAGTTAAATAAAAGTTTTTAAGTTCGAGTCATGTTATTAGATTCTAGATCAGAAAAATGAAAAGTGAATATAATTTGAAACATCTGAAAAACTAATATGTTCATCCCAAAGGGGTAATTTTTTTTACAATTTTGGAAGTAAACATTTCCGATTTGGCTGAAATTTTGCCCACTGCTTAATTTTTGCAGAGCAAAAACGATTTTAATGTTACAATTTTTTTAAGACCTCCGGGGAGTTACAGGGCAGCAAAATTTAAAAAAAAAGAAAACTTGAGAAAAATGCTTTTTTTTAAATGTTGCAACTTTTTTGTTTTTGAAAAAAAGTCAAATTTTTGACCAACTAAAAATCAACAAAATTTTTTTTTTGTAAAATAGAAAAAAAATATTTTTGGGTTAAATTAGACAAATAAAAAATAAATAAAACATAGTAGATATTTAAAAACATATTTTTATTTATATTAATATAAATTCTGTATTTCCAAAAAAAAATCGTGGCTATCAGGGTTCTTCAATATAGTAGGTAGGGGTTCTCAAAAAGACCAAAAAACATCAAAAATCATAAAATCTTCAATTTTTGGCATTGTACATGCAAATTATGTGTCGTTTAAGTGGTTGTTTGGCTCTAGGAGTCCATTTTTGGGGTCAAAATTGCCTAAAAGTCACTCAAATGGGCTTTTCACTAGTATATCGGCTCCAACAACTCGAAAAACTCAAAAATCTCAAAAAGTTTTTGTTTCAAAAATGACTTTTTGATGACTGAAGCCGCCGGCCATTACTATCTAAAGCCCAATAAAACACTCGAAGAAATAATGTTTGTTTGATTTATTTTATAAGGAAGACGGCATTTGCGAAAAAATATTTTTTTTGTGTGTTTTCCCCTCGAAAATACATTTTAGAACTTACTACGCAGTTATTAATGTAAAATGTTTTAAATTGGTTTTGATGGTTAAAATTGTGCTAAAATAAAACACATAAGGGGTAGGCTCTCCAAGCAGGGTAGGCACTCCATACAAGACACTGGTAAGAAGACTAACCTTGCTATTGGTTGGTCCTGAGCATGTTTTACAAGTGTAATAACACTGCAAACAATGTGAAGAAAGGTCAGATTCCCCCTGCACAGTAAACTACAGTCAACCAATCAATGGTGTTTGATCTTCAACAACACAGTAATTAAGAAATGAACCGGACAAGAAGGAGAATGCTTGAGAGAGAGAGGGGGGGAGTTGAAAAAAAATACAATGCAGAGTTGGGACTATTTTATTGGGAAGGTGAGATGAAAAAAGGTAAAATCAGAAGTAAAATGATGATGAGATTAAGTATTAGGAGGATGATGAAAAATATGATAAAAAATAATGATAAAAATTCTGATAAGAATTATAAGAATAATGATGAAATGTTGCTAAGAGTAAATAATTACAATAAGTAAAATGACGAGAATAACGAGTATGATAATGACGACAATGATGAGGAATACTAGAATTACGAGAATGAAGAGCTTGATGAAAATTTAAATTAAGCGCCGGCTTAAATCTTGAAACATTTAATACAAATTTAAGTGGAACCAGCTATGATTAAGCCGCGGCTTAATTTTAAACCGCCGCTCAAATTCTTTAAATTCGACCAAAGGTTCAAGTAGTTTCCTGATAATATCCTTCTTCAGGACATTTTGTTACACAATTCCCGGACAGAACCAGATATCCAGGCTTACAGGCACTACACCAGGCAGCTGTACTCTAGATAGTAGATAGTTTAGTACTGTACACTACACCAGGCAGCTGTACTCTAGATAATAGATAGTTTAGTACTGTACACAACAATAGACAGCTTTACCCTAGTAGATAGTTTAGTAATGTACACTACACCAGGCAGCTGTACTATAGATAGTAAATATTTAAGTACTGTACATAGTACACTGCAACTACACCAGACAGCTGTACTCTAGATAATAGATAGTTTAGTAATGTACAGTGTACACTCGCCATGGCAGCTGTTCTCTAAATAGCAATGTGTGCTATACACTGTACTGTGTGTTCACTGTGTACGTACTGCAGTGTGTACATAGTTTAGTACTGTACACTGTACACTGTACACTACACCAGGGAGCTCTACACTAAATAGTACTGTGTGCTATACACTGCACTGTGTGTTCACTGTGTACGTACTGTAGTGTGTACATAATTTAGTACTGTACACTGTACACTACACCAGGGAGCTCTACTCTAAATAGTACTGTGTACTGTGTGTACACTGTACGTACTGCAGTGTGTACGGTGTACAGTGTAGTACAGTTCATTTCTTGTTTACCTGGACAAGACAATTTTCTATACTGGTGGGAACAACAGCCTCCGGTAAAGGATTATTAAAAGCTTCAGGAACCAATGGACTAGCCTAAATTAAGAAAAATAGTAAAGTATTTGAAAACGTTGGTCTAGAATATTTAAAAAAGTATTGATTTTATAAAAATCTTTTTTTTCCGGCGTGGTTTTTGGCTCAAAATTGGGTTCCAAACTTTATTTTCATTCTTAAGAAAAAAAGGATTTAAAAATTTGCTTACTTGATGAGTAGGGGGGGCGGAAGATTCAGTGGCCAGCGGTCTAGACCGATGATTAGAACGAGTCGTGGATTCTGGTTTAATGGCGGGCGCGGGAACCGGTTCCTTCGGTTTAGGATTAGACGGAGAAGGCAGGGAGGGAGTTGGTGCAGGGAGAGTAGGAGGAGGAGAAGGATCGGAGAGTGTTCCATGAAAAGTGAGAGACCAGGCCAATAACTCAACCTAAAAAATTATTAAATCCTTTCAGCAATTTTCAACGGAATTATTACGAAAACAAGAAACCCCTACCAAAAACAAATTTGAGACAAAAATGCAAAAAAAAGATTGCATTTTTCATCATTTAGTTTTGTTTTTCATGCTTGTGCAGCAAAATATATGAGAAATATATCAAGATTGAAGCGTATTTGACATTTTCAATTAAGAGACGATATGCATTGGAAAAAGAAAAACATGAACGTTTCAATATATCATTTATTTGTCTTTAAAACAATTTTACTCTTTATCTCTGGTTCTTCCTAATTTATACATGTGAAAATGGGATGAGCAAAATTCGATGGACTGTTTACTATATACATTATGAATACACTTTTATTCTAAATAATTGTCTTTTCTTTCTTGGCAAACTAGTTGTTCTAATCCCATCTTTGTATTAACAACTAAGCTCTAGCATTTTGTATTTTTATTTTATTTCCCCCCCCCATTACCCCTCCTCCTCCACCTCCCTCCCTTGTGTAGAAATCCACTCATTGTGCAGTAAACCAATCCAATCTAATTAACCTTAAAATTAATCTATTGGTGAAACCAGATCCACCTTACTCTAACAAGCCCTCCTTATCTTTACAGTTACGCAAGTTTCTTTCCTCATGTAATTTCCTCTGGCCTCTTTACCTTTACACAAACTGCTTTCCTCACATAATGTCCTCCTTTAATAATGGACAAAAATACAAAGGTCAAACAGTTTAAACATAAATGATGGGGAGTTGCCATTCTATGTTGCGCGCACATGCCCCGTAAAATTCCAAAACAGAGAGAGGGGGATTGAATTTTGTAGAAATTAGTATGTATTTAGGGTTAGGTTAGGTTAGGTTAAGACACTTTCTGGGCCGAGCGCTGCGGCTAGGACAGGCTAGGGGGCCGAGCGCTGCGGCCACATGTCTTACATTTAAGACCCCATCAGCTGCCAGTCTCTACGCAGGCATCCCACAGATATTATTTTTCTTAATCTACAAAATTCAATCCCCCTCTATCTGTTTTGGAATTTTACGGGGCATGTGCGCGCAACATAGAATGGCAAATACCTAAATGATGATGAAGGTCTAACACATGAAAGAGACTGTAAGCATAGTTCCAAGTGACCTCCAAGCAAAGATGGCATTGCTTGATTCACAAGGATAAACTAAAAAGCTTGTCTGATTAAGTATAAATGAAGCTAGATATCAATGTTTATAATTTTAAAAAATGATTATTTTCCATTGTAGTTTATTTACAAAAATGACTTGCGCATTTCTCCTGCTAGAATTATACACACCTGTGCAGAATAACGACAACTATACACACATAATAAAGGTTTCGGAATAATATCAAGGCTGTGAGTTGAGCATTGCCACCTCTGCATTGGAGGGTCACTGTTTTTTTTATGGACCATGAACATTCAAAACTAACATGAGTATAAACCTCACCTAATTGTCCCAACTAGTATTGAACTACATAATACAATATTACGACCTCTTATCCTCACAACTCTTGGACTTCATAATACAATATTACGACCTCATGTCCTCACAACTCTTGGACTTCATAATACAATATTACGACCTCATGTCCTCACAAGTCTTGACCTACATAATACAATATTACGACCTCATGTCCTCACAAGTCTTGACCTACATAATACAATATTACGACCTCATGTCCTAACAAGTGTTGAACTACATAATACAATAACACGACCTCTTGGCTTATCTATGTGCTCTAGTATACAATACATATTACAATATACATGTATACACTATACTATATGTTTAGTCATGAAACCTAAGGTAATTAAATGAAGGGTAATTAAAGGTTATAGACAAAACATGCAATCTAGATACAATTCGTGGAATCAATGGAGAGATAAGCTATAAACTGTTAAGGAAGGGGGGGGGGAATTTGAATTTTTGTCTTAGAAAAGGAAACGAAGAGGTAAAGCTTTCCTCAGATGTACACAATAAACCAACATATTAATGTGTACATCACGATATGATTATGTATCTAACACTGTAAACTTGTATATAGAGTGATCGTATTTCTAGGGGGGGATTTTGTGGAATTGAGCAACTTTAACTTGGGGGATGTTCGTGCATTTTCTTACGATGCAATATTTTGTCATTCTTGTCTTAAACAAACAATTGAACTGGAATGTACTGCAGTAAACAATCAGTGGCGTACATAGGGGGGGGGGCAGTAGTCCTCTTGCCCCCCCCTGGGAGTTCGTCTAAGGATTTGTCTAAATTCACTGTTAACACAAAATTTTAAGATACTTTAAACTAAAACTTTTGCAAAAACGAGACCTCGACATATTAGATGCTTATAACATGATGGAAGATGTAATACATATTTTCTATTCTTCTATTTTTTTCTTACAGTCAATTAATAAAGAAATTGAGTCTTTGGCACAAACTCAAATTCAGAATGTTTGACCTAACAAAATTCATAGCTTGAAATATCTAAGGTATACAACCATAGATAAAGATGGATTGCGCATAAGACGACATTTTTCATCTTAAAAGATATTAATGTACAGAGATGTTTAAAAGACATTCCTATTATATTGATTAATTCTCAAAATAATATTCACTCCTGAGTGGTTTAATAATTATGAAATTCATTAAAACACCAAACCACCCCGCTTATCATTGAAGTACACTTTGACCCCTAGCAGTATGAGTTCGCGGACTGTAAAATTCTTGGTGATTTTGCGTACATAAGCTACCTATGTTTATTTATTTATCTATGTCTACAACATTTGCTTCCAAAGATATAGTGATTAGAAAATCAGAGTTTGTGGCAAAGACTCAATTCCTTTATTTCAATAAAGAGATATTAAGCGTAATTTCAAGTTCCCCTTTATGCAATGATGACAATAACATCGAATGAAGGAAAGAGAAGTTTTAGCTTTCTAAAGAGAATACTTCATTACACAAGATGTACTAAGACGGAGAGCAGACTTAACGATCTTGCACTTATGGCTCACTACTGAGAAAATCATTTAAATGTTTGTGCAAGCAAATCCAAGAAAATTGAAGCTTAAAAGAGTCGGTGAATATGTAGATGGAGTAAATTCTATCTAAAAATTTCAGAAAAAATTTCGTTTATTAGTGATAATATGATTTTTTAATGATGCTGTGATGGAGTTAAGTGATAAATTTATAAATTTATAAAGTTAAAAAGTTAAAGTTAGTTTTCCGAGCAAAGGAATAAATTTTAGACTCTATAAGGTTAGTAACACTCAAAAATGTAGTCTTTTTGGTGTACTTTTATGGTGTTAATTGACTTTTTAAGCAAAACAATTCCAGGGGGGGGGCAAAAAACAGCCAGGGGGGGGGGGAAATTTTTTTATTCGCGCTTCGCGCGAAATCTTGCCCCCCCCCCGGCTAAAATCCTGCATACGCGCCTGTATACAATCCATATGAAGTGTCTATTTCTATCATACAGATATTCTATTATCTATATTTAACCACTCCCAAGAAATAAATTGTTAGTGTGTAGCCCATGGAATTTAAATGTTTTCTATTTGATGACACTAGAGGGCCTGTAAAGGAAATTTCAAGTGACAATTCATTTATAGTGTGGCATGTTTAATTCACAACAGTTCCCATAAAAGAAATAAGATATTCATTTTCTTTATTTTAAAAACAGACTATTTTAAATTGCGGTTTCTTTACTAACACTTGCGTATTGTTGCTAGGAAACGAAGGAAGAATTACCAGAATTAAGCTTGAAAAATGACGTTATCTTCCATAAACATGATCAGATACCACGGGCAGCCGTAGTACATTTGAGTTTCCGAGCCGGGTTAACCTTTCCGGTCCCACTTTTTACTGTATCGCCCTGACATTGGGTAAATAAAGCAGACACTTAATAGGACTAGCCGGCGCAACAAGGTTGACGCGGTCAGATTTTAGGTTGAACTTACTTTTACCAAAAGTCAGAGATGCGTGAAGTGGTTCAGAATCAGAGTACCGTTGTGAATCGAGTATGCCCTCTTTTTTCTTTTCATCCACTTGACATTTGTACAGTCTCTTTAGAAGCATATTAGTAGACGCTTCAAAATAGAATATTCCAGTTTAAATTTAAATAACGTGATATACCCCATCTCAATCAAATTACGTCTTAAGGTTTCTCTCCTCTGCAAAATATTAATGAAAATAATAGCCAATTAGTAATATAACGGATAATGAATACCTTTTAATTAATATAGGAAGGAGAATTAAGCGCAAGCGAGGGACTAGGAGTGAAGGGGGGGGGGTAACTTAATTCAATTAATCTTGTATTTTTTCTTTCATCATTAATCTTCCATTTAATTAAATAAACCCTACCATTATTCTTCCATCTTTGTATAAACCCTACCATTATTCTTCCATCTTTATATAAACTCTACCATTGATATTCCATCTTTATATAAACCCTACCATTATTCTGTCATCTTTATATAAACCCTACCATGGACATTCCATCTTTATATAAACCCTACCATTGATATTCCATCTTTATATAAACCCTACCATTGATATTCCATCTTTATATAAACCCTACCATTGATATTCCATCTTTATATAAACCCGACCATTGATCATTCATCTATTTATAACCCTTCCATTATCTTCCATCTTTATATAAACCCTACCATTGCTATTCTATCTTTATATACACCCTACCATTGATCTTTCATGTTTATATAAACCCTACCATTATTCTTCCATCTTTATATAAACCCTACCATTGATATTCCATCTTTATATAACCCCTACCATTATCTTCCATCTTTGTGTAAACCCTACCATTGATCTTCCATCTTTATATAAACCCTACCATTGATCTTTCATCTTAGTATAAAGCCTACCATTGATCTTCCATCGTTCTGTATTTCAAGAAGCCATGATCCTTTTGGATTCTCTCCCCAGCAGAATACAGTCAGGAACGGCCAATCCTAAATAATAAATCTTAACAATATTTTTAGAAGTATCATAAAGAAAAGTATTCCCAGAATCCAGATCTAGAAGTATCATGAAGAAAAGTATTCCCAGAATCCAGATCTAGAAGTATCATGAGGGGAAAAGTATTCCCGGAATCCAGATCTAGAAGTATACTGAGAGCAAAAGTATACATGAAATCCAGGTCTAGAAGTATCATGAGGGGAAAGTATGCCTAATATCCAGCTCTAGAAGTATCATGGGGGGAAAAGTATACCTGATATCCAGATCTAGAAGCATCATAAAAGGAAAAGTATACCTGGAATATAGGTCTAGAAGTAGCATGAGGGGAAAAGTATAACTGGAATCAAGGTTTAGAAGTATCATGAAGGGAAAGTATACCTGAAATCCAGCTAGAAATATCATGAGGGGAAAAGTATACCTGGAATATAGGTCTAGAAGTAGCATGAGGGGAAAAGTATAACTGGAATCCAGCTAGAAATATCATGAGTGGAAAGTATACCTGGAATCAAGGTTTAGAAGTATCATGAGGGGAAAGTATACCTGAAATCCGGCTAGAAATATCATGAGGGGAAAAGTATACCTGGAATCCAGCTCTAGAAGTATCATGAGGTCTACGGGCTAGTAGCTGAGATTTAGTTCCCCCCGTCAGATCTAGAAGTATCATGAGGGAGTGTATACCTGGAATCCAGCTCTAGAAGTATCATGGGGGGAAAAGTATACCTGATATCCAGATCTAGAAGTATCATGAAAGGAAAGTATACCTGAAATCCAGCTAGAGATACCATGAGGGGAAAAGTATACCTGGAATATAGGTCTAGAAGTAGCATAAGGGAAAAGTATAACTGGAATCCAGCTAGAAATATCATGAGGGGGAAAGTATACCTGGAATCAAGGTTTAGAAGTATCATGAGGGGAAAGTATACCTGAAATCCAGCTAGAAATATCATGAGGGGAAAAGTATACCTGGAATCCAGCTCTAGAAGTATCATGAGGTCTACGGGCTAGTAGCTGAGATTTAGTTCCCCCCGGAGAGGTCAAATACATTTGAACATCACCGCGACGTAAAGCGGTCAGCGTTATGTGTGCTTGAACATGCTCTAGGAAGTTGACGTCTCCTGAATCTTGAACCTGCATCTTGGCAGACCTGGAGCTTGAAGGAGGTATCGAGACTCGTCCTGGATAGATTTCCATTATCCAATATCCAATATAGCGGGACATTATCAGCTTGACATTTAAGTGAATTCCAAACCAATATAAAGATGTTTAATTATCGTTATATCAGTTATTCATTAATTAAAACTTAACAATTGGTAAAATTTAACAATAACAACGAGACGTGTAACTGGCAAAAATAAGCTAATTTTTAACAATAAATGTCAAAATGTCAAAAACTTAAACAAAGTTAATATGATCGATTAAAAGATAAATGATATTAAGGACACACTTCAGATAAAGAACATAAAGTTCATTGAATTTAAAAAACTGTCACTTTAAATTATGCTGAAAGTCCTTTTAATACGCACATAGAATTATTTTATAATTTCAGTTGTGCATTAAAAGTTAAAAAAAAAAAATTTTAATGAAAGGGACTGTAGAGTAATTTCAAGTGATGTTCAATGAAAAAATGATAATGTCTGATTTACAACAGTACCCTTAATTTTAATTAAGAGTCTTTTACAAAAGTGACATACGCATTTTCTACTGCAGGAAAACATAGAAAGCATAAAGGAATTATCAGAATTAAACTATTTCAAACCTAGAAAAACGAAAATATCTTCCACATTATAACTGATCTGANCCGAGGTGGTTAGGACGAGAAAATGAGGAGAATGTGGTTCGGACAACAGATTGATATGGTTGGCCTTCCTCCCCTCGCATGTTAATGATACATAAAATTAAAAAATAAAACTTTTTAAACCTATTAACAATTATTGAATTTATATAAAAAATCTGAATATTCCCCCTTATCATGGCAACCTAATCTTGAAAATACGTCAGTCATAACTAAAAACAGTAGAATGAATGTCGCCTTTCTTTTTCCTTTCATTTATAAGTAGGTATTTATAATTTTCATCTGTTGAAATTGAATTGTTCACAATATTTATTTTCTTCCGTTGCAAATAACAAAATGCTTTTTAAGTGAGTGACCGCCACTTGACATAGTAGTAAAGATTTGAACTTATTTAGCGATGTATATCACGCACCTCTGAGCCTTTAGTAAAAGTAAATTCATCCTAATGCCTGACTGTGTCAATTGTGACCGGCTAGTCCTATTGAGTGTCTGCTTTATTTACCCAATGTACGGGAGATACAGTACAAACTGGGACTGGAAAGGTTGACACGGCTTGGAAATTCTAATGTACTACGGCTGCCCGTGATATATATTTTAGATTTAAAAGAAAAAGCAGCCGATATTCGTGCTCATATTATTAATTAAAAAATGTTAAGACTGACCTATATCAGCATTGACGGCACTGGACTTTTGCTCCGGCACAACGGTCCAAGTTTTTGCCATGCGGACCATAGCGCTAGCGTCCATAATACCGTAACCAAACGAATGCGAGAAATTTCGCCCCATCGCGTTAATTCGCCAATCCGTCGCTCGAAGATTTGCTACATGACAGTTTCTGACAGTTATATGTTGGATGTCTCTCCAAGTTAAACTAGGATTAGCCTAAAACAAAGAATTGTATAATCTTGTATATTTCTATTTAATTTTTTTGTCAGTTTCGGCGAAAATGAGAAAGCACAACATTGAACATTGCATTCCTAGAATTAGTTTAGATATGCAGGGTGTCCTACGAAACATGACAGTTGGTAAATAGTTTAGAATGTCGTCTTTCATAACTTGTTTAGTTGTTTAATATCAAAGACAAAAAGAAAATTATTGTAGGAGTCATATTATAGTAAAATTAACATTAAAGAAAAATATATTTGAGCAAAAGATTTTTAAAACGAAATAAACTGCAAACAGCCTTTAATAACTAATACAGTGTATGGAAGACGACATTCAAAACTAGTTACCAACTGTCACGTTTCGAGGGACACCCTGTACGTTAAAGTTGTAATCCTAAAATGANAGGGCAATGCTCGATTTACAACAGTACCCTTGAGACCTTTGTCTGTTTATCGAGTAGAGTGATCTTTTTGTTTTAGCATATCAAAACTCGCTTTAATTCCTCTACAACGCGACTGTATGCTGTGTACAGTCTGAACTGTTACTGAAATCTATAGCAGGTTGCAATTAAAAAGATTAATAGTGATTTGTCCGACATCCTTGATCACATGGTACCATTGTTAATCAGGGGCGCTCCTTTTTAAATGGAAGATCAATTTACATTCGGCTCACAGTTTCTTAATGGTGGCTGTGTATCCTGTGTACCTGGAGTACAAGAGCTATAACACCAGCTGCCATTGGAGCACTGGCCGATGTTCCGGTATGTGTTGATGTGCACAGGTTGTGCAGATCCGTTGATATCACCTTCCGTTCACCAGACGAACCGGAACTAGAACAAAACTTTTTATTTTTCAGTTGCCAACTTGAGAACTCTTCTTAATCCCTTCAGAAAGCACTAATCCTTATTTTTTATTGGATATTAATCCCTTCATAATGCGATAATCCATAACTTTTGTGAACGGATGTTATTCCTTTCAGGTAGCTCTAATTCATATTTACTGTACATGGAGGTTAATCCCTTCAGAAAGCTCCAATTCATATTTACTGTACATGGAGGTTAATCCCTTCAAAAAGCACTAATCCTATAGTTTGTGATTGGATGTTAATCCCTTCAAAAAGCACTAATCCTATAGTTTGTGATTGGATGTTAATCCCTTCAGAAAGCACTAATCCTATAGTTTGTGATTGGATGTTAATCCCTTCAGAAAGCACTAATCCTATAGTTTGTGATTGGATGTTAATCCCTTCAGAAAGCACTAATCCTATAGTTTGTGATTGGATGTTAATCCCTTCAGAAAGCACTAATCCTATAGTTTGTGATTGGATGTTAATCCCTTCAGAAAGCACTAATCCTATAGTTTGTGATTGGATGTTAATCCCTTCAGAAAGCACTAATCCTATAGTTTGTGATTGGATGTTAATCCCTTCAGAAAGCACTAATCCTATAGTTTGTGATTGGATGTTAATCCCTTCAGAAAGCACTAATCCTATAGTTTGTGATTGGATGTTAATCCCTTCAGAAAGCACTAATCCTATAGTTTGTGATTGGATGTTAATCCCTTCAGAAAGCACTAATCCTATAGTTTGTGATTGGATGTTAATCCCTTCAGAAAGCACTAATCCTATAGTTTGTGATTGGATGTTAATCCCTTCAGAAAGCACTAATCCTATAGTTTGTGATTGGATGTTAATCCCTTCAGAAAGCACTAATCCTATCTTTTGTGATTGGATGTTAATCCCTTCAGATGCACTAATCCTATCTCGTGTGCATGGATGTTAATCCCTTCAGAAAGTGCTAATCCTATCTTTTGTGCATGACTGTTAATCCTTCAGAAAGCACTAATCCATATCCGTTAAGATTCTACGTTAATCCCTTCATATTGCACTAATCAATATCTTTCGTGATTAGATGTTAATCCCTTCAGAAAGCACTAATCCAGATCTGTTTTGAATGGATTATTACTTAGAAAGCACTAATCCATATCTTGTGTCATTAGTTTGTTAAAGTTTAAAGGGACTGTAAGCGTAATTTCAAGGAACCCTTCAAGCAAAGATGGTAATGTTGAATTCACAACGGTATCCTTAATAGCTTTGTCTGTTCAAGTATGAATTATTTGGAATATTGATAATTTTCAATTGTGGTTCTCTGCAAAAGTGACTTGCGCAATTCTACTGCAGAAAAAGGAAAGAATTGTGAGAATTAAGCACTCATAAACTAAGAACAAATTATTGATCAGATAGAGGTTTGAAGGATATCGTTATGTAGGGTTTCCACCGTAATTCCTGGTTACGGTTTACGTACGGAATGATCCGGAAATTTTTTCCATTTCCTTTATAGAAAAGGTTCCGGAAATCCGGAATTCCGGAACAATTTCCGGAACTATTTTTCCCCCGTAAACAGGAAATTTTAGGAACGTTGTTCCGGAATTACGGAACGTTCCGGAATATTGTTCCGGAAAATTCTGGTTGACGGAAAAATCGTTCCTAAATTTTTCGGAAAAAGTTTTTGGAAAAACGTCTTATACTTTTGTAAAAGATAAAACCAGTAAGTAATACTATTTACATAATAACAGAATGTGCTCCTAGTTTAGCTGTAGTTAAAGTAATACCACTGTGAGTTATCATGAAATATAAATCCTGACTGCCATGTCTCAAAATAATTTCATCTACAGAAAAGTGTGGAAAGGAAGAGGACATAAATAGCAATCCTTAAGTCTATTTGATATTGTTACAAAGCAAATAGGTTAAATATAGTAACTAATAAAATCACTTTTAATTTGGTCTGTATACAGTACATATTGTATATACACTACGTAATTGCCGTGTATCATGTTAATTGAACTATTTAAAGTCAAAACTTAAGTCGAAACGTCGTCCTCCTTTTCCAGATTTTTCTGGTTCATATACTTACATTACTCGTCTGTTTGTATCCAATAAACGTCAAAACCGAACCCAAAATTTGTGCGGGAAAAAATATCGAAACCCATTATTTGTTTACCAATTTAAAGCCTAGTTTTAATAAAATCTTATTTATATGGTTCATAGCCTATCCGATGACCCTCTTGAAAAATAAAAACTAATTTGTCAAAAAAACATTGTGGGATAAGTGAAAACTGTACCTGTAAAATAGTCATGATGAACTATAGTAAAATATTTGTGAATACACATTTATAGAACCATCCGTATTTAATGTATGTCAACTAATAAGTTTGAACTTTTAATGTTTTAACATTGCTTTCAATGTCTATCATTGTGTTAAAATTTCCGATTTACGGAATGAAAACTGGAAATTTTACGGTTTCCATTCCGTAAACCGGAAAAATTTCGGATTACGCCACGTAAACCGTAAACATTCCGGTTTCCATTTGATCCGGAATTATCCCGGAATTCCGGTTTACGCAACAAATTTCTGGTCCATTCCACTTCCAAAATGGAAATTTTGTTCCGAAAAAATGGAAACCTTTATGAATCGACAAACTGGCAACTTTGCATGGATGATTTAGGTTCACTTGAAAATACGCTTATAGTCCCTTTAAGTCGCCATATTTTTTATATACCTGTAAGTGGTCGCCATGGTTGAAGAACACGCTTCAGAATACCAGGGGATTAAACCATTCTCCGTAGCACTTGATACTAAATATACAGAATACCAGGGGATTAAACCATTCTCCGTAGCACTTGAATACTAAATATACAGAATACCAGGGGATTAAACCATTCTCCGTAGCACTTGATACTTAATATACAATACCAGAGGATTAAACCATTCTCCGTAGCACTTGATACTAAATATACAATACCAGGGGATTAAACCATTCTCCGTATCACTTGATACTGAATATACACAATACCAGGGGATTAAACCATTCTCAGTAGCACTTCATACTAAATATACAGAATACCAGGGGATTAAACCATTCTCCGTAGTACTTGATACTAAATATACAATACCAGGGGATTAAACCAATCTCCGTAGCACTTGATACTAAATATACAATACCAGGGGATTAAACCATTCTCCGTAGCACTTGATACTGAATATACACAATACCAAGGGATTAAACCATTCTCCGTAGCACTTGATACTGAATATACACAATACCAGGGGATTAAACCATTCTCCGTAGCACTTGATACTAAATATACAGAATACCAGGGGATTACACCATTCTCCGTAGCACTTGATACTAAATATACAAAATACCAGGGGATTAAACCATTCTCCGTAGCACTTGATACTGAATATACACAATACCAGGGGATTAAACCATTCTCCGTAGCACTTGATACTAAATATACAGAATGCCAGGGGATTAAACCATTCTCCGTAGCACTTGATACTGAATATATTTAGAGTCCAAAAATGGAAAGTAGGGAATTGAGTTTACATACTTTTTCAGAAGTATATTTATTTATTGTAATTATTAATCAGAATTCAAAATTATTCTGTATTTTTTCAAATTTTTATGCACAACAATCAATATCAAAATAGAAAAGTTTTTGAGGCTTCATTAAACTTTTTTGTTTGTCCTTAATAATAATTATCTTATTATCTTAAGGAGTGATCCTCTATACGGTACCAGTTAAACCAGTTTTACGATGAAGGATGAATGAGAGATCCTAGTTTTCGAGCTTAGAACTGTTTTTAGTGATCTTTAAGATAAAAATAACAACGTGGATATCTCACTCATTGTCACTCAGGTAGAGATTTAGCAGAGGGTAACTTGAATTTACGTTTATAATATTTTTAACCCGGTATCATTACATTGTCACTTAGGATATTCATCTTGAGATTGTACCTGACAGAGTCCAGATAGAGTTTGTATAACCATCACAATTGCAGTTATCATGATCTCTACCACCATTCCCACTTGCCCATACAAATATAGATCCCTAATAGATAGTTAGAATCAGGGTTACCACTAGCACATACAAATATAGATTCCTGATAAATAGTTAGAATCAGGGTTACCACTAGCACATACAAATATAGATTCCTGATAAATAGTTAGAATCAGGGTTACCACTAGCACATACACATATAGATCCCTGATATATAGATTATAAATAGAATCAGGGTTACCACGTTCAATATATAACAAATGACAAAAACATGTGACAAATATATCCTATTTATAACAAAAAAATATTAAACATAATATTTTTTAAAATTGAATTGCAGACAGTTTCACGTCCTAATTTTTAAGAATGTGTTTTTAAGAATAATACGGCTAAAAAAGCATTTTAATTAAAGATTCCAATGAATGCAATTATCTTTGGTTCTGAGCTTTTTTAACATCTGCTTGAACATCTGCTTATAAATATATCTACAAAAATAACCAATTTAATATGGGACTCTACACTTTATGAATGAAAAACTAAATGGAACTTTTTTGCTACAAGTTTTTACTATTATAGGCCTCAGGGGTAAGATAGACTTAAGTTGTGTTCCTACTTTAAAAATGAGGTATTTGTGTTCCTAATCCAAAAATGAGGTATTTGTATTCCCAATCCAAAAATGAGGTATTTATGTTCCTGAGCAAAAAATAAGGTACTTATGTTCCTAATTCAAAAATTTGGGAATTTGTGTTACGAATCCCAAAATTTGGTATTTGTATTCCCAATTAAAAAATTGGGGTATTTGTGTTCCTAATCCAAAAATGAGGTATTGCGTTCTAATCCTAAAAAGGGGTATTTATGTTTCTAATCCAAAAATGAGGTATTTGTGTTCCTAATTCAAAAATGAGGTATTTGTGTTCCTAATTCAAAAATTGGGGAATTTGTGTTCCTTATTCAAAAATTTGGGTATTTGTGATCCAAACATGTGGTACAATTGTTTCCTAATCCAAATATGGGGTTATTTGTGTTCCTTATTCAAAAATGAGGTATTTGTGTTCCTAATTCAAAAATGGGGTATTTGAGTTCCGATTCCAAACAAGCTGTATTTGTGTTCCTAATCCAGAAATGGGGTTATTTGTGTTCCTAATCCAAAACTTAGGTATTTTTTTTCTAATCCAAAAACGGGGTACTTGTGTATCTAATCCAAAAATGATGTATTTGTGTTCCAAATTCAAAAATGGGGTACTTAAGTTCCTAATTCAAAAATTGGGATATTTGTGTTCCTAATTCAAAATAAGGTAATTGTGACTCCTTATCCAAAAATGGGGTTATTTGTTTTCCTATTTCAAAAATGAGGTATTTGTGTATCTAATCCAAAAATGAGGTATTTGTGTATCAAATCCAAAAATGAGGTATTTGTGTATCAAATCCAAAAATGGGGGTGTTTTGTTCCCTTCCAAAGATGGGGTTTTATATTTCCAAATTAAAATGGGGGATTTCAAAATAATTTTAAACCAGGTTTTGAGGCTCGGAACACAAATAATCCAATCTTAACGCTCACCGCTACCAGGATAATAAGATACTTAAAGTAAAATAGTTAAGACAAGTTTGAAAAACAATTCTTAATTTGATGAAGTTAATAATTTAAATTATATTCGAAATATTACCTTGCCATTTCTACCATTCTGTATTCCATTGATAAAAGCTCTTTTAGCCAAGTTGCCTGGACCATCAACTGTTTTCCCATCATCATCTGGACCCCAGGAGGCAGAATAAATATCTATATGCTGATTATTCAAGCTGATAGATCGGGCCTAATATAAGAATATATATATGCTGATTATTCAAGCTGATAGATCGGGCCTAATATGAGAATATATATATATATACTGATTATTCAAGCTGATAGATCGGGCCTAATATAAGAATATATATATATATGCTGATTATTCAAGCTGATAGATCGGGCCAAATATAAGAATATATATATGCTGATTATTCAAGCTGACAGATCGGACCAAATATAAGAATATATATATATATGCTGATTATTCAAGCTGATAGATCGGGCCTAATATAAGAATATATATATATGCTGATTATTAAAGCTAATAGATCAGGCTTAATATAAGAATATATATTTCTGCTGATTATTAAAGCTAATATATCAGGCCTAATATAAGAAAATGTTCATGGTTAATAATGCTATGAAACTTTTTCAATTTGAAAATTTACGTAGTTCAACCCCTTGCATTGACTTAATTATTCATAAATTGGCATATTTGATAATTTTACAGAATATCCTTAAAATCTGTTGAAAAATGCTCCGACAGCTATAATATACCTCAACAGCATCAGTAACATCTCCATCCAACATCCTGACTCCTCCGATCCTGCTGTTGTAAGCAACACCAACACCACACACACTGTTGTTGGCAGAGGCTGAAACCTAGACACAGTTTGATTGTATAGTTATATTTTAGAAGTAAATTATTCATTATATTTAAAAACTAGAATAAATATTCACATGTACTTTTTAGTTGAGAGTAACTTAATCAAACTGCAAATTTCTCGATCAGCTTTTGTACCAAAAATTTAAAAAGAAATTGGAAACAATCTGATATGGAACTGAATTTTTGAAATAACAAATTTTGCATGTTTTCCATAATTTTTGTCAAAATTTAGTCAAGTTCAGTTTCTAACAGATTTGCTTAGACTTATCGGTCTTACCTCTCCAGCACACCGTGTTCCATGTCTATTCGAGTCCACTAGATCATAGCGAGGAGTTGGGTCATTATCATTCTCATTCACATCATAGCTACATAATTAGATAATTAGATGGTTGGGTCACTATAATTCTCATTCACATCATAACTAGATAATTAGAGAATTGGGTCATTATCATTCTCATTCACATCATAACTAGATAATTAGATAATAAGATGGTTGGGTCATTATCATTCTCATTAACAGCATAACTAGATAATTAGATAATTAGATGCTTGGGTCATAATCATTCTCATTCACATCATAACTAGATAATTAGATAATAAGATGGTTGGGTCATTATCATTCTCATTAACATCATAACTAGATAATTAGATAATTAGATGGTTAGGTCATTATCATTCTCATTCACATCATAACTAGATAATTAGATAATTAGATGGTTAGGTCATTATCATTCTCATTAACATCATAGCTAGATAATTAGATAATTAGAGAGTTGGGTCATTATCATTCTCATTCACATCATAGCTAGATAATTAGATAATAAGATGGTTGGGTCATTATCATTCTCTTTAAAATAATAACTAGATAATTAGATAATTCGAGGGTTGGGTCATTATCATTCTCATTAACATCATAACTAGATAATTAGATAATTAGATGGTTGGGTCATTATAATTCTCATCAACATCATAACTAGGTAATTAGATAATTAGATGGTTGGGTCATTATAATTCTCATTCACATCATAACTAGATAATTAGATAATTAGATGGTTGGGTATTATCATTATCATTAAAAAATAACTAGATAATTAGATGGTTAGGTCATTATCATTCTCATTCACATCATAACTAGATAATTAGATAATTAGATGGTTGGGTCATTACAATTCTCATTAACACCATAACTAGATAATTAGATAATTAGATTATTGAAAAATAAATATGTTGAAAAAGATAACTTTGCAGTTTTTTTCATTGTTTTGAATGGGCCAGATGATCAGATCGCGTTTTAGAACTAATGTCCCCAGCATTATAAAAAGTATTAACATTTAAAAATACAATATATTTATATTTCCCTACCTAGCCATGGGATCATAGTTCTCCACTAGGTCTGGATTATTTTTCTCAACTCCGTCATCAAGTATAGTTACTACTATTCCCTTGCCAGTTATACCACTCTACAACACAGAATACATCTTTAAAGGGAGATACCGGCTAGGTAAAATAGTTGAATCGAGAGTGCAGTATTAAAAAAAGGAATTTTAGGATTCATTTAATATCAATGAGACGTTTTTGCGGTGCATAGTTTTTAAGTTCATGCATGAATTCATTTGAAAAATTTCACCAGTGTTCGCTAACCTTCCATATCTTCTGAACATATTATACAGTGTTCGCTTACCTTCCATATCTTTTGAACATATTATACAGTGTTCGCTTACCTTCCATATCTTCTAAACATATTATACAGTGTTCGCTTACCTTCCATACCTTCTGAACATATTATACAGTGTTCACTTACCTTCCTTACCTTCTGAACATACTTAACAGTGTTTACTTACCTTCCTTACCTTCTGAACATACTTAACAGTGTTTACTTACCTCCCACACTTTCTGAACATAATTGACATTGTTCAATTACCTCCAATACCTCCTAAACATATTGAACGGTGTTCACTTACCTCCTATGCCTTCTGCACATACTTCACTACAGTGTTCACTTACCTCCCAAGCCTCCTGAACGTTCATATCAATTCCATTTCCTCTGTTAAGATACCACATTAAGCCCCATCTTTCATCATTTAAGGATAATGGATTCTCATAGGGATAATCACTACTAATTAATGTATACTAGAAAAAAAAGAAGAAACGGGAAAATGTTGAGTAAAAAGTAACAAATAGACGTTACACATTTCTGCAATGAAAGAGGCGATATTATTTTCATGTTTATATTAAAAGGTTTGACAAAAAAGGGCCAATAAATAATAGAAACATGATTTATTTAAACCAGTTGGCAAATACTATGTAGGACAGATTAAAAGATCTTTAAGCGTAATTTAATTCATTATCTCCATGCAAAGATGGCAATTCCCAATTTACATTTACGATTGTGCCCTTAATAGCTTTGTCTGAGTCTAATCAGGTGTAAATGAGACATCTGTGTTTCTTGGTTTTAACAGTTTTTTTTCATTTGTAATTTTTTTTGCAAAAGTGACTCAAGCATTTCTTCCTTACAACAAAGAAACAAAGGAGAAATTACCATAATTAAACATTTTACGATTAGGAAAACGACGACATTTTGAATATTAAGGCTTTGATAGTACCGTTGTAAATCGGGTATCTTCATCCTCGCATGGAGGGTCACTTGAAATTACGCATTAAGATTTGCCTTCGAAAATTCTCAATAACCAATTACGAGAGAAATAGTTGGATAATTTTTCGGAAAAAAATGATATTTGTTTCATCTGAAGTATCCTCGTTAAATGTACATTTGGGGTAACTAACTAACTCTTGTGAAACTAATAGTTCAAATAACAATTCTAAGAGAAAACTCGAGTATAATGATGTAAATCAAAACCATAAAAGTATCAGATTTTCAAAAACTGAATTTAATCGTATAGTTATCCAACCATACTGAAAGTTTATTGTATTTTTGAAAGAAGGTAGCTCTGCAAAAATGAAAAATTATAAATCTTATTTTTTCCTAAAAGAAAAGCGAAGCGACTCTTATTTCGCTTTATATTGGATTATCTTTGGATCATCATGTTTTACAAACACGTTTGAAGGTACTGTAAACATTTATAAACTGGTATGTTTCGATTCCAATATTATTCTTGCAACCTTAGTCCATCTGTTGATTATTTTCCATTGCGGAATCTTTAAACCAAGAGAGAAAGAGGAAATTGTCAGAATTAAAAGCTTTTCCAGATACAAAAATCGACAAGATCTTTCTCATTGTAGTCCAGAAAATCGACAAGATCTTTCTCATTGTAGTCCAGAAAAAAGACAAGATCTATCTCATTGTAGTCCAGAAAAAAGACAAGATCTATCTCATTGTAGTCCAGAAAAAAAGACAAGATCTATCTCATTGTAGTCCAGAAAAAAAGACAAGATCTTTCTCATTGTAGTCCAGAAAAAAGGATTTGAATCTGCCCCACTCCATAAATAAAGGTTTATTTAAAATTATGTTCACGGTTCCTAAAGTTAAGGGTTTCCAAATTTTCGTTTAATCTCTTCAGCGAAATTTTCGTTCAGCCAACGTTTAAAATTTGGATCACATTTTGATGCTTCATTTTACGTTTAAAATTACTGTCACGTTTTGATGCTTCATTTTACGTTTAAAATTACGGTCACGTTTTGATGCTTCATTGTACATTTAAAAATACATTTACATTTTGATGCTTCATTATACGTTTAAAATTTAGGTCACATTTTTCGAAGGTTCATTTTTCGCTGACAATAAGGGTCACGCTTTGATGCTTCCTTACATGTTTAATATTTGGGTTACGTTTTGATGCTTCATTATACGCTTAGAATTACGGTCATGTTTTGATGCTTCATTATGCATTTAGAATTACGGCCACGTTTTGATGTTTCATTTATACGTTTAGAATCACGGTCACATTTTGATGCTTCATTATACGGTTTGAATTTCGGTCACGTTTTGTGCTTCATTATACGTTTAGAATTTAGGTCACATTTTGATGCTTCATAAAATGTTTTAAATCTGAGTGTCACGTTTTGATACTTCATTAGGCGTTTAAAATTCGGGTTTTAACCAAATTTTGTCCAATTATTGTAGTTACCAGAATTAATTATAAGACACTCTCAGCTGTTTAAATGATAATATATAGTATATATTCCCTGTATGTTTGCTCAGGCTGTCTTCGGGGGCTTTGGGGCTGCCCCCACCCTCCTCCCCCAAACCCCCCAGGCCAAAATCCTTGTCGTCGTCTTCGGTTTTTTACCTGACATTTTTAACAAAATTAAATTAGAAAATCAAAAAGGTTACCGTTGTGAATCGCATATAAAACTTTATAAATGAAAAGTCATATGAGTTCTGTTTTGAGACAAACCTCTTGTTGTTCGGCCCACACTACATGCTCGTGATTATTAATATCAGAATGTACCTGAAATATATTTGGTCAATATTTCAGAAAACTGGATTAAAACATAAACAAAGCTATATCTTGCTTGCTCCTCCCCTACCATCCCAACTCCTCCCCAACCATCCAACTCCTCCCCAATCATCCCAACTGCTCCCCAACCATCCCAACTCCTCCAGCATCATCCCAACTCCTCCAACAACCATCCCAACTCCTCCCCAACCATCCCAACTCCTCCCCAACCATCCCAACTCCTCCCCAACCATCCCAACACCTCCACAACCATCCCAACTCCAACACAACCATCCCAACTCCTCTACAACCATCCCAACTCCTCCCAAACCATCCCAACTCCTCCACAATCATCCCAGCTTCTGCCAAACCATCCCAACTCCTCCCCCAACCATCCCAACCCCTCCCCAACCAACCCAATTTCTCACCAACAAACAAAACTCCTCCCCAAAACATCCCAACTTCTCCCTTACAATCCCAACTTTTCCCAAACCATCCCAACTTCTCCCCAACTTACTTTAAAGTCCTGTTCTGTTGATCTTCTTCTGACGTGATGACAGCTAAGCAAGTATATTGACTCTCCGGGAATAATCTAGAGATAAAACAGAATTTTAAAAAGCCTGAAGAGCAGATATAAAAACTCTTAATTTTTTATCCGTAGAACATGATTAAAATATAAATGCTCAAATCAAAAATCAAAAATCTTGAGATACAAATTAGAGTTTGAGACAAGCAGTTATACTTTTGTCTAGACGAACAGTATTTAACATAATAACTAAGAAGAAAGTTTTCATCTGAATTGCCAAAAAAAAACACGATAATTTAGGAAAATTAAAGCAACCTCATTTTCTAACTGGCATCCTGTACTGTCAGCAACCTCTCTAGATACGGACAAAACGAAATTTATTAATTCCATTTTTTTTAAATATCTTGCAAGTTTTTTTTGAACTTTTGAAAAAAATATTGACGACTCTTATTCGAAGATGATGACTTTGTCCAAAAACAAGCTTGGAGCTTCAAATTTCTGAAGAAACTGTGAAGTTCCAAAAAACAACATTTGAACGTGAATATATTTGTGTAAAAGTATTTCACTGTTTTTAATAATCCAATTTCGACATTTTGTTTCCTAGCATGCTCTACACCGCCAGGTATTTCTGCTGCCCACTGATGATTGTAACTTTGGCAGAGAATTAGTTGCGGCAAAGTCGCCAGCAGTAATATCAGACGATGGAGCATTGAACCTGAAAATGTTGAAATAGAAATAAGCTTGAAAATTAACCAAATTAATGGTCATTGGCTAGAATTTGTAGTTTGATAAAATATTGGTAAATAAAGTTAATAGTTCCGGGTATAAAATACAAGTTTAATATTATTTTTAATCAAAATGTTTCAAACTAATGAAATTTTTCCAATTTAATAAAACTATTTGGATGATTCACTGTTAGAATTCCAAAATTGGTAAAAACAACGAAACAAGTTTAGATTGAATACCTTAAAAAATTCGTAAAAATCACATGAATTGGTATAACTAAACAATTATCTCTTCAGCAAGCAAGATAATTTCGCTCGGAATTTGTTGCTTCATTAATCTTTCATCAGTCTATGAATTAAATGTTAATCAATTATGTAAATTTTGCCCTGTCTTGGGCATCTATTTTGAAATATATCTAAAACTATATAACACCAGTTTTTGTGTTTTAACAGTGTACCTTTATATTGCTTTAACAACACCTACAGAGATTTTCTGCATTTTTTAAAGCTTTAATTTGAGGAAAAAGGAAAATTCTTTAATATTTGGTTCTTGAAAAAAAATCATTATTTTAGATATTTTAGATAAGAACACTTGTTCTTATTTTTGATATTAGCAAAATGTTATACAAAAACTAGTACTTAGTATTTTTAGTAGCAAAATATTATATGAAAACTAGTACTTAGTATTTTTAGTAGCAAAATATTATATGAAAACTATTTTTTAGTATTTTTATTTGCAAAATATTATATGAACACTAGTTTTTAGTATTTTTATTAACAAAATATTATATGAAAACTAGTTCTTAGTATTTTTATTAGCAAAATATTATATGAAAACTAGTTTTTAGTATTTTTATTAGCAAAATATTATATGAAAACTAGTTCTTAGTATTTTTATTAGCAAAATATTATATGAAAACTAGTTCTTAGTTTTTTAGTAAAATATTTCCTATCTCTTTTCAAGAATCTTTAATTTAAATTAAAATATGATTAATAGACATAAAACTTTTTAATGAAATCACCATCGTTCTTAAATGTGAAATTTATTTCTTTTAGATGTAAAAGTTAGTAGTTGTACCATATATATAATGTTTTAACCAATATACACCAATAATATTCACATAAGAGAGAAGTGTATTACAAAAAGTATAAAACCGCCATGTTGTGTACTGTCAGTGTACTACACGTCACACAACTGTATATACAAAGGCTTTGGCCCAAGAATCCCTTAAGATAAAACCTCTTGGGCCCTGGAATTACTTCGTTAAAAATATTTAAGAGAAATTATTTCTGAATAATTTTACTTAATCAAATATAAAACCATGATTTGACAAAATCTTTTGTAAATCTTATTTAATTTTCATTTATGTAAAATATACCAGAGATATCAAAAACTAAAAGTCACTCCATCATAAGATTGCAAAAAGAGTTTATTTGTTTTAATTAAACCATTTTTTTCTGAAAAGATTATTTAACTACTACAAAAGCCTAAGCCGCATGAAATGAAAAAGGAGATTCAATAAATTAATGTTTTCTGTAGTTTCTGGGAGAGAATTGTAAACAAAGCTTAACCTGAAGTTCCTTTTACATTGCTATCTACCTATTTTAAGTTGTAATCTTTGTTTGTTTGTTTGTATGTCCGATCATAACTCATGAACCCCTTGACTAATTAGCCTCAAATTTTGATCGGGGAACTCGGGAGAACCACAGGAATGTTCTTAGCTTGGGTTCAAGGGGCTAAATTGAGTGGATCGACTGTAATAGCAAAAATCTATTTTCCGTGTAAAATCGACCAAGAGCGGGTAAACGGCGGAAGAAGTAAACTGGGTCAACGCTGGGTTCCCAAGCTACTTTGTTTATATTATATACTAGCTAAAGGGCCCCTGAAAACAAATTTTGAAAAACAATTTCGAACTTTTTCGAACCAATGAGTGTCCACAAAAAAATTCAGCCCAATCGGTCCAGCCGTTTGGCAGCTATACGCAACATATATATATATATACTAATGTCTTGTTTTATTATATAGATAAATGCAATCAATTTTTACTAAAGTCTAACAATGAATTAAATATGCATCAAGGAAATTAACATTTGATTAAATTAATTCAAGTAACCTCTTAAAATTAAACAAAAAAAAAGAAAATAATTTGGTTGTAAAATATGCAGGGATAGAAACTTAAACTCAGTGGAAAAAAATTCACATTTCACGTGACCAGTCATAACTCTTTTAAAAGTTTTTATAATAAATGCAGAAGACTTTAAATTTATTTTTTAATTCGGATTTACATGAAAATTAATAAAGTTCTTGAAAAACACCTTTCCAATCAAAAGTTCTGGAAAAGGCAAGACCTCTAAACCAAAGAAAGTAAATCATTACGTTGTATGGTTGAACAGGGTTACCCGCAAAAGATCAGAGTGCAAAGACGACCAAAAACTCTTAAAATGTGACGATTCTAAGTTCAAATCAAGTCTTCTGCCTAAAATACAGTAATTTAATGGCTTATTTAATGATTTGGCAAAGAAAGGAACAAGTTGGCAGTGGTAGGAAAAAATTAATGTAAAGATACAGATAGGATAGATTCTGTACAGTAGATACAGATAGGATAGATTCTGTACAGTCGTCTCTGAAGTCTCGTCCTTTGTGGGGAACCCTGTACATACACGCCAAATTAAGAACAAATATCTCACTCAATTTATAGAATTAAAATACATGATCAAAACATTCATAAAATACAAATTAGAAATTATTTTTCAATGATCTAGGGTAGGATTTAGGTAGGATACTCCTGTATAAAGTATCCTATGTTGAGTGGATACTCCTGTATAAAGTATCCTATGTTATGTGGATACTCCTGTATAATGTATTCTATGTTGTGTGGATACTCCTGTATAAAGTATCCTATGTTGCGTGGATACTCCTGTATAAAGTATCCTATGTAATGTGGATACTCCTGTATAATGTATCCTATGTTGTGTGGATACTCCTGTATAATGTATCCTATGTTATGTGGATACTCCTGTATAATGTATCCTATGTTGTGTGGATACTCCTGTATAAAGTATCCTATGTTGTGTGGATACTTCTGTTTAATGTATCCTATGTTATGTGGATACTCCTGTATAATGTATCCTATGTTATGTGGATACTCATGTATAATGTATCCTATGTTATGTGGATACTCCTGTATAATGTGTCCTATGTTGTGTGGATACTCCTGTATAAAGTATCCTATGTTGTGTGGATACTCCTGTATAATGTATCCTATGTTGTGTGGATACTCCTGTATAATGTATCCTACCTGATGTTAACATCTTTGGTCTCCAATATTTCACTTCATCACTGTCGAACTAACACTAGTCTTGCGTACAGTCCGCGTTCCTTCTTTATACTGTTTATCAATACAACATCTCGTATTCTGAAACCGGTTTTATATATAGTATTGGTCTGTCAAAACTGTAGAAGGGGGGGGGTCGGTCAACTTTCGGTTTCCTGGATTTTTTTATTTTTGTAAATTTGTTATTTTTGATAACAACAAGCATTCATTTTTGAACAATTCTTAACTTGACTTGTAAATGAATACAGGGTTCACAGGGTGGACCAAAAAACATGAAACTTTGTAAATCAAGTTAATGAGGATTTTTTAATATGTTTAAGATTCGGAAACGTCTTCAGATTTCAATTGTCGAACAATTACAAGACAAAAAGGAAGAATTCTGATGAAAATACATAATTTTGGAATTGTCAATATAGTCAAAAGTTTTTTTTTCAATGGTGAATCGTTTTGCTTATTTTCATTGTATATGTACTGCAAGGGAAGGGATTTTGACTGATATACAAATACAAGTAACTTGATACATCAAAGCATTTTCTATAAAAATCAATCATGGTCTCACAACACAGTAAAAATAAAGTGTCCACTGTCAAGCTTATTTATCGTAGCTGGGCATCGAGGGTAGTAATCCTTAAACTTTTAATAAGATAGCTTACACTCCCTCCCCCTCCCCCCGATTTAATATTATTTTTTTCAAAACCTGTGTAATTTATAGTAACACTATGTTGTTTCAATTTCATCTACAGTGAACCCCTTAATAACGAATACATCGAAAGAATTTATCAAATGCCGTATTCTTCACTTTCAGATAAAGGAATGTTACAGATATTTAGTTTTTTAACTAAATGATTATATGGAAATCTTTAAAACTGTTCCCGCATATTCATAGCTATTTATTTATTGACGCAAATACTGAAATTTACGGAATAAAGTATAAAACTCATAGAAAAATTGTCAAGACGACATTTGATAAATTCTTCTGATGTATTTGTTATTAAGGGTTTCACTGTATTAGATTTCAAAATTTTGAATCCAAAGGGTACATTTTTTATGTCTGATATCAGATTTAATGAATAGCGAGTAGAAGCTGAACTTCGGAGATGTAGATTAACCACTTCTCTTGTACACTACTTCAAGCCGAAGAGAACCCGTTGGTGGCGGATTCACCGCATAAAATAATTTTCACTTCTGCAGGGGGGTAGTGCTTAGCTAGCTGAACTATAAGAGATCGGGTTCAGCTTCTAAAAAGTCTAGAAATCCTAGACTTGGATTTAGACTTTAAAAGGTGATACAATGCTCACTTCCCTTTTTAAAGAATAAAATCCTCTCTTTGTTTTAAATACAGGGTGTCCCAAAAAACATGGGAATTCAGTGACGAATTCGAGATCGTCTTAGTTATGAATTAGCATTTTAATACCGATTTCAAAAGCCATAATATTATTATGTCTGCTAGAGTTTATTTTATGAAAAGGGTAAAAGACTGCAATTATGTGTCTATAATGTATCCGCAAGATGAACAGTGAAGACGGACAAGTTTACTCTGTTTGTATACTGCAATTTTCTTGTTTTACTAAGTACAACCGTATGCAGTCAAAACATAAACAAACAAAATGTGAACATAGCAGACGAAACTCTTACAGATTACAGCTTTCTCGGTAGGTATCACTATACTAAATCAAAGAACTATTTGAAAAAAAGATATCGAATTCGTCACTGAATTCCCATGTTTATTGGGACACCCTGTAGAGTAGAGAAGATTAGGAGTTTAGTTACCTCTGTTGTCTAATATATGTGATAGATTTAATAATGATCACCTTTTTAAAACTAAATTTTTTTTATAAAATCCACCCACGAAAGGAACTGAGTTTTTGACACAAACTCTGATATTCTAATTTTGAATTATTAAAGGTTGATACCATCAGGTTGCAAAGAAATAGGGACTAGAACATTTGAGTTTGTGGCAATGATGCAATTCCATTCCACAAAAATCGGATTATTATGCACTGATCATTCAGGGACATTTTTGAGTGGTAAATTTCCATTCCAAATTTTGAATTAAAATGTGTCTTTTGAAATATGTGAGCTTTCCCTTTCATTTATAATTTTTCAAAAAACAGAGGCAGAACGAGATTAATTAAATCCACATATTTGCATAAAGAAAATAAAGTTAAATTCAACTTTTATTTTAATAAAAAGTTTGTGAATAAGCTTAGTTCAACCAAACAAAGAAGATAATTTAAAAGATTGAAGTGAATACAGAATAAGAAAATATTAATGAATTTATGAAAAATGAGAAGGTAAAAGAATGAATGAAGCGTTACCTAGATGCTTGAATGAATGAATGAATGTTATCTTTGAAGTATCATGTATAGCGTACAGATCTCTGCATGAATACAACTATTCTGAATTTGACAAGCAGGATATTATAGATCCATTCATAAATAAATATACACGTGTTAGTCCAAAAAGGTATACTGAGGTTCAATAAACATGTACACTGTACGGCTGATTTGAAACATGTACACTGTACAGCTGATTTGAAACATGTACACTGTACAGCTAAGTTGAAACAACATATACATGTTGCACAGCTGATTTAAAAAATGTACACCGTTCAGCTTATCAAAGCGTACACACTGTACAGCGGATTGAAACATGTACACTGTACAGTTGATTTGAAACATGTACACTGTATATATTATTGAAACATGTACATTGTATAACTGATTTCAAACATGTGCACTGTACAGCAATTTAAACATGTACACTGTACAGTTGATTTGAAAAATGTACGCTGTACTTAAATTGAAACATGTACATGTACATGATTTGAAACAAGTTTACTGTTTTGCTACATAAATTCACTGATATGTAGAGAAACTTGAAAATATCTAGATAAAAAAAGGATATTTTTGTCCCCTCCCAATGTTTACAGGATACCACTGTGAATCGGAAATTAACTATTGAAATCAACTGGGTCACTTAAGATTATGATTATCAATAGCTTAGGACAAAAATGTGTTGTATTGTAGAAACTATGAATAGCAAGGAGAAACTGGAAAAAAACTGTTTTAGGATCTCTTATGCTGTAGAAAATAAAAAGTAAGCTGCAGTGATTACCAGAAATCTTTGAAATAAGAAGACGACTTTTATAATCAAGCTATAACTTTAAAACGTCCAAGGAGCAATTGTACATTGTAAGCATTGTCTGTAAAACTATTTGCTTTGTAAAAACATCAAATATGATAAAAATAGAAAAAATGAAAAATGTGTCATAATTATTTCAAATACTATCCCTTAAAAAATGTGATCGAGTTATTTAATTTTTTACTGATTTTGTTTAAAATGTGACAAAGTAAATTGTCCCATAAAATTGAAATAGTTTTGTTTCAGATATATGTAACTGGTGTTATATAGTCATTAAAATATAAACAGCTAATTTTATTTTATATAGAATTTGATTAAAATTACAGCTGGTGTTTATTTTCTATTCGGATGTCTACATCCGGTTTAAATGCTTCAAATATCCGAAAATATTGGAAGTAAAACTACTCTACGCAGATTTGTTTAAGATTGAAAAATCGTTAAAAAAAAAGTTTGAACCAAAACTAAAAAGATTTTTTTGTCGTTTTATTTTTGATTCGTTAACATTTCAGAAACAAACTAAAAGTCACGTATAGAAAATACAATAAAATGGGTTAGATCATAAATAGCTTTTCCACGAAATCTTTCAAATATTCTTTTTTAGCACAGTATATTCTGTGTAGGACACAGTATATTCTGTATATTACACAGTATATTCTGTATATTACACAGTATATTCTGTATATTACACAGTATATTCTGTATATTACACCGTATATTCTGAGTACACCTCTGGCTGACACAAATAAAAATTTATTTGTATGATACATCTTTCTCTCATCAATCAGCGATTCCAACTAAGCTTATTTTCTCAAATGCATAATAATCAGCAGAAGCTATTCATGATTTTATGGGATATTAGGATATTCAAGGGAATCTAAGGATATCAGAGGAAGTGTATCTATATATAAATTTGACTTGTCTGCCGGTTTGTCTGTTTTGGTGTTTGTTTGTTTGTTTGTTTGTTTGTATCCAATTAACGTCAAAACGGCTGAACCGATCGGGCCCAAATTTTTTGTGGGACATCTAGGGACCCCAGGGAAGGTTTATGAATGATCAAAATTTCAAATTTTTGTCTCCATCAAAATTCGATCTTCATTAAATTTTTGAAAATTTTGAACATCCACGAAAGTTTTTGTGAAAATCCGCGAATTATTTTTGTTTTGTTTTACAATGTACACAAAGAGAACATATTCACAATTAATTTAGAAGATGGGCGCGAAGCGCCCTCTAAGGCTATATAAATCTATATATAAAGGGGATTAAAGAATGGGCGAAAAGTACATTGTATTGTAAATATATCGTGACAATATTGTAAGAATAGTAAATATCGTAATATTTTAAGTGAAGTAAATATTGCAACATTTTTTTAAATGTAATAACAAAAGTATAATTATATTGTAAATATTGTAACAACATTGTAAATATTGTAACAACATTGTAAATATTGTAAGAATAGTAAATATCTTAATATTTTAAGTTAAGTAAGTATTGCAACATTTTTTAAAATGTAATAACAAAAGTATAATGATATTGTAAATATTGTAACAATATTGTAAATACTGTAAGAATAGTAAATATCGTAATATTTTAAATGAAGTAAGTATTGCAACATTTTTTTGATGTAATAACAAAATTGTAACAATAATTTAAATATTGGAAAAATATTGCAAATATCATAACATTATTGAAATATCGTAATAATATCGTAACAATATTGTAAATATCGTAAATATTGTAACAATATTGAATAAATCTTATTAATATTGTAAATTTTTAACAATATTGAAAATATAGTAACAATATTGTAAATATTTTAACAATATTGTAAATCTTGTAACAATATTGAAAATGTCGTCACAATATGATAAATATTGTAACAATAATGTTAATATTGTAACATCATTGTAAATATTGTAACAACATTGTAAATATTGTAACAATATTGTAAATA